GAAAAATAGTTGGTGGAAAAGGCACAATTCACAAATGTGCCACGTCATTGGATAAGTCGTGAGCTGGTGTAATTTATAGCATGATGGGTTTGGAACTTATTGGGCTGTTTTTATTCCGGAAATTTATTGGGCTGTTTTAATTCCAACTAACAAATTCAAGAAATTGTGCCATTGTGTGATAATCTCATCGCACCACTTGAACGTAAAGTCCTTTACAATTCTTATTTTGAATGCACCTATATTAATTCTGTATTGAAAATCCTGTTTTTAGAAAGGCAACTTTGGTGGATTCATAAAAGCTCTATAAATTCACCAAACTTTCTTGTCTAAAAAAAGTTTTATGAAAGTTTGGTAGGTTCATACAAATTCTAAAAAACAATGCATCGTCGCCTTGTTGTTTCATTTTTTCAGAAAAGATATTGCTGATAAAGTCATTACGTACACTTATTAGCATTCTATCCTTAACAAGTTCACCATCGTACAACATTCACAATTTAACACTGTATTACATACAAATACTTCTATGTGCTCGAGGATCAAAACAAGAGTTCTTTTCTTTGGCATGATGTTGAATCGGTACATTTGTGGAATCCTCCAATTAATCAAGAGATCGTAGTGGCACTAGTGTCATCCGATCTCTCTTTTTCGGTGGAGCTAATTTTATCACATTCCCATCCAAACCAGTAGGTAAAATAACACAAATTCGATCTCTCTTTTTAAAAAAAAAAAAGATAATAACAATAATTGGCCTTTTTCGAATTCAAAATACGTAGCTAAAAAAACTATAACTGCAAAGTCGAATTAATAAATGGAGGAAAAAACAATTTGGTGGAGTTGATTAGATGCATACGAAGACAAAAACGCCAAGAAAACCTTTTATGGGGTGTGGCCTGTCGACACAAACATGTGAAACCAATACTGCTTGCCTTATTCTCTAGTTTGTTCCTTTTTTTTTTTGCGATTCTTTTATTTTACCCAAACTAATTTGATATCCCCTTATTCTTTTTTAAAATATATATATCATCTTCCTTGGATGCTCATCTCTCAGATCTTAGCTCCCATTGATATTGTTTTGTTTAATAGCTATCCAGAATAAACATAACTCGAATCATTTGTCCTTGTGCACCGTTGTTTCTGTTTCGCCGTCCACGCAATAATTCTAAACATACATACGTATTTTACTCTATATATACTTTTTTCTTTTAATAATCGGGGATTTCAGATGTAAGTGCAAACTAGGCATGGGCATTCGGTTATTCGGATCGGGTTCGGGTCGGTTCCTTTCGGGTTTCGGGTTTTTCGGTTCTAGAAATTTTAGTACTATTCGGGTATTTTTTATTTTCGGGTCGGGTTCGGGTCGGTTCCGTCGTTCCGGTATCCAAATTTTATTACAGAAAATAAAATAAAAATAAAAAACTGTTTCATTTAAATGAAATTTTATTAAACTTAGCAAAACTAATTGAATATTAACAAATATAACTAAATATTTTTGGATTTCTTGAATATTTTAATTATTTCTTTCTAAATTTAACTATTATATTAGGTTTATAATTGTAATTTTACATATTTTGGTTATTTTAAGTCTAAATATAACTAATATTTTTGGAAATATAATTATATTTTCAATATTTCGGATACTCATTCGGTTCTCGGTTCGGTTCGGGTTCGGTCCGGTTCTTTCGGGTATAAGAATTTTGGACCCATTCGGGTATTTGTGTCGGTTCCGGTCCGGTTCGGTTCTGTCTATTTCGGGTCGGGTTCGGTTCTATATTTCGGGTCCGGATAAAAATGCCCAAGCCTAGTGCAAACTAATCTTGAAAACATGTAGAATCATTCATTTAGACATATACAATGACACAATCTAGTTTCATCAATCGTTTTTCATCAAAAGATGCAAACATTAAATATTTCACTTGAAATAAGCAGGGCCATGAAATATATGCGCGTGCTTATGCTTGCATAATATAATGTTTATACATAAGAATAATGTTTTGATGTGATGTTTGGACTAAAATAGTCATGTAAGAAATCAGAGGCGGGCGTAGAACTTTTGATGATCTAATTCGTGTTAGTGAATGTTTATATTATAATGAGTGAGGACTAAAAGCAAGAGGGAAGAGATTAAAGGCGCAGAAAGAGGAATCCTAGGTTCAAGGGTTCTCAAAGGCCTATGAAGTCTATTACGCTTTTTGCCAGATCCAAAAATACAGTGTTTATATTAATCTGGATCACAGATTCACAAGTATTATCAACTTCGGTTTAACAATTTTATGGGGTTAGAAGCAATTATTCATACTGACATGGATTATTAAAAACTTATTAATGTCTCAACGTTGTAGGCATCGGATACATTATTTAATTGTTCAAGAAATATAAACATCGATTGGTGACCCATTTAGAGAATGGCTACCAAAATATATGGAGTCTAATTTTCTTCTTCTTAATTTTACACCATTTAGAAGATTTTTTGAAACTTATACATAGACTTTTTTTTTTCTTTTCAAAATCGCTGTTTTCTAATCATTTTGGTTACCGTTATAGTTTATTTCATTTGTTTCATCTTTAATTCTTACTTATGTATCTTAAGTTCTTAACCTTTTTGTGACTAATGGAAGCCATAATGCTCTCTTCAAAGTCAAAGTAGTTAACTAATGGAGTAAACTTATTGTAAATTGCACCGGAGAAAAGCTTTAACAACGAGATCCGAAGTAATCTATGACCCTTTGACCTAACCATTATACACAGTCAACGGCAGCATAAATAAGAAAATACTTGATGACTACGATGTTAATTTGTTACCAGTTTACTTTCTTAATACCGGAATATAAGTTTTGCTATTAGTTTGCTACTCATTTGAACATATCTTTGGTTAATCATTAATGTTTCCCTAGTTAGTAACAGGCGTAATTCTTAATCGTATGTTCAGTCCTTTTCCAAGTCCACTGTTTGAACTCCAAAGTCATATTATGAAGTTTGAAAGAAAAATAAAAACGTTTTTATTTTCTTTCGTTTGAAAAGCATTTTTGAAAATAAACTGCGCACTGCATTGGGTACCTGTCTAACTCTGACAACATTGCTCCACAGTTAATTTTTAAATAATCAGATCATCTTTTCTCTTCTCGTTAATCTGATCACCCACCAATTTTGCTGGTAGTAAATAAATTATGATATACGACGAAAAAGTAATTATCAACTAATTAATACTCCGGAAGACTATTAAATCAACACATACATATATACAAGCTTTCAATAATGAGCCGGTTAAGTTAGCTCGATTGAAAGATGATGGCTAGACAATGAAATCTAGTAATCCAAGACCAATGTTGCGAGATTGGAGCAAAAACAAAAGAATATGAAAAAATCAGTATATAATGTTGTAGTCTTGTAGACAACCAATTCTTTAGAGACCAGTGTAGTTAAACTCGGTAAATTTCTGCTAGTTACTATTCGAGAAATGATGGGCAACTTTGTTTTTGCAATTTGACTCTGGTCAAATGTGTCATGATAATGGAAGTAAATTATTGATCGCCAGAAATTTTCGCGAGTGAATTCTTTTTTGACATGACTAATATTAATGGCTAGACAAGTACCGAGTATATACCAATTCTTTTATAAACTAAAAAAACAACTACATAGTTCCAAATAAACTCAAAATTTTAATGGAAGAAAATTAATTTTGAACTAGTTTTTGAATTTAGATAATGTAAAAATCTCTTGTAAGTGTAGGCGAAAGAAGAAGAAAATGAAAGGTTATTGTGACGCATATAATATGAAAGACCCGCAAATATATGTGATGGGGCCCACCATGTTTTTCAACTTGATCATCTCTTGCTATTCACCAGAAAAACAAAAATTACACCAAAACCCATAAGCTGAAAAATAAAAACTTTTACTTTTTTTTTTCTCTTCCTTTCCTCTCTCTCTCTCTTTCTGGATCCTCTCCTTCAAGCTAAGGCCATTTTAGGGTTTAACTGAGCTCCAATTCACTCGATTTCAGATTTTCTCAGCAATCTTAGCTCTGTGTGGGTAAGCTTTCTTCCTTGGTTCCGTTTTCCCACTTTTCCTTTACCTTTTCTCTTGCGTACGCCTTCATTTACACTTTTTCTCTTCTTCTGTAACTCTCTTTGATTGCTTTTTGATGAGATTTAGCCTCTGGGGACCGTATTCAGGGGGTTTTTCAGTGGGTTTCTCTGAATTTATTTTCCTTTATCAGACCTTTCGTTTTCCATATGTGGTCTCACTGGGCTCTCTGCAGTTTCAATTCTTAATTTTAAGTTTTAACTATAATTTTTCTGGGTGTGTTTCGCTTTGCTTTCACGCATTTGAAATCTCTTAGACTCTCCTTGATTTGACATTTGAGACTGTTTGTGTGTTTTTTTTTAATAAAAAATTATTGACATTTAATTGGGTTAAATCGAATCTTCACTTCCTACTGTTCTTTGTTTCCCAGTAAATTTAAGTTCGTGAGATCTGAAGCTTCGTGTCGTTCTGATTGTTGTTAGATCTCTTCACTCGCTCAAAATTTTTTTTTTTTAATTGTAAACGCGGTTTGGTTTTGGTGAGCGATATTCAACTATTTTCTGTAAATTTTGATCTTAGTGTTGTTGTAGTCTGCGTAAATCATTGGTACTCAACTAATTTTTTACTTTTTGAAAATGTTTCAAATTTTCTATTTGAGGGTTTGGGTTTTAAAAAATGTGTTTTTTTATAGCTGTATTAATTTTATAGGCCATCTCTATCTGTACTTATGAAGGTTTCATGATTGAGTCTACAAAGATATAATGACGACCCTCTAAGCTATTAAATTTCGCATTGTAGATCTGTTGCTTCCACTTTTATTTATTATATTTCTTATCACTCCACAAACATTGCTCTTCATTTGAGTCTGTTCTGTTCTTTACCAGTTTCTCTCTGATAATTCCTTTTACAGGTTACTGTGATTGTTGCAAAATGTTGTGCTGAGAAGTTTAAACAAATCACAGAAGAAGCTGTTGCAAGCAATGGGATCGTTTGCAGGTTCTTGCGAAATTGTGGAAGAGAAAGACGAAGCAAGATCGACAAAACATTCAGGGAGATATGGCAAATCAGTTTTGGGATCATCAAGCAATGATCTTGAGAGGAAGCAGCAGCAGCAGCAGAGAGAGTATCACGGTTCTCTCGAGTACGACATTGACAAGCTTTTCCAGTCTATACCTGTGAAACCATCAACAACGAGGCTGATGACTTCTTCTTTCCGTAATCTCGAAACGAGCGCGAGTGCTGGTCCAAGCAGGACCACGAGTCCTTCGAATCGAATTGCAATGAAGAAACCGGGGACGCCTCAGTCGCCTAGAGTTTTCGGTCTCTCTGATTCGGTTTCCTTGAAGCAGGCTCTGAGGGACCGTTGCATTTCCAAGGCGTCTGAAATGGCTGCTCAGAAACGCCTGTCGAAGTCAGCAGCTGCGTCTCCGAGAGTCTCTGAAGCTGACAGGATTAAGACTTTGTATAATCAAGTCTCCAATGAATCTAGGTCCACGCTTCTTCTTCCTGTGGACAAGGGTAAAGGAAGCTTGCTTGAGATACCTTCTTCTTCCAACGATAAACCAAGCTCTTCAAGGAGCGTGCCTGAGCTGGAGATTCAGATGCTGCATGAATCCAAGAAGAACTCTGGTTCTTGTCTCAGTTCTGGAAGTGGAGATTATGAGATAGAGTTGGATCAAAACGTTGTTGACTCTCCTTCTGCTCACGCGTTCGTTGAAGAAGATGTGATAGAAATAGACAAACATGTTACCTCACTGCCTTCTGGTTCTTGCAAGAAAGATGATTATGTGACGGAGCTTGACAAGAAAACACGCTCATCTGCTTCTCTGGAAACGGAGCAGAAAGGGAAGTTGGATAACGAGCCTAGTTCGGGAACAGAGAAGAGCAAGACAGTACGCAAGGTAACAAGAATGATTCCACGTCCCAAACAGCAGCCGAAAAAGAAGATTTTGCTTAAGAAGAAGCTGAAAATTGGGATCGTTTCTGCAGCCAACACAACAAAGAAAGATGAAGAAACTGAGAAAATTCTCTGCCAAAGATGTCACTGTTCGTTGAAGAGCTCAAGCACAGATAACCAACCGCCTCCATATACTACTAGTCATCATCCTGAGATTTGCTCAGACAGTTTGAGCTCTGTTTCAAATAATGCTGGTAAAGAAGCCGATGGAAACTCCTCTGGTTCTTGTACTATTAGTCAAAGCTCTGAAGCTGAGATTGTCGTCATGAAACAAGATGTTTCCTCGAGCAATGACAGTGGAAACGGCGCAAGAGATGAAAAGGAAACAGAGATTCCAACTTCTAGCGAGAAATTCGAGTTTTCCTTAAGTTCAAAAGATAGTGTTGGGGATGATTACAGCAGGAGCACAAGCATGAGTGAGGAGAGCAATCTGAGCAGGTTTAGCTGTGGGAACAAGCCTCACATGTCGATGGATGTCAGATGGGAAGCGATCAAGCATGTCAAGTTGCAATGCGGCTCTCTTGGTTTACGACACTTCAACCTTTTGAAGAAACTCGGTTGTGGAGACATAGGAACAGTCTACCTCGCTGAGCTCATTGGCACAAACTGTTTGTTTGCGATAAAGGTCATGGACAACGAGTTCTTGGCAAGAAGGAAAAAGTCTCCGAGAGCACAAGCGGAGCGAGAAATACTTAAAATGTTGGACCATCCTTTTCTTCCTACACTGTACGCTCAATTCACTTCGGATAACTTATCTTGTCTTGTCATGGAGTATTGTCCTGGAGGTGATCTTCATGTCCTTAGACAGAAGCAGCTTGGCCGGTGTTTCCCTGAGCCTGCAGCAAGGTAAAAGATTACATTTTTTACATTTCTCCATCTACAAGAGCATTACTTTCCTAGATGAAAGTTTGATGATGAAAGTTTTGTTATTTCAGGTTCTATCTTGCGGAGATCCTTCTTGCATTGGAGTACTTACACATGCTTGGTGTCATATACCGAGATTTGAAACCGGAGAATATTCTAGTCCGTGAAGATGGACACATTATGCTTACGGATTTCGATCTCTCTCTCCGTTGTGCAGTGAATCCGACGCTTCTCAGGTCAACTTCTCCTCCCGGTGGAGATCCGGCAAGGATGTCAGGTCCATACAACACATCCAACTGTATACAACCGTTCTGCATCACCGAACCATCTTGCCAGGTCTCTTGTTTCAGCCCTAGGCTCTCTTCAAACCAACAGAAAGGTCGAAAACCGAATCATCTTTCGAAAACTCAGCAACAGTTGAAGAGATCATTGCCTCAGCTTGTGGCTGAGCCAACGGAAGCAAGATCCAATTCCTTTGTGGGAACACACGAGTACTTAGCTCCTGAGATCATCAAAGGAGAAGGACACGGCGCTGCGGTTGACTGGTGGACGTTCGGGGTTCTTCTTTACGAGCTCTTGTACGGGAAAACACCTTTCAAAGGTTACAACAACGACGAGACTTTGGCTAATGTTGTGTTGCAGAACCTCAAGTTTCCTGATAGCCCGCTTGTGAGCTTCCAGGCAAAGGATTTGATCAGAGGGCTTCTGGTTAAGGAACCGGAGAACAGGCTCGGGTCAGAGAAAGGATCTGTAGAGATCAAAAGACATCCTTTCTTTGAAGGGTTGAATTGGGCGCTGATCCGTTGCGCAATACCGCCTGAGCTGCCGGATTTCTACGAGTTTGGCGGTGGTGGACAGGAGGCGGCGTGTTCACCTGGAGGCAATGATGATAGGTATCTTGAATGTAAAGCCGTAGGTGATCATCTTGAGTTCGAGTTGTTCTAAGTTAAGGGGGTCTTTAAGCAAGACGGAGAAATTTTCTTGGTAAAACGTTGTTGTAATTTATGTTATATTAAAGTTCTCTAATATGTAAAGTTTAGCCTCTTCTGAGACAATCTCATATAGTAGTATTCACCAATTTTAGCTCTCTTCTGAAGCATTTAAATATTTTGGAATTATAGAAAATATGTACTTTGCATTAAAGACTTGCAATTTGCAGACATTAAAGAAGAAAAGTTAAAAAAGGACAATCTTGATCATCAGATTGGCTCCACTACAAAATTACGAAAATGATTTTGATTTTTCCTTTATAACTTTTTCTTTTGGCGGGATTGCTTGCTTTGATTTTGGAATGGTGTAAAAGCAAAGCAATTTCATTTTAGAAGGTTTAAGCAAAAGCAAAAGACGTTGGAAAAGTACATAGATATAGATAGTGGGAGAGACAAAAGAGACTTGTTGTAATAGCAAGAAACAAAGAGAAACAAAAAAATGAGTAGCAAGAACTCAGGAACTGCTCCTGTTACAGCTTCTGCAGGCAACACCAACGGTAAGCTTCCAATGGAGGAGAACGAAGACGAGGAGATATGGAAAGTGGCTGTGTCGAGGTTTCAAGCCAGAGAAGAAGAGATCGAGAGGAAGAAGATGACTGTTAAAGAAAAAGTTCAACAGCGGCTTGGTTTTGCAGAGGAAGCTACAAGATGCTTAACTCAAACATTGGAAGTAAGTGTACAAAGCCTTTTTTTTGTTTAAAAATGGTAGATTGGTTTTCAAATAGACAAAAACAAAAGTTGATAATGTTCTTACTAAAACAGGAGCTAGAGATAATGGGAGATCCTATGAGAAAAGAAGTTGGAATGGTGAGGAAGAAAATCGACATGGCGACTCGAGATATCAAATCTTTGGCTCAAAGCTGTCAAAAGAAGGTTTGTTTCACATTTGTTCATCCTTCAAAATCTTTTCCTTTTTTTTAAGAATCTGGAGTTCTGTTTAACAGGAGAAAGAATACAAAGATACATTGGAAGCTTTCAACGAAAAGAACAAAGAGAAAGCTCACCTTGTTTCCATGTTAATGGAGGTATTTGATCTAAAACCATATACAAAGACTTGACTACAGCAGATCTAATGTGTGTTGATATCTTTTTCTTTGGCAGCTACTAGCTGAAAGCGAGAGGGTGAGGATGAAGAAACTGGAGGAAATCAACAAGACTGTTGGAACCTTGAATTGAGCATTTTACCTTAAAAAAAGGAGTGCAAAATGTGTTTGAGGTTTTTGCTTATTCGATTATATTCAAGTCCTCTCTATTTACAGTGAGCTACGATGTAACACGATGGCCAAAAACAACTTCGTAAGAGATAACTACTTTGTTTGATGCAAGATGTCTTTGTACACATAAGATAATTTCATAACTGATCAAACATCAATACACACGCATACATCCAAAACTAGCTCCTCTAGCTAATAAGAGGAGATTGTTAATATTACATCAAGCTTTTCTTTTACTCTGCTTCCTCAGTGTTTACACACCTGTTTGCGTAGTCTAAGTACTCCTGCAAGTAACAATCAAACATAATAAGAGGTTTCAAAGACAGATTTCATCGGTCTCTCAACAAATGCAGAGATTAGTAAACCGTACCTGAAGTATAACTACCGCGGCAAACTTGTCCGACATTGTCTTCTCTTGAACTGGATGCAATTTCAATGGCTTCAACAGCAATTCAACTGTCTGTGGACAGAGTAGTATAACATGAGATTACGCAGTTATATGCTAACACTTAAATGTTTTACTAAGCCTTACAAAGTTAAACTGTACCTTTGATGATAACCGTTCGTCCCAATATGTGTATTTCACATCCTTGAGTTTGTTGGTTTTACGAAGTTCCTCAACGAAACCATTCACAGTGACAACCTGTTCCAAAGTTCGAAAAATCTTTACTTTCTGGTTTATAAGTGCTAGTGAAGAGGGAAACATACTTAGCAATTCAGTGGAATAAAAAACTTACGTCCTCTGCATTGTTCAGTCTGCCAAATGGATAACCAACAACTAAGCCCGACACAGAAAATGCTTTAACCTGCATGAACAGAGTTTACAAGTCTACTTGTTGATAAATTATCTACTATGCCAAGGACTAGTGTTGAATATAACTTCAGAGTAAGTTATACAGAGATAGTAAACACCTAAAAGGATACACCTTGAATGTTTGATCGCTATGAACTACAGAAAGCTGTAGGAAAAAAGTGTTGATCAAGTAACCATTACAATCTTAGTAGACAGTGATCTACACTTTCAAGCTTGAACAAATAAACTACAATTTCTCCACTTGTTAACAGGAGCTTAAAGCTCTGTTTTTGTCTAAGATCTACTTAATATCTAGCTAGAGCTAAAATAGAGGAACAAGCAAAAATACTTTAGCACCTACCAGGTTCTGGAAATCTGTAGCCATCAAGTCAATGTTTGATTTCTTCCTAAGCAGAACACTGCAAGAAAAGTGATGTGATGGTTATAACTAGACAGGACAATCAAAGCTAGTGTTGTAGTATCTGATTGAACAATTTGAATGTAGAAGAGGTGAATGAAACTGAATTCATGTGTACCTCAATGGAGTCGCAATCATATTAGAAGGATCTGAGAGAGCTAATCCAACATACTTATCACCAACATCTAACCCGAGAAACCGCCCAGGGACTGACACTTTTGTCTTCAGCGCATCACCCAATAACCTCAATGGCTTCACATACTTCATCTTTCTGGAAAAATATTAAGAACTTCGATTGAACAAATAGAGACTATCGGTTCATAAGGTACAGAAATTTGATGATAGTTTGTAGCAAAATCCTTCAATAAGACAATGAAACAAGTGTTTGAAAAACGGGTTTTAGAGTTTAATCGGAAAAAGGTTGAAATTTTAATTTCTGTTGATTGAAAAGAACTTCAGACGTACTTTAAAGGCGAAAACTTTCAGGCGCCAAAGCTCGAAATCTGGCGAGAGGAAGCGACGAAATGGAGAGGTCGAGCGAGATTGATGGAAGGGTTTAGGGTTTAGGAGATGAACCGGAAAAGGTTTATTCTGGTTTAATTCGAACATAAAAGGCCGCAGAGACAGCAGTAAAGGAGAAAGGAAATGATCAAGGAGATGTAAAGAAGAAGAAGAAGTTTTTCTCCTAAACCTTTCACCTGTAACAGAGTGTTTACTTCCATCCAGGAACCGGCTGGTACGAGATGGTTTAAGTGATTTTCCGCAATTGATTCGGTTTAGTTTGAACCGGATTACCGACCATAGCAATGGAAATTTCTTTAGTAGTGTTCTCTCAACTAAAAGAATTGGCTTCAATAGGTTCAGTGAATCCTAAATGGCAATGCTAAATCACTCGCATCGTAACTTAATTCTTGTCTAAAACCATTACGTTAAACAGAAATTAAAAAAGACTAAGTGCATAATAATCTCTCACTGAGGATACTTGAAAAGGAGGATCATTTAAAGTTTGATTGCTTATACAAAGTCTCAAACTTTTGACATAAATATCTCTGCAGAGGGAAGAAATTAAGGAAAGCAATTCCAAAAGCAGGCATTTTTAGCCTAACAACAACAATCACCGCAACAAAACAACTCAGAGGGGGAAAAACGAAAACAGATTCAAAAGGAAGCTAAGAGATTTGGTTTCTTTCTTCAATGAAAGACTTGAGTTGAGATTCCCATCTGATGAAGAACACTTGAAGTAGTAGACGAGGCTGACCTCAAGGCTTCAGCCAATGGTCCGCCCATGTTATGGTTGTTGCCTCCTCCACTGCTCCACCAATTCATGTTCTGTTGCTGCTCCCTCTCACTGTTGTTTCTCATGTTTGCTTCTTCTTCTTCATTTCCTGTGGAAAGTTTTAGAGAAACGTCTGATGAAGTGTTGTTACCAGGCATGGAGATGGAAAGATGACAAGTCGATGAGCTCATTGGACTTGAGGTAGAGTCTGATGAACGTGGCCAATCGTCAAAGAAATGCCTCAGGATGTGACCATCGTCTGATCTTCCATTGCTGCTGAATCCACTCTGGCCTTCATATGGCCTCTTGTTGTTGTTGCCTTCTTGTTTCATCTCAGAAGAACAACTGTGAGAGACCAAAAAAATTACATCTTTTATGATTATAACAAAACAGAACATTGTCAAAAGGTTAACCAAACAGGAAAGTTTCAAACTTTTATCCGTTCAAGTAGGAGATTAAAGACTGATAAACTCAATAACCAAGTCCTACTAATTCTCCACTATCAAAATTTTGGTTAGAGAAATAAATAAATCAATAATGTAAGATGTGTTATAAGGGGAAGTGGTTGCAGAATCTGAGAGCTTTTTTTTTATCTTGTATACAGGTTTGGTCAGCTTTCACTGAGGTCCTACCTCTCTTTTCTTTGTTTTTCTCTCTCTCTCTCTCTTTCTATTTCTCTGATTGAGAAGTCTCACCCAACTAGTAAAAAAATTAGATTCTATCAAATCCAACTGTTATCATTATCTCTCAACAAAAGAAAGGAAAAAGAAGAATATCATGTTTTTTTTTTCTTCACAAAATTAATGATAAGTCTCTCTGTCACCCAATTGCCAACATCACCCCTTTCTCCACAGCATCACATCACAGTGGAATAACTATTCCTAAATCCCAAACAACAAGATTTTTAATCATTCCAACATTTATATCAAAAGCTATGTTTCAGATCCTTTTGCAACTAATCTCTTGTTAATTATATTATGCAAAACACTTGTCTTTAGACTCAAGACTTTAAAACCAAAGCAAATAGTGACTTCAGTTAAACTCAGTGTTTTTTTTATTTGTACCTTTGATGGCTATTAAGGTGGAGATGTTGAGATGACGAATGTGAAGAACCTGAGGAGAAGAAGAGATTATTGTTCTGTCTGTGACCACCAAGCTCCTCGCCTAAGACAAAAGAAGATGCAGCTGTTGTGGCGGCAGTTGTGGTAGCGGTTTCCACAGGCTTTCTTGAACGGTTGCGGCCACGGTGGATGTGACGGTCGCAATACTTGTGACCGCCTACAACATCCCTCGAGCATCTCCATTTCTTGCCGTCTGTTCTCTTGCACCTCCCTGGCTCAGGATCCATTGCTCCTCTTCCCCAATACCCTGTTTTTATTCAATGTGTGTTCCTTAGTAACGACCGACAAAGATCTCAACTCAAGACACTGATTAAGAATGTTTCATAAACCCAACTTGTCTAAAGTCCTTACAAGATAAATGTATTTACTTTATTGTTTGGTGAGTCTATGAATAGGAGTTTCTAGATCTTGGAAACATAACTCCAACATTAAAAACAAAGACATATGTATTTTCTTGATAAGAAAGATTCTTTCGAAGAAATTTTGAAGTATAAACAAAAGAGAGGGAGAGAGAGACTCACAAGAGGGTTGGTGATGAGGGAAGTTATGTTGAAGAGGATGGTGAAGGAAGTGCAAAGGGGATTGATGGACGAGACTTTTCTTGATGGGTATGAGAAGCTCTTGAGGAACTGAAGCACCAGCCAACATGTATCTGTAGATCAGTGCTTGTAGCTCAAGTTCTTGCCACTGTGCGTAGCTGAAGAAGTTTCCCATCTCTTAACAGCAATAAAAAAAAAAAAAAGACAAAAACCAGAGGAAAAATCAGAAATAACTTAAAAACATGTGAGTGAAAAAAGTCAAAAGTCAGGAAAACACTTACTGAGGAACCTGGAAGAGGAAGAGGAAGAGTCAGGAGAGAAACATGAGAATGAGGAAGAAGAGGTGGGTTCAGGGACAAAGAGAGGAAGAGCAGCAGCAGAAGTTGCAGTTTGGGATTGAATCTGATCAAAGAAAAACTTCGATATCTTAGTTGCAGAAACTTGTTCTTCTGACTCATTCTGCTGCTGACTCCTCCATTGTTTCAGTTGCAAGTCCATGGAACAGAGAGAGGTAGAGAGAGAAAGAAATGTGTTGGTTGCTTTTGGGATAGTTTCTTTGCCCACTTCTTTTGTTTTTAGATAGCCTGGCTTAATAAGCAAAGACAACCACAACAAAAATCTCTTATTTGCTTGGCTTGTGATGTAAATACCACAAAAAAAAAGAACTTTTTTCTTTTCTTTCTGTTTGTTCTTTGCAACAGTTACCGGAGAGAGCTAGAAAGAGCTAAACAGAGAGAGAAAAGTGTTTATTAAGGGAGCTTGAGAGAGAGAAAAAGGCTATGAGACAAGACAGTTGAGGGGAAAAACAAAATTAGAGTGATTTTTATATAACATCTGATAGGTTTAAAAATGGTTTCTTTATTAAATATAAAATTATGTGAGTCAGAAACTTCAGAAAGAAAGCACTGCAAGATGCAGATGGAGAGATAGTAACCTGCAGTGTTTATGTCTCACTGCCTTGGAAACATCACTTCCATTTATATCTCATTTTTATATTCCATAAGTAGCTTAGAGAGAAAAGAGTAGCCTATTAAGATATTCTAATTAAGGATTCATTCAATGTGAAAGTAAAGTAACCTTCAGTTTTTGTGATACAGATGTCGTTAGTTTCAGAGATTGTGTTACAGCTGTATTAGATTCTGAGCTTAATCATTTTGGATTTGACTAACCTCAACAGTCAACTTATGTACAGTATGATGTTGCATACTGCATTTGCAGAGAACTGCAAAAATTTCTGATCTCTGATCTCTGATCTTAAGAATGATATATTGAGTTGACTAACTATGATTTTCTGTTTACAATAAACTAGTTAACATAGAATTAGGTTGGTAAATTTACGGTCTAACGTGTGCTTGATTAAAAAAAAATCTAGTGGTCTAGTTATGATTCTTTTTTTAGTCCAGGTTTAAATATGGATGGTTAAGCATGCTAAACTACATGCTTGGTTCTGACTATTCTTGTCTTTGGCTAGTAAATTATTTAGTCAGTTCTAGTTTGTAACCGTCGTTACTCACTAAAAAACAACATGTAACGTCTGTGCGTTTTGGATTTTGTTAATTGACTTTCTAATATGGTAGAGATGAACAATATTTGCGTGGTTTCTTTTACTAAATAAGCTTGGCTAGTCTCAATGTGTATGGTGGGTGTGGAAATTGGCTTGGTTTTTCGATTTAGAAGACGGAATTACAACAACAACAACAACAAAAAAATCTTTGGCTGGTCAGTTTCTATGGATTTAGAAAAACTACTGGTTTGATAAATAATTTTTAGTAATATAAAATTAAAACCAGTACATATATCTAAAGACCTATACTGGAGAATAATATGTTACCAGAAGAAGCCAAGTAAACTTGGAAACATTTATCAAAATGAAGATAGAACCATTCATTTATATCTTCACTTGGTTGAAACAATACAAAAGACATTAATTATTTTCAAAGTATCTATATTTGGTGGTGCCACGATAGTATTAATTTGTAGTTTTGAGGAAATAAAGTAATAAATATGAGCAAAGGACGATAACGATATTTCATAGAGTGACGAGTGAGCCAGGCAAGGGGTCTGATGAGAGAGCTTCGTAAGTTTTCTTCTATTCATTCACTCCAAACCAGTTTTGGCGGCATTTATATGCACTCTGCCGAAATTACCTAAACTTTGCGTTTTTTTTGCTCTTCCATATGAAAAAAATATAACACAATTATTGGCACTTCTTCTGTCTTGAGGGAAAACAAACAAAAAGAAAAGCGTGAAAGTAATGAAAACTGAAGCCAAGGGTGAAACTTAAGTAAATAATTTTATATGAGAACACTTCACATGTCACAGTGTAGATTCCTAGTCTCCTAGAACTACATTCTTATTTGTTGATAGTGTTCTAATTGTTAAAATCAAACAGAAACTTGGACATGGTCAGGCTTGTCTTAAACTAGGAGCATGCATAAATTTAGATACTTTGTCTTTCTTTTGTTCGAGGTAAATAAAGAAAAAGAATAATACAAATTGTTATTTACGAAATGATATTTTGAGAAATGTTATCACATTTTACACACGGTTTAAGATTATCCTATCTATCTTCAACGAAATCGATTTCTTATATCCATGAGCATATCTCATATCTCTATGACACTAAGCATAATTACTGTAAAATATACTACTAGATATATATCTCATAGTTAATTACAATTTACAGTTTCAGATAATAGATTGGGGAAAAAAAAAAATTTGAATAAATATAAACAAGTAAAAAGTAAAAACAATTCAGTGGACGAAGGTTGGGTCACGTGCTAAAATCAAGACCAGATGAGATCGAAGGAGGGCCCGGCCCAAACTCTCCAGTCTCCACCTACTCGATTTGAAAAATCATGCGAGCTTAGTTGAGCCGAGCCGAGCCGATTTAGATTGACAACGTAAGTCAGCTTTGCAGCTGTAGTTTCCGACGGGGGCGCAGACCGTGGGTCCCACTATATAATGTGAGTCCCAAATACCCCAATTATGTGAAGGTTATATTACGTCTCTACCCCCTAAAATTACGCTTTATTTAAGCAATATGCCATTTTGACGTTCGTTTACGATGGGCCGGGCCGTAACCAAAAGGATATGAGGAAAGAGGAGGTCGAAGCTTGCAAGAGTTTTGTGGTCACATGTCGTCGACAAATACGAGTTTTGGGACATTGTGTCAAAAAAGTTAATCTAATATACTTTTTGTCAGAAATAAAACGCATGTATATTTACATATGAAGGGTTGAGGTGAGTCAACGTAGGGCCTAGTATTTTGGTTGTATTTTGTGAAGTAAAAGGCAAGTCACGCCAGCACGCGAGGCCTCACGTGATACCACATGCCTCAGCCCTCACTATGCTCTTAATCTTCTTGATTTGTCACACGACCACGGTTGCAGTTATAACGTAATTTAAATCATGTAGCATCAGTGCCGGCCCAATATGATTTTGCGCCTAAAGCAAAAAATGTTTTGAAGTCCATCTAAAAATATAACTTTTTTAAAAATTAACCATATGCAGGTGCTGGATCCGAATCCTTAAACAACTACCCAATCTAGAAGACCAAAACCGCTGAGCTACATGTAACCTTTTGACATTTGACACCCCAAAATGCTTAATAAACTTTGGCGCCTAAAGCACAATGCTTCTTGTGCTTTAGCCCAGGGTCGGCCCTGTGTAACATGTACGGTTTACAAAGTTTGCAATTATTCTAAAATTTACACCAAAAAAGGTCGCAATTATTGTAGCTGTACTTAAATACGGTTACCATTACCAAATGATTATGATATGGTTCACTCCAACCTGAATTATGATTATGATATGGTTCATACAATCATACTCCAACCTGAATTACTTTGTTAGTGATGGTAACTTTTACATTGTGTGGTTAGCATGATTTACTCGTAAGAATGAGATTGATCTTCTGCTAATTCTACACTAGTCGTAGTTGTTCCGTTCATATCTTTCATCTGATCTCGCACACCATTAATTAAAATGTCTAGAAGACTAAATCCTTATGATTTGGAACTTGGAAATGGTGTCAATCATTGGACAAAAACAGAGGGCCGGCTATAACAGATTGAGCCTCTTAAAACGAAACCCACTAAGCAATGCTTATGGGCTTTTTTAAAAAACCTGTTTTTTTTACTTAAACCAAAAGTAGAAGTTTGTAAATTGTATGATTTTAGATCTCAGCTATTCAATTGACTCTCAAGTTAAGAAATACTAAAACCTTCATTTGAATTGATATTTGACTTATTGAGCATTCTTTGTGAACATGCGATATTAGATTTTTGTGGAAACTTAGCCATGCAATACATAATTAACATAGACAGAACAATTTCTCGTGGATCTGCTTTTAGGCCCACTATGAGATGGAACCTACCACGTGATCACTCAATCTGGGCCGTCCATTTGTTCGAATGTTGAGAAGAGTTTTATGTTTGGTCCCTACCGCCACCGGTTTTCTTCTCTGTAGCACTTACGATCAATCATCATGCCTTTTGTTTTAGGAAATCATTTTTCTAGTTAATTTAAGGGCTGGTTTTTTTTGTTTCACTACACTGAATATGAAAAATTCCAATCTGTAAAGCGTACTACTCGCTATTAAATCCAAGAAGACATTTGTGTGTCATAAAGTAAAACGTACTCATTGTTACTCTCTGGCCGAGCATTTCGATGGACGATTAGTCATTGTATCACAGGCCGATTAATTATTTTTATTTTATACTATAGTACTCCGTAGTAGATAGATTATGAAGTGTGAAGCTTAGAAAATTGATGATAACTTCACACTTTGGCTTTTGCTTTACAGCCGTCATCTTTATTTATTTTTGAAAGATAGTTTCATTTAATATTTCAAGTGGCAAGCCAAATTTCCAAATAAAATATAGATAAAAAACAAATTCTGCATTTACTAACTATAAATGAATCACACTACTGAAGAAAAATCATAAATGATTCCTGATTCTGACCGTTAACATATTAATGTCTAAAGACCATACGACAAAAATCAATAGCTAGAATCTTTATATGATGACAATAAATCGCAAATATCGTGATGTAGCTGTATCCAAATCTCCGACTATAATATACAAGATCAAACCGATTAGCTAGTAAAAAAAAATGTTTTAAAAGTATATGTATAAGATCAAAACAAATTCAATATCAGAATATATATCTGTAACTACAATCGCAAAATATCTGTCGATGTATCTAAACCTCCAAATATATAGGATTATGTGATAATCAAATCGAGTATTGCGGCTACTTATATATAAAAAAATTTAGTTGTTATAGATTTGAAAAAAGATTCTAAAAATAATCACCAAACGACACGTAATTAAAGCTAATTAGGAGCTTAACGAATACGTAAAACACCATTTAAATAAAAACAAAGTGAGAGAAAGAAGCAAACAAAATATAAGAGAGTGAGAAGAAGAGGACAGAGAAGAGAGAGGAGCCAGTGAGAGAAGAGACCTTTACCACACACAAACCCACTCAATCCACCACACACACACACACATCCGCCATTAAAACCCAAAAAAGCTTCTGCTCCGATTCAATCCCAAATCAGTAAAAATAGGGTTAATCGAAGAACCCCACCGGAATTCCACAGAGGAATTGCATCACTCGCGTTCCTGCTGCGGTTTGAGGAAGAAGAAGAACGGTAACGGTAACAATATCAAGGAGGAAGATAAAGTTAAGATGCAGACGACGGAAGCGCAGCCGCAGCAGAACCAGTCGATGGTGAGCTTGAGCTTTAGCAGCCAGATGTCGAAGGAAGACGAGGAGATGGCTCGCTCTGCTCTCTCCGCTTTTAGGGTTAAAGAGGAGGAGATCGAGAAGAGGAAAACGGAGGTTCGCGAACGGGTCAAGGCTCAGCTGGGTCGGGTTGAGGAAGAGACCCGTCGTCTCGCCAGCATCCGCGAGGTTTGTTTTGAATTTTGCTTTTTAAGAAAGTTTAAATTCAAAGATCTAAGAGATTTTCAGGGGAAATAAATTTTAGATTTTTAAGCTCAAATGATTTGAAATTATACTCATGCACGTTGATTCATGTGTGTCTTTGTCTTTTTGATATGAGTTTTTGTTACTGCTCTGATAAATTTGAAGATTAGGGTTTTCAGATGTGAAAACTTGTTGATTCTTGACAGGATAGAAGGGCAAAATGGGAATTTTTTTTGCAACTTGAAAATTTAATGATTTTAAGCAAATGATTCTGCATGTTCTCAATTTGGTTGAACACATTAGAACTTTGTTGATGGATTAATGGAGATTAGATCACACAATCAAGTGAAACCTAAAATTAAACTTGAGAAACAGGAAATCTCTAGGATTTGGACATGAACAACATTTGCTTCTTCTTCTTGTTGTGTCCGCAAGTTCTGTTTCTCAGGAAAGGATTTGACTTTGTGGAAATGATCATGTTTTCATTTTCAGGAGCTTGAGTCTATGGCAGATCCTATGAGGAAGGAAGTTTCATGGGTGCGTAAGAAGATTGATAGCGTCAACAAAGAACTCAAACCATTAGGCGCCACAGTCCAAAAGAAGGTAAAGAGCTGTTGCTTCATTTGATTGATGTTTACTTAAATAGTTTTGGTCTTTTACTAAACCCATAATGCAATTCATAAATGTCAACTGAATAGGTTTTTGGGTTGTTATGATGTTGACAAAGGATTTGATTTTGCAAAATTTGGGTTCACAAAAGTCAAGATTTTTAAGAGTTTTTCAAAGAGTCAAAACACGAACTAATGTATTTGTGTGTGTGTGTGTGATGACATGAAAACAGGAAAGGGAATACAAAGAAGCATTGGATACATTCAATGAGAAGAACCGTGAGAAAGTTCAGCTGATCACTAAGCTAATGGAGGTTAGTTTCGAATTCTTGGTTCTAATTTCGCTGAAATGAAGAGAACAAAACCGAGTTCTTTTTTGCGGTTAAAAGACATTAACCGGGTTAATTTGTTTTCTTTGTTTCTAAATTTTCTCCCTGGGGAGATGGGACAGTTGGTTGGAGAAAGCGAGAAGCTGAGGTTGAAGAAGCTGGATGAGCTAAGCAAGAGCATAGACACTTGAGTGTGAATCTATCTCACAAGCAAGACCAAAGTCGAAGAACTAATTGGGCTTAGGGTTATGGTTCTATTTAATGTATTTTATTTATTGATTTTTCATTTTGGAAGATGTGAAACTCGTGTGTTTTTTTTTCTTTTTAGTTTCTGGGTGTTTTAGGATTTTTTTTCTTCTTTTTCAATGGATTTGTGGGTTGATTTGTAAAATTATGATGGGTGTTTAAGTTCTTAGTTAACCAAATTAGGGAAGGAAACATGTGATAATGCTTAGCTACTGAATGATGCTAAAAGGGTTTGTAAGTTTGAAATTATCTTTTTCTTTTTTGTGTTTTCAATTATTATTTTATTTGTTTTAATATCTTGCTTTATTTTAATTTCATTTCCCCCCAACTATGTTTTAGCTTTTTCACTTTTTGGAAAAAGTAGGCCTCTCGCCGACGAACGTGTGTGTACTTTTGAAATTGAGACGACTTCCTGTCAAAGTATATGATGTCTTGACTCACAATAGACGCAACAAATTTTGAACGTTTCCCAATTATTGTTTTCAAACTCAAAACGTTTAAGATATTATACTAATTGATCTTAAGTTGAACAGGTCACAAGGTTAATGTAAACCAATTGGTCTATAGCTAACCGCTCGAACATGTAATCTCACCTATCAATCCCCTTTTTCTTTGAATGAATAGTAAAGTACATTAGATTATTCCATCGAGCTGGTAAGATAGAAATATTCGATCTTACGGACAAATCGATGTGCTAGTCTATATACAACCAAACCATTTAGTCTAATATGATCTGGAAAGCATAATGCTTTTATGATATGTAGTGGAGAACCACTTAAAAACACCTTCAAACAGTAGGCCCATCCTATAATTGAGAGTAATTAGCGAATCAGACGCAAATAAACGCATTTAAACGATATCTAACTATGCATTAGTTGCTGTATTAGTGTATTACTCATTACAGGCACTGGCATATATACAAGTGGGCTTTTGACGCTTTTCAATGGAGAATACTTTCGAGGACAGTAAAACTTTTGTTTATTCTGTAGGAAGAGAAAACCACCCGAAATAAAATATTGATCAGTGGGCTTGTGTCTGTTTTGTAAAATTGTAAACTTGTGATAGAGAAGTGAGAGCTTCTTCTCAGCTTTATGCTTCTTGTCTGAAGCTCCATTGGTCTACAATTTAAAATTTTCGAATGGAGGAAGATGTTTATGACATCTAGTAACCAAAGAAGCAAAGACGATAAATTAGGCTCAATTAGCGGAAATTCAACTTAAAACTGGCTTTTTATTTGGGCGTTTCTTAAACACTCAATTCTAAAAAACAAAACATCCAATCCAAATCAAAACACAAACTGAAAAACAAAAATCCAAAAGCATCGTTACTCCGATAATGTCAAAGCAAAATGTAAAAAAACCCTTGGAAATATATCGAGGGTGAAGATGACGTCACAACCATTGACGCTTCTCAGTACTTGTAATCCTTCACGTGAAGGCTCTCTGCGGCTCCATCACCGAGCTTGGCATCACCCTTGTAGGTTCCAAGAGTGGCTTCAGAGTTAGCCTTGCACCTCACGTACAACGCCTCTTGAGCGGCCTTCACGTTCTCCTCTTTGCCTGCCCATGTCTTCAAAGTGCTCTGTTGCAACGCACGTCCGAACGAGAAAGACAATGACCATGGCTTCTTCGTCTTCAACTGGTTCATCGCGTTCAAGTTCTTGGTCGCTTCCTCCTCGCTCTGTCCACCGGACAAGAACACGACGGCTGGAACAGCGGCTGGGACGGTCCTCTGGAGGGCACGGACGGTGTGCTCAGCGATGACCTCTGGGGTAACCTTGGCACTGTCAGATCCAGGAGTGACCATGTTAGGCTTCAAGAGAGTTCCCTCGAGCAAGACGTGGTGGTCGCTGAGGGCCTTGTAGCAAGCTGCAAGGACCTTCTCAGTGACGGCGGCACACTTGTGGATGTCATGGGATCCGTCGACAAGGATCTCTGGCTCGACGATGGGCACAAGACCGTTCTCTTGGCAGATGACGGCGTATCTGGCTAATCCGTAGGCGTTCTCGTGGATGGAGTGCTCTGATGGCTCGTTCTCGCCGATCTTGAGGACCGCACGCCACTTGGCGAAACGTGCACCGGCTTCGTAGTACTTCTTGCATCGCTCACCGAGACCGTCAAGACCCTGAGTGGTGGTCTCGCCGTTGGTTCCGGCTAGCTCGACGGTACCCTTGTCAACTTTGATTCCTGGAAGAACACCTCCTTCCTTCAAGATGTCAACGAAAAGCTTGCCTGTGTATATCAAAGCAAAACAAATCAGAAATCTCTACATACACACATATACAGTGACTACAGTTACACAAAGGATCGATTTCATACCATCGGAGCTCTTTTGGTAAAGAGTCTCTTCGAAGAGGATGACACCGCTGAGGCAGGGGAGAGCACCGGGGGCGGTGAAGAGAAGCTCACGGAGGTTACGTCTGTTGGTCTCGTTGTTCTCGACGTTGATGCTCGCAAGACGCTTTCCGATGGTTCCGGTGGATTCATCGGCGGCGAGAATACCTTTTCCGGGTGTGCCGATGTAGGCGGCGTTAGCGATCAACTCATCTGCGAAAGTTACAACGCATAAACAATTACAAAACGGAACAAAATTGATTCAATCAATTTGAGAATCAACAACAGATCGTGAATACAAATGATTAGATCCATTACGTTAGCTATATGACAGATCGAAATCACGAAGAATTTTACACTGATGATGAACACTGAATCAGATCTAACTCTAGTTTTCAAATCACATAATTCATCGACAGATCTAATTCAATTCCCAGAATAAGCAACAGTGAAGCATCTAATCCAGATCTATAGAGTTAACAAACGCGAACATGAAGCAAAACAACAGATCTAGCTATTCAATAGAAGGATTATAACGAAACGATTACTAACTGCGACGGCGAGATAAACGGAAAACATAGATTGAGAGAGAGAGATAGATCTTTACCGGCGAATTTGCTGGTGAAGGCAGACATGGTGATGACGGATCGATCGAGGAGAAAAAGTTTTGGAGAGAAGCGGAATAAAGGAGACGAGAGAGAGAAGTAGGTGGACCAGTAGAGGAAAAGGGTTGGGTTTTATAGGTGGAGATGAGAGACGAATGGTTTGGTGACAAGGTTAATTTAATTACGGGTTAGATTTAGATCTGTGGCATGTTCTCCAAGAAATAGCTTTTCAGCCGTTGGATCTCACGTGGTTTAGTTGGCAAGTTTTGGCTATTCTCGTTTTTGCCCCTTATTACCATTTATACAAGGGGGTAGCTGAGAGGTAATTTTGGTAACTCGTAAGGTGTTATTTCAGGAAATGCATGACTTCGACCGCACCACGGCTTAAACCTTCTCCGGCATAAACCGTCAAAACGAATTTTAATTTAGTTTGTGTAATATTAAAATCCCAATAATCATTGTTGCAGAACTTTTTCTTTGATAATCATATCATAATAGGCTGCACTTAGACAGTTTGACTACGAAATTCCATATTATATTCTTATTAACATGGTTATGTTTTAAAGTATTCACATAAAAATGTGGACTTTGATATCTCCGAACATAGAAAATATCAAAATATGATCTGAGAATTAGATAGAGACACATCAACAGAAACAGCTGCAACTCTTCATTTACATGAAGCATCATCATGCTATCAAAGTTATTTGCTTTCTACCGACATGACTGTAGACTGTGTACACTACACAGTGTAGGATACAACTATTTTGTAAGTTTTAAAGTGTCTTTTTAGGATCTCTAATTAGTTAATTTTCTATCTTTCGGGCTTTTTTATTTATTTAAATGATGCATATCAACAAATTTACAGGGTTTTGACAGCATTCAGCATATTATTAGATTGTGATATGTGTATATGATTATAAATGGAAACAGATTTTCCCCTATTCATCATATTCCTTTCAGAAATAAATTAAAAGAGGAAAATAAAATCATGTCTGACTTGTGCAGAAAGAATAAAAGTATACAAGGAACTAAACTTCTACAACTTTATTACATTTCTTGCTTCCTAAGCCTTCCTGTCAACATTTCTATAACTTTGTTTACAAAACTATAAGGAAACAAATCTGTTACTCTGTAAACCTTTTTACAATTTTTATACTTCGTTTTTGACGACCAAGAAAAGACACTCTTTTTTGGCTTTTGGCATGCATCAACATTCAACATCAAAATGTCTTTGCATGAATATAATCATAATCTTTAACAAAAATGAATATAATAATAATATATTCGTTCGTCTGTTATAGTATTTTTCCATTTCAGCAAGTATATTATTATAACGACACTTACATCACAAAATACAAAAAGCTTTAATTTTAAGACACATATTTTATTTTTGGATAATAATGGATGCAAATTTACTACTTTTGTCTGATATCAGTCGCAAACTTTATGTTATTGTCTAATTTTTAAAGTTTCATATAATGTCAAGCCGATACTGAATACAACAGGTCAACAGCCTCTCACAACTAGAAAATGAAGCTGATGTAACACGATGGAACAATTGTACTTTTCAAAGCGTCTCAGTATATTTGTTTTTTTTTCCAAATATATCAGTCCACAAAAGAGAACACACAGTACGTAGAATTCTCAAAAGCTGTTCAACGGTTCAGTCTAAACATTGCTAAAAGCCAATAATGGAATCTTCTAATGTCACATTGAGACAAGAAAATGAAATAAAGACGCAAGAGGATGATGAATTTCAAAGGATCCATGACTTGGCTAAATTAATAGACGTAAGGAAGGATTCTATAGGGGACACGTCTAAGATAATCTGCCCAAATCTCCTTGTACTTCTCTGCACATTTTTCCTCGTCTCTTCGTTCTCTCCATATCAACAGTATCAAGAGGTATATCGGGTAGAAATATGGAATTGGAGAACTGAGAATACACAATACAACATCATAGATTAGTTTGTCTTAAAGATAAGAGAGAATCTCAGATACCACCGATCAACATCTAAATCTTAGCCAAATCGGTATTTGATATTAGCATCTATATATACATGACTTTGGTAGTTGTAAGATGAAACTCAAGCTGCATAAGTTACCTTATTCCACAGGGCAAACTGAAAGACAGAGCAAGCATCAAGTCGCCAAGGTAATTGCAGTGCCTTGCGATTCCCCTGTAATGTTTAATAAAGAGCAGATAAGTAAATTATCGAAGTGTATCATTGTTCACCACTACACAATCAAAGACAGACGGCGAAACAAAGCAAAAAGACTAGAGAAGAAAAAGAAAGGTCGTACCAAAAGCCTGAAGCAAGCAGCTTCCCACCAACAACCACTGGAGGCTTACCCCATATAGGTGTTTTAGGGTTCTTCTTAAAGATATGTTTTTGTGTGTTAGCCCCTCGGAAAACCATGTATCTGCCAAAAAATAAAAGAATTTGTGGGTTTCTTAGTCGAGTTTCTAAGGATGTAAATAACCCAATGACTCGGAACTTACCCTGTCAAGAACACAAGGCAATTGGCTACAATCGCAGGAACTGTTAGTTCTACTTTGTTGTGCAAAAGCCACCAGCCCTGTAACCAGAGTGAAGACAACGGTCACATAGTGATTAAGCATTCAAGAACGATACTGGTTCTGAGAATTACTATTACATGCCAAGAAAATAGTTCCATTAGGATAAAATTCAAGTATGTCCTGTTTGTGTGTTCAAGCTCAGAGTTACATGCCTGAATGCTAAAAGTGAAAGGAATCCAGAAGAGATCTCCAAACACCAGCATGAAGCCCAATCTCTCAGCAATTATGTCCCACCTGAAACATATAAAATCAAAATTGATAAACACAGTATTCAGAAAGATCAAAGTAAGAGGGAGGAATAAAGGAAATGGTCACATTTTGGTATGACAAATGCGTTTCCTCAACATGCCAGGTACTTACGTAGAGGTCATGTATTCTTCATGAACAAAGTAGTCCAATATATATATCTGCAATTACAGAGCTAATCAAAACTAACAAAACACGGATGATAAGAACTTCAAGAAGAAGAAGTTGTAAGTAAAAGCCAAATGTACCGCACAGAAAATCTGGTAAAGAATCATCGACTGACTCAAGGAACCATCCTGCACACTTTTTGCCAGAATTGAGAGATTGATAAGCAGCCATCCCATCATCCCGGCTTTGACAAAGAGAAACCTACACACAAGGAATTGTTCCCATCATTATAAAAGATGCATAACTTTAGATTGTATCATTTAATTGCTACTCGATATGTGTACTAAGCAAACTGAACCAGTGATGCTGCTTGGGCTGACAAATAGGAGAAAAAAAGGGGAAAGATGGATTACTTAAGATCAATGCTCAAAAACTGAGGATTCAGCTGTATTCCAAACCACCTATCACATGAAACAAACAAGATGAGAACAAAAAAATCAAAGCAGTTGTTTCGAAGAAGCAAGTGAAAGACATAAACCAGAAATTCTAGTTTCGATAGAAAAGTTCAAAAGCTAAAGTCACTGGCTCAATTACAGAGGAAGCTACAACCATTCTGGGAGGAATTATTCAAGACTCTACAAGGTTCTATAGAATCATATTGTTCAAATCGTTGTTTCGTATTCAATATTGTACCAGATTACGCATTATTTCTTACTTTCGCAAGCGCAGATAACAAAGTATATAACAAAATGAGTATTATCTACAAATGTAATATGCCAGTACCAGTCATGTACAAGGTTTCCTGAGACATGAGGCTTTAGCGAAGAACTCTTATCCAAGGAACTCCGCCCACTAACATCTAATGCCAATGTCACCTAATTTGATATTAAGAGAAATCATGGAGATATTAAACTAAGAGACATAAATTTGATATTGTGGATTAAATGAGGATCAATCATCTTTACCAAAACACAGAAGATAAAAGTAGCTGAGAGTAGCTCAAGTCCTCTATCAGCAACTACCTGCAAACATCGCGATGAGTATGATAAAGCAAAAACAAACTAAACTTTCATTTCTGTAAAAGTATATCAATTCGGATTCAAAGCAATCTTCAAATTGTTCTTGATGATCACAAAATTGTAACTACACTTACAAGAGGTGATACAATGCCGAGTTTAGCACAGATTCCCAAAATAGCGACCAACAATGTCAGTGTAAATAGACCTGAAAATAGGATTTTGGGGGAGAAATATATCGGTAAGCCATCTGTAATCTCATGAATTGTATCGGTAAGCTTCTTCAGCTCACAGAATCTCATGAATTGTAGAGACTAAGAATCAGATCAAATCACCATTGCATCGGTAACGAAGCTGTGAGCCATCTGATAAAACGACGCCGCGAATTACTTTCCCGGGGAGGATTTCTCCAGCAACGGCCAAGTAAACGAAGTAAAACACCAGCACGTACACCTGAATCCGGGAAATGATTTTGAGAAATCCAGAATAAGCTAAAACTGATTAAAAGCGGAATCACAAGACGGATTGAATCAAAGGTAAAGAGAGATAGCTCACGGATTGCAATGAGGGAATAAGAGATGGTAGAAGGACACCGAGATCCATATCTAGCATTCGCAGGGTGATTCAAAGTGGAAGACGAAGCATTCGAAATCGATTGTATCGCCTCTCTCTCGCTTTGTTTAATTCAGATTGGCAGAAGAAAAGAAACAACAGATTTCAATTTTTTTAGTGGGAAGCTCGTGGACTCTGCTGAGTTCACTTGTTTAGTTAGGGAAACGTTTTCCAAATAAACCCTTAAACTCTTTTATTTATACGAACAAAGCCTAAAACTAAACATTTTTCCGTTAAGCCCCCGTTAAGCTTGGCAACAGATGCAACCACGCGGATATAAATTAAATAAAACATTTTCAATAACAAAATCAACTTAACAACGAAAATGTAGATAGTTGAATTCAATTTCTACTCGAAAGTCTTTGAAAAAAAGATAGATATATATATATATCTATATAAAAAACTCTTACAAAAAAGTCTTCACCGATCAAATTAGAATTTGGTAACTCTTTGGAAGAGGAAGTTCCATTTGTGAAGAGTCGTGGAGCCAGTTGACCAGAAGCAATCAACTTGCATATAAACTATTATATTATTTGACATTTTTCGTCTAACCAACACAAATATTTATTTGAACGTTCGATGATAAAAATTGTATTTATGCCAGCGTACCCATCCTTTCATAAAAAAGAAGATAATGTTGTAATACTTGTAGTACTCGTCACGGGTCTCTTTATTGTTTAGCGATACAAATTTCAAATATTTGTTTTCAAAAGAGACAGGGAAATTACGAACTTTATACTACATCGACGGACACAATTTAATTTCCGGTTATTCATTTCTTGGTCTTATATTCTCAACACACTAACTTTTCATTATAGCCGTCGATTCTAATTTATGACCAAAACAAAATTAAATAAGAAGAAGAATAAAGTGTGGTTCACCACACACACCCACATACGTGGAAGAAGAAAAGGCCAATGAAAAGTCGATAAATGGCTAAAGACAATTGTTAATAGCGGTTTGGTTTTGGAAACAAACCAGAGAGACAAGTTGCTCCAGAGGTGGAAGATAGAACGAAGGTAAACCCTAATCTCAATCATCCTCCACAACTTCTTACTCCAATTCGAGGTTTTCAAGTTTCATCCTTCTCAACTCTCTATTGCTCGTCATCATCATTTCTCATAAATCCCAATCCATTTCCTCTCTTTCGACCTGATTTCATTGCTCGTGTATATGCGTCGGAAATTTCTCGTCTTTACTGTTTAGATATTCGTATCACTGAGTTACGAATCTTATCGTCTCTATTGCATCGCCAAACGATTTAGGTTTCCATTTTTTCCAGAAATTCGTTCGTATTTGAATTTCAATCTGATTTCTGTTTTGACGGATTCTGGATTTTTTTTTTCTCAGGTTCAGGATCTAAGAAAACCCTAGATTGATCGAATCGAAATGAGTACTCAAGCGTCAGGGCCTTCTTCGACATCAGGGAGGAGAAGCACCTCAAGTGTACGGCGAGGAGGAGGACCACCACCGCCGTCCAAAAAGTCTCTCCAATCAGAGAACGGAAGCGTCAATGGAGGTTCCACCTCAAAACCCAATTCACCTCCTCCTCAACCCCAACCTCCTTCCAACGTAGAGAGAACAGTGAAGAAGCTCCGATTATCAAAAGCCCTCACAATCCCCGAAGGCACCACCGTCTTCGACGCTTGTCGAAGAATGGCGTCTCGCCGCGTCGACGCCGTTCTCCTAACCGACTCAAGCGCTCTCCTCTCCGGGATCTGCACAGACAAAGACGTAGCCACGAGAGTAATCGCAGAAGGATTAAAACCGGATCAAACTCTAGTCTCCACGGTGATGACAAGGAATCCGATCTTCGTCACATCTGATTCCTTAGCCATAGAAGCTCTTCAGAAGATGGTTCAAGGGAAATTCAGGCACTTGCCCGTTGTGGAGAACGGAGAAGTCATCGCTCTGTTGGATATCACTAAGTGTCTATACGATGCAATCTCAAGAATGGAGAAAGCTGCAGAGCAAGGAAGCGCTTTAGCAGCTGCTGTTGAAGGCGTTGAGAAGCAGTGGGGAGCTGGATACTCTGCTCCTTATGCTTTCATCGAGACCTTGAGAGAGAGAATGTTTAAACCGGCTCTGTCGACGATAATCACTGAGAATTCAAAAGTTGCTCTTGTAGCACCAACAGATTCTGTTTATGTTGCTGCGAAGAGGATGAGAGATTTGAGAGTTAACTCTGTGGTGATTTCCAACGGGAGCAAGATTCAGGGGATCTTGACTTCGAAGGATATTTTAATGAGAGTTGTGGCGCAGAATCTGTCTCCTGAGAAGACTCTTGTGGAGAAGGTGATGACTCCGAATCCGGAATGTGCGTCGCTAGAGACGACGATTCTTGACGCGTTGCATACGATGCACGACGGGAAGTTCTTGCATCTTCCGATTGTGGATAAAGATGGATCCCCTGCGGCGTGTGTGGACGTGTTGCAGATAACTCACGCGGCGATTTCGATGGTTGAGAACAGCTCTGGAGCTGTGAACGATATGGCGAACACGATGATGCAGAAGTTTTGGGACTCGGCTCTTGCGTTGGAGCCAGCTAATGACGATTCGGATACTCAGAGCGAGATGTCGGCGATGATGCAGCATTCTGATATTGGGAAGCTCGCTTCTTACCCGTCTTTAGGGCTCGGGAGCTCGTTTTCGTTCAAGTTTGAGGATCTTAAGGGACGTGTGCATCGGTTTAGTTGTGGTGGTGAGAGTCTTGAGGAGCTGATGGGTGTTGTGATGCAGAGGATTGGTGGTGGTGACGGTAACGAGATGGAAGAAAGGCCGCAGATTGTGTATGAGGATGATGAAGGTGATAAGGTTTTGATTATGTCGGATAGCGATTTGGTTGGTGCTGTTAGTCTTGCTAGGTCTACAGGACAGAAGGTGTTGAGGTTGCATCTGGACTTCAGCGAGACGACGACTACGAGGAGCTTGAGCTTGGAAACGGGTCAGGTCAAGAAAGTGGAGTGTCTAAAGGGAGAAGGAGGAGGATGGGTTTCGTGGCGTGGTGGTGTTGTGGTTACGGGAGCTGTTGTTCTAACGAGCATAGCCGTAGTTGTTTACTTGAAACGCTCACAGAATTGATATTTTTTTGGTGGGGTGAAACTGTTTGGGAGGCAAAAACATGTCTCATTTTTGTGTAAGTTTCATACTATTTGTCTTTTTGGGTTTCCCTTACATGTTTTGCGGATGCAAAAAAGAAACTTTGTTTCCCTAAGATATTAAATTAAAGGGGAAAAACTTTTGTTAAGAAGTGAAGTAAGATTTGACAGAGTTTATATGTAAAACCTGGGGATGAAAGCGAGAAAAATAAAACCAGAATGTTGTTGCACTGCAATGTTTCTGATATTTGAACTATTTGGGTTATATTAGTTTCATTCTTGCAATTGTATTTGTGTTCAACTGTTGTTACTTGCCCTGAGAAATTGTTCTGTGGATGTGAGGAACAAAAAGAGAGCAGAGGGAACATATCGAGGATATAGAAGTCTGTGGTCAAGTCCTGCTATATGTTTTGAGGCATTAGCTTCCATATTGAACGGGATATGTGGTGCGGTTTGATTGCATACTTAAGCAAACCAACAAAGAAATTACATCATCGACAATGATGTAGTCCAATGTGAGGTTGAGAAGATCACAAATAATGGAAAATGAATGAATACAATGACGAATATATAGTTAACGGATGAGTGAGTAAACAGGATAGCAGGTTTGCCCGAGAGGTTAAGGGGGAAGACTTAAGTTCTTCTGCACATAAGTGCGCGTGGGTTCGAACCCCACAGCCTGCATTTTTTCAATTTAATTATCTTTTTGGACTTATATCTTAGAGACAGACAGACTCCAACGTAGATTTCGAGTGTTGTGGTTAAAATTTAAAAGGAGATAGCTAGGAGCAAATCACATGAAGAGAAGTGAGAACATAGAGAGAGGTTCAACGCTTAATAAAGAGTCAAAACCGATGTTACTCACTCTCTAACGACAGACTCAACTTGTACGCCATTTTAGGATTGGTCTAGCTAAAAGTAGCAGGTGATTGCTTAAGTAGTTGTTGAAAAATGAGAAAGATCTCACGAGAAAGATCTCACGATTCCAAACATGAAACATCACATTTTACATCTCACCCAAACCAACAACTTCCCAAAGTTGCTTTCTAAGTCGATGTGGACACAGATTTTCTTCAGACTGGATCGGCTAATTTGGAAACATACGATGATGATACGAATCTATTTAAGAACCGTGTGACTGTGAATCTCGTAGATGTTAAATTATAATTGGAACGCATAGAAAGAAGCAGAAAAGGGATCACGAGATAACCAAACAAAAAGCTAATATAAAAGATCACATGAATCCAACACACTGTTCTCTACCAAAAAGTAGAACCATTTCAGCTGAAAACAAATCGTTTATTTCATTTTGGAGCCTCACATAGTAATCGAACTCTGTTGGCTCTGTTGGATTCTCCCTCTCTCTAGTACGGCTCGACTGGCGTCCGGAAGTTGGCTCCTGCATACACTGCCTCTGCTCCAAGCTCCTCCTCAATTCGCAATAGCTATTCATTATATCAAACAGTACATGCATCAGTCTCATGAATCTTATCTACTCTCAGATTCTATCAAAAACAAACACAACACAAACCTGGTTGTATTTGGCAAGACGCTCTGATCTGCAAGGAGCTCCAGTCTTGATTTGCCCCTGTTAGATTAACACGGAGACTCAATATACTGTCATGATCTGAATTGGACAAGACACAGAAAATTTTGAATTGCTTAAGGAGTTTTGACTTACGGTTGACAAACCGACGGATAAGTCAGCAATGAACGTGTCCTCGGTTTCTCCACTGCGGTGGCTAGCCATCACTCCCCAACCGGCTTTCTTTGACATCTTAACCGCCTCAATACTCTCGGTGACAGATCCAATTTGGTTAACCTGTTTGTTCATTAGCCAAGGATTTATCAAAACTCTTTCAAAGATCTCTAATTCAACCATACTAGTAAATGTGGGTGAGGATGTTTACCTTCAAAAGAAGAGCATTGCAAGACTTTTCACTGATTGCCTTTGCAACTCTCTGCACACGAAAGAGTGTTAGAGATATAACACACTAAGAGAAAGATAGAGAGGGAAAGTTGTAAGGTTTGATTAACAATGGCAGACCTTGGGGTTGGTGACCAACAGATCATCACCGACAATCTGAACCTTGTCTCCACACTCAGTGGTCATCTTAGCGTAATGAGTCCAGTCATCTTGGTCAAATGGGTCCTCAATGGACACAATTGGGTACTCTGCAACGAATGACTTGTACAGGTCCTTAAGAGCATCTCCAGAAATCTTCTGGGAACCGTCATTGTTCTGCAAGTAAACAAATATGAGTATGAGCTATAGCTATTGAGAGCATTGTTCTTGATTTCTTCTCTTCTTTAAAGCAGGAAAGACTAGTTTACCTCTTCTTTGAAGTTCAAGTCGTAGGTCTTGTCTGATGAGTAGAATTCGGAAGCAGCGACATCCATTCCAATGACAACCTTGCCAGTGTATCCGGCTTTCTCGATGGCAGTCTTGAGAAGTTCAAGACCTTCCTTGTTCTCCTGAATGTTTGGTGCAAAGCCACCTTCATCTCCAACATTTGTTGCATCCTGACCGTACTTCTTCTTGATCACAGACTGAAATTCACATGAAAGCAAGAGGAATGAATAAGTCACATTAAACAAGTTAAAAGAGTAAAAGAGGAAATAATTTTTGTATAATCATTATGTCATAATATGAAAACACTTGAAAGACGCAAATGATTCAAGAATTACCTTCAAGTTGTGGTAAACTTCCACACCCATTTTCATGGCTTCCTTGAAAGATGAAGCTCCAACAGGGAGAATCATGAACTCCTACACAAACACCATTTTGTATCTCAGTAAACTTCAAGAAACAGAGAGTCTTGCAATTATATCCGTTCACAAAATGGAATCAAACATGTCATACCTGCATTGCAAGCTTGTTTCCTGCATGGGATCCACCGTTGATGACGTTAAAAGCAGGAACAGGCAGCACCAGCTTAGGGTTACCAGCAAGATTCGCAATGTGCTGCACCAAGATACAAAAAAAACAAAGCAAAAGAGTTGAGATGACCTTGTAATAAGTGAAAATCTTTAGTGCTAAGTGCAAGATCATCAAACCTTGTAGAGAGGAATTCCATTAACAACAGCGCCAGCTTTGCAGACAGCAAGAGACACGGCAAGAATAGCATTGGCTCCAAGCTGTTAACAAACACAAGAAGCAATCCCGGTTAAAAATCATTTGCCATATTCTCAAGCTAAACAAGGAAGCGTTTCAACGCACCTTTTGCTTGCACCAGCCCCATTCATTTTGGGTCCCATCAAGTTCGTGAACCATGAAGTTGTCAATAGCAGTCTGCTGAGTTGGGTCCTGCAACAACCAAAACAACAGAAACTTACTTTGAGCAATTGATCCATAGACGTCTAGAAACGTTTGATACAGAGAAGGGTTTTAACAGAATCGCCACCTTTCCAATCAATGCTGGGCCAATAATTGAGTTAACATTTCCAACAGCCTATAGACACCAATAGGAATATATGTCAAACATAAGAGTCTCTGTGGGGCAAAAAGGTACAAAATCACGATCATCATAACACACTCACCTTTGAGACACCTTTTCCAAGGTAGTCAGATCCTCCATCCCTTAGCTCGAGGGCCTCGTACACTCCTATTATAAGTTTACAATAAGTTATACCAAAAATCCACTAATAAAGATCAATCTAAACAAACACTTTGTGTATGTATCAAAATAAACTTTAGGAGAATATCAAAAGCAGCATATATATACCAGTGGAAGCTCCACTAGGAACGGCGGCAGTGACCTTAACGCCGGTGGATGTGTGGATATCGACCTAAAAATCAACAGATAAATCCCAAAATCATTACTCCTATTTCCGATTTCAAATCGATCAATGAAAAATGCAGTGATTCGACGAGTGATTAAAAATCGGACTAATTCCGATCCATCGTACAGATCATCAAAGCTAAGAACCGAATCAGCCAAAAAATATTGATTAGGAGAATGGATGTAAGCCTCAAACATCGATCATCATCACTCACAGAACATAATCTCACAAAGGAATTAAAGTAGCGAGAAATACGATATACAGAAACAGATAGAAAAATCAGCTCAATACTCACAATTGAAACAGATCTACCATGAATAAAAAGAATGTAAAAAAGCGATCGGAGAGTGTGAAACTCATCGGGAGCTACGAACCTCGACGGTGGGGTTCCCACGGCTGTCGAAGATCTGCCTAGCTTTAACAGCAGTGATAGTAGCCATAGTAGTCGATTAGATCTTAGAGAATAGAAGCTGAAAGAGTTCGAAGGTTTTGCTGAAGAAGGCTCGTCGAAGCTTTGATTTCACACAGATATGCAATTGTGCTCTTTTGCTTCGTATATATAACGGGAAAGGGGAAAACTGTTCAGTTTAGATTACGGCCGTTGGATTAGAAGTATTGAGATCTAGTAATAGCCGTACGATCAAAAGAAGATACAAAATGTAAATACTTGCGATTTCTTTTTTTTCGTTTTGCTCCTTGCTCAAGTAACAAGTATAAGGAAACGAAATCATATGAAAATTTATGTTTTTAAACCACGCCTTATTTGCAAATTTTCCAAAAAAAATAATTTGTTTTTTCTACTAGTTCTAGTAATTAATAAAGTAAGATTTATTTCCTTTTCATTTTTGAAAATATGACTTATTTTTTAATTGTATTTACAAAAATAAAGTTAGGTAGCTTAAAAACCAAAAGAAAGTGGAATGAATTTGTGAAATGTAGCGGTCGACAGCATAAACTCGACGACAGGTGGTGGAATAACAGACACAGCTACCAACTCAGACTGATAGGAATATACCTTTGGTATCTTTAGCTGTTGATTTAATTAATTTGTTAAAAGATTTCTATCCTTCTGAGAACTCTACTATAATGCAGATCCTTAACAGGATTTTAATCACATTTTTCTTCTCTTTTCCGATCATTGTCATACAAGTTCTTAACAGTTGATTGTGTGTGTGTGTGTGAGTGTGTGTGATAATTAGTATACCAGTGGAAACATTTTCTCTTTTAGTTATCTTGCTAATTCCTTTTCCGGAAACAGCAAAAATAATATTCTTCCGACAGGAATTTAGACTTGAAATTAGCAAATTCGCTTATTCTTTCGGTATATTCGCTTAAATAAGAAATTTAACATTTTAATATATAAAAATAATTATGAACTGAAGAAGCCCAGCGATGTATACAATTATAACTGAGGCCCATTTACTTACATCAGGCCCAAAACACTCAGCCTTCTATCACTCTACTCACTTCATCCAGAAAATCACGAACCTCTCCGAGTTCACTGACCAAAGAAACAAACATTTCATCCATGGCGACTTCTCTCTCCGTCTCCAGGCTCCTCTCATCCTCCTCAGCCACCGCCATCTCCGTTGCCAAGCCGTTACTCTCCCCCACCGCTGCCTTCACCGCGCCAATCTCCTTCACCCGCTCTCTCGCTCCCAATCTCTCCCTCAAATTCCGCAGCCGCCGCTCCAATTCCACATCCGCATCCACCACCAGATCCTTCGCAACAACCGTCTCCGCCTCCATTTCCGTCGGAGACAAGCTCCCCGACTCCACTCTCTCCTACCTCGATCCCGCCACCGGCGATGTCAAAACCGTCACAGTCTCCTCCCTCACCGCCGGTAAAAAAACCATCCTGTTCGCCGTCCCCGGCGCCTTCACTCCGACCTGCTCCCAGAAACACGTCCCTGGATTCGTTTCCAAAGCAGGAGAGCTCAGATCTAAAGGCATCGATGTCATCGCCTGTATCTCCGTGAACGACGCGTTCGTGATGGAAGCGTGGAAGAAAGACCTCGGAATCAACGATGAGGTGATGCTTTTATCCGACGGAAACGGCGAATTCACCGGGAAGCTTGGAGTGGAATTGGATTTGAGGGATAAGCCGGTGGGACTCGGGGTTAGGTCAAGGAGATACGCGATTCTGGCGGATGATGGTGTTGTGAAGGTTCTGAATCTTGAGGAAGGAGGCGCTTTCACTAACAGTAGTGCTGAGGATATGCTTAAAGCTCTTTGATTCCGATTTTCTTCACTTTTTTTTGTTTCTCCGTTTTGAATTTTCTGTGTGTTTCTTCTCCTTTTTGCTGTTTTCCATCTTTGGAGCTTCAGTTTCAAATGTATCGTCGGATCTGTAACGGAATAACAATCGGAATCCTTTTGTTTCGTATTACACTACTTTTGGTTAGTTTTTCTGTTTTTGACCTTTTTTCTATTTGATTGTTAAGTACCACCTAATAACGTATTTGTTAAACTTATTAGTGAAATCGACATTTTGTGCAATTGAATATCAATTGAAAACTATGTTAAAATATGCTAATAAGAGAAAATGCATACCACAGGAGTCAAGAGAAAGGTCTTGACTCTTGAGTGCACCTGATTTGTTTATTAATTAACTAAATCGTTTCTGTATTGCAACTAATCTCATTTTTGATCTTTTAAAATTAGTCTATGTGTATATAGAGAGATCCAAAAGTCCTGACTTTTGGAGATGACATTGGGGTTCGTAGCTAATTGCAAGCCACGTCTGCATATGTGCTACGTATGCGTAGATGAACAAATATCTGACTAAACTATTTAGCTTTTGTTTCGAACCAAAAAAAAAAGACAATAACGCCAAATATGGTCGACTTCACCACTAGATGTCAGTTAATAATAACGCCAAACTATCCACAATTTCTATCTTTTTTTGGGTATAAACTATAAACATACATACTGGTTTGTTTCGTTACAAGTGTTTAACTATAGCTACATGCAAAGAAAACAGAACATTAGTTCAAATTTGGGAATCTAATTCCCTCGATAAGGAATGGGAATCGCTTCCAAAGGAACAGCTTTCTTCAAAGTAATACCAATCCTTTCTCCCATATCCATTTCATCTGCATTAAGCCCATGGGCCAAAGCCCAATCAAACGACCTCACCATCGAACCAATCGCTAACGGCAAGACCCGTGATGCCAAAGGCAAAGCCGGACACATCCGTCGACCCGATCCAAACGGCAAGAACTCGAAATCCTGTCCCTTGAAGTCTCTCGGTTTCGGGTCGGATATAAATCTCTCGGGTGTGAAGATAATCGGGTCGGCCCATGTTTTAGGGTCACGCCCAATGGCCCAAACGTTGACCAAGACTTGTGTTTCTTTGGGGATAGTGTATTGGTTGAGAACGTGACACGTTGACATGGCTTTGTGTGGGACTAGGAAAGGAAGAGGTGGGTGAAGCCTCAGGGTTTCCATGATAACCGCTGAGAGATAAGGGAGGTTCGGGAGGTCTTCTTCTTGGAGCTTTTGGTTTGGAGACTTGTGGTAGGTTCGGAGTTCGGTTTGGAGTTTTGTTAGGGTTCTTGGGTTACGTAGAAGCTCTGCTAGTGCCCACTCCAACGTGCTCGTTGTCGTGTCCGTTCCCGCCGTAAACATTTCCTATCAATACAAAGGTTTGTTATTTATTTTGTATATATAGTTGACGTCAATAAATCATTAAATTGTATGTTTTGTCTTACAATAAAGACAACATTTTGTTAGAACTTACGAAAACAATAACGTTGATGTCTCTGGATGAGAATCTTGAAGGTTCTTCGTCAACTCCATCGCCACCACGAAACTCCAAAAGAACATCCAAGTAATCCTTTGTTTTCTCGTCGCTGCTTTCTCTCTCCATAACCTCCGTTCGTTCACTAATAAACTCTCCGGCGATCTCAAACGCGCGTTCCACGTGGAATTGCGTTTGTCTCCTGATGCCTTGTGGGTCAAGAAACCTCAGGAAAGGAAAGAAATCGGCAACGTTGGGTTTTCCAGCGAACTCCATCACTTTTCCGGTGTGGTAAAAGAAGTCGGAGCCTCTTGTTGAATCCGGATCAAGCAAATCTCTTGAGAATATAAGGTTTCCTATGAGATTAAATGCCATCAAGAAGAAATATCTCCCCACGTCGATTGTTTTGGTACCTGATGTAGAGAATACATGTACATTAGAAACTCTATAAATTAATAATGTCGGGACTTTGATATTTTATTAATTTATAGAGTTATTAATATATAGATTTTGACTAAAAATATTTTCAAAAAATAAAATTCAATATTAAATCAGAAGTTTCCTTTATATATATATTTTCTTAACTTTTTTTCTGATGTTTCTATATTTACTTTATTCTTCACTTTTCTCATATTTGCCATATTATATAAAATTCTTTTTTTGCTTTTAATTTCCATATATGTTTGGTATGTGAGAGATTCATATTTTAGTAGTTAGATATTTTAGGTGTATATATATAAATAAAAATAATTATTAATTTATGATTTTATTGGGACCATATTTTACATAGAGTTCAAAAAAAGTTATTATCTTATTATCTTATCGAATTGTGTCATATTTTACACTGGCCCAACTCGGGACCAGAGAAATTTATTAATTTATTGTGTTTATTAATTTATAGAGTTTCTACTGTATAGTACACATTTTCTTTTAGTTTCAAAATTATAATTTGAATATTCTGTTTTTATTTTGGTTAAATGTGTTCATATTTCTTTTAATTGGAAAAATAAAAAAATTACTATAGTCATACAACTTTCAAATTCGAAACACTAAACTAACAAAACTCTCTACTGAAACGTGAAATAAAAAATGTACTTCAATTTCTATCTATATGTATCAATATTGAACTGAACATGTAAAATTTTGAATTTTGATTATATGATTAGAATACGCACCGTTTTGGCCGCCTTCCTCGACGAACCTAAGCATCTGATCAACACACCTGGAGCGTACGTCACTCATAGCATCAAGACGTCGCGTGACAAAGAACTGAGTGGTGCAGAGGCGCCGCAGCATCCGCCAGTACGTACCGTACTGAGCCGTGATCAACGAGCCGTCACTGCTCTTCCCTCCTTTCATGGCCTCATAAATCTTCCGACCGGCCAAAGCTGCATCGTGCTTCTTGAAAATATCCCGAGCAACTTCGCTCGAGGAGATCACAACCGTGAGCATCGAGCCGAGCCACAAAGTCATGATTGGTCCGTGGCGGCGCGAAAGTTTAGTCAGTGAGTCGTGTGGTGGCGAACCAGCGAGCTGAAACATGTTCCCGATCACAGGCCAGGGGTTCGGTCCCGGAGGTAGGCTCGTACGGCGTCGCTTAGTGTGGAGGAGACATGCAACGGATATGAGAAGGGCAATAGATGTAAATATTCCGAATAATTCGTTCTTCGTTAACTCTTTAATCATTTCTGTTTTGTTTTTTGAATGATAGTACTAATGTTTTTATTTTTTTTTATAGGCTAAAGGTTCGTACATCGAAATGATATTAGATTGATAACTTATTGACGTTTTTGGCAATTTTTGTCGCTATTATGTAACGAATCTTTATTCGGATAATCACTTTGGGGAAAGTCTATTTGTTGACGTAAGCCCATTAAAACTGACATCGTCCACCCTTAAAATTTAAACCAAATAAATCATATTCAGTGTAACCAAAAGAAAAAAAAAATCCACTTAGGCTCTTTTTAGCCCAATTTTGTTGAGACTCAAATATGGCAATATGTGGATTTAGTCTCTTCTCTACATATTGCCATATTTGAGTTTGGTAGAATCTGTAAACAAAAGTCAAAGGATAAATAAGAGAGATCTCGAAGCATATTCCCCGAAGATCATGATAGTTAGTTTATCCATTGCTATATTTAGCAGAACTGTGTATCTTAAATTCTTAATTACATATGCAAAGTTTAAATAAATATTACATACTATGATGATATTAAAAAGCAACACCTACGGTGCATATATATATATATATGTGATTGGTATATCGAAAAACTCATTTACCAATTTCTTTTTTAAAATATTTATCTTTGTTGACCAGTTTTTAGTTATCAAAAGCAATCAGTTAGTTACGATGTTAAAAAAAACAATTCATTTACAGAATGTGGATTTTTCATCCCAATGTATAGGGAAGAGATAAACACAAATTGAAAGAAACAATAAAATCTCGTAAAAGCCCTAAACAAAAGTCAAAAGAGAAACCAAGTCAGAGAGATCTGGAACCAAAATCGCCGGGAATCACTACAGTTAATTTAGTTGCTATATTTGGCAATACACAATACTTATACGGATAGGAATAAGAGCTGTGTATACTATATATATGCGAGGGAGAGGGCAAAAGTGAAGTGAAAACTGTTGCTCCACTGTTTATTTCCTTTTTTAAGAATGTTTGTTGTGTTTTTGGTTTTAATCAGACCAGACATATAACAACGAGAGAGGAAGTTGAATCAGAAGACGAAGAGGAAAAGGAGAATATCTTCAAATAAGACCTTGATTGCATGAAGAGAATTCAACGGCCATGGAAAAGGAGTGCCTGAGATTTGATCGGCTCATTTGATTTTGTTTCTTTCTGTTTTTATCAAAATCTTACTTTAATTTCTTCATTTCCTAGAGAGTCAGAGACCCTTCTCCTTGATCATACAGGTAACTAACTCATATTTCTCCTTTCCGATAGTCATCGTTATTTATTTTCTGAAACTCATACAATAAATTTAGAAAACAATTTAGGTGGAAAACAGTGTTTTTGTTTCTCTCTTTGAAGGTTTTGCTACTCTGTTTAGTTTCCAAAATGAAATGGTGTATACAATTGAATGGCGTTTTAATAAAATAAGAAGTATAGATATAAATTCTAATTTTTTTTCTAGGATCAAGCTTTGATTACATAATCACGATTTAGATGTATCTTGTTGATCCTCTAATCCATAACACTCTAGCTTCCCTTGTTTTGATAAATAAAATAAACAAAAGGTGTAGGGAAGTGGCCTATACATGTTTCGAACCTGTGACCTTCGCGTTATTAGCACGACGCTCTAACCAACTGAGCTAATAGGCCATTTGTTATAATACTGTAACAATGCAAATCCATTTTATTTGTACAAAATATGAAAATGTGCATTCATGAGTGAGTCTGACCCACTCATATATACTCTTTGATTTCATGATTTTAACTAATTAAACTTGTGGAAAATAATGAAACTTTTGAATTGTTTTCTCTACAGGGAGAGGGTTTTTAAGAGAAAAAGGTTACTAGAGATGAATTTCACAAAAGCTTTGAATGTTGTGCACAACAGAGTCCAACAACTTGAACCAGAGAATGCATCGAAGATCATCGGTTATCTCTTACTGATGCAAGAGCACAACGATCGTGAGATGATCCGTCTAGCTTTCTGTCCAGATTCCGTGATGCGTTCCATGATCAACTGTGTTATATACGAGCTCGCTAAAACTTCGCGTTACCACATTCCTTCTTCCGATCACATCCACATCCGTAAATCCGGTTCATCATTTACCGGTTCATCGAACCAACCCCTTTCGGTTTCTCCTCCTTCGGTTCTCTCCATGAGAACCGGTTTTTGGGAGAATCCCTCAAGCGAAATGGATTCCTTGCAGAACAATTCTCATTTCTTGAATCTTGAGGATTATATGACCAGCTCTGAATTCTCAACCAGTTTCTTCCCTCATGAGAAACAAAGTCTGCCGCCGAGAACAAGCCGGAGATCTCCTAGTTTACCCGAGTTTCCGGTCAAGATCTGCCTTTACTTCAGCAAAGGGTACTGCAAACACGGCAACAACTGTAGGTACTTCCACGGGCAAACCATACCGGAGAGAGAGAGCTTTGCTCAGATGTTTAATCCAAACAACAGCGACGAAGAGCATGTTGTTTCCTCTGTGTCACTTGAGAAGCTAGAAGGAGAGATCATCGAGCTTCTCAAATCAAGAAGAGGCGCTCCAATCTCCATCGCTTCATTGCCAATGATGTACTACGACAAGTACGGTAGGACCCTTCAAGCTGAAGGATATCTTACAGAGTCTCAAAGACACGGCAAAGCTGGCTATAGCCTCACCAAGCTTCTTGCTCGCTTGAAGAACACCATCCGCCTCATCGACAGGTTAGTCATATATTGAGATAACTTAGAGAACAAGATTTGTGTCTTGCGGATAACTTGTATTCCAAGTTATCTTAATATTATGTATTGTTTAAGTAAATGGTGTTTTGAATTTTTTTGCAGGCCTCATGGGCAACATTCTGTTATACTAGCAGAAGATGTGTCGAAGTTTGTGGAATATACGGGAGAGAGAAACGAACACGGAGCTATCCTTGCTGGCTCTAGACAGATTTACCTAACGTTTCCGGCAGAGAGTAGTTTCACTGAGCATGATGTCTCAAAATACTTCTCCAAATTCGGACAAGTGGAAGATGTGAGGATTCCTTGTCAGCAGAAGAGGATGTTTGGGTTTGTGACTTTTGCTTACACGGAAACAGTGAAACACGTTCTTGCTAAAGGCAATCCTCATTTCATCTGCGGAGCTCGTGTTCTCGTCAAGCCTTACCGGGAAAAATCACGCTCTAGTGGTAGATACCTTGATCACAACAACAAGCCTCTTCACGACTACCGATATGACTCTCAGTATATTGACAGAGACATGGAGATGAACACTTGTTAGTACATTCTCAAAACGTTTTCTTCTTATTAGTGTATGTGTATATATTACTAATCTTGGCTTTAAGTGTTTAAGTGTCGATGCGGGTTAGCGAGAGCTCAAGACTAGTGAGGAAACAGTTTCTTGAGGAAGACGAGCAATCAATCTCTAAGTCCTTACCTACTAATTACTCATACCTTGGATTCTCCTCTAATGACTTCAGGCTAACAACAAATGGTAATATCTCTACTTAAAAACATGATATATTGTTTTTTTAGAATAATGGATCAGTTGTGTGACTTTCTTTATTTGTAGAGGAACAAGAGGAACAAGCGGGACAGTTGAGCTATCTGCTGGATTATCTAAACACCGAAGATAATCTCATGAACATAAGAACTAACTACAAAGACACTGATCCGTATGCAATGACTTTGATCCTATAAGTAACATATATTGTGTATTTTGACATATTTAATTGAATTTGATCATATGTTGTGTGTATAATTTCAGGAGGATGCATTGTGAATCTTTAGACAGCCAAGTTCTAAATCTACCCGAGAGTCCGTTTTCTTCCCTTTCGGGGAAGGAGATTTCGACGTTTACGTAGAGAGAATGTTGTGACATCTAACAAAATCGAGAAAGAAGAAGATAGGAGCATTAATGTTAGACTGTTTGGTCGATGGCATGAATACTTTAGGTTCTTTAGCAGAGGAAAAAAATGAAGACACACAACATAAAGGGACTTGTTTGCTTCAACTACAATACGAAGCAGAAACAAAAAGTAACAAAGGGTTACAATAATACTAATTGAAACGTTTATGATGGTTATTCTTTCTATTTGTTTTCAACTTTTCTTATGCAAGAACTAGATCATATAATTCACTGTATCATATAACAATCCATCTAGTTTTAAGAACAATATCTAGAAAAGTGTGGGTGATTCTGTAAATTTTAGCAAATATCACTATCGAGAGACGTAATCATCAATATGAATATTGAACAAATATATATTGTGCAGTAAACAAATACTATGATATATACAGCTCCTAACAATTAATTAATTAACGACCTACCAAATTATAGTACACGCGCCTTAAAATGCGCGTGTTGGCTATTTGACCCCTTGCCCACGAAATTAAACTACGTCGATGAATTATCATCCTCCACGTGATGAACGAGTTCTTTTTGGTCTACGGTGCACAGTAAAATAGTTTAATTCGTTACCAGTCCCTCTAGTTTTAGTTTGATGCTCATTTCAGACCTATATTTCTGCTCATATATAATCGGCAGAGAATCAGAATCGTTAATTTTATAAATACTAAAATGACAAACAACAACTACTGAAATGATATTGTTAAGATTTCTTTGTTAAAGTGTATTATCTGGTAAGATATTTGTCTATTAAATTATTTTTTGTTTTTCAGAAATTATTTTTGAGTTAACAAGCTCAAAAATAAAAAATGCATATGGTCGGTATGTCATATGAAAAATAATTTTATTACGTGAAAAAAACCCATTTAGATTAACGATAGTTAAAAAAATAAAAACATAGGGGTATAATTCGCATTAAATTGAGAATGTTTAGCCTTAAAACGAAAACGGCCGTTTGTTTTTGTTCTCTTTAACGATTTGACGGCCAATCTCAATCCACCAAACCAGTTTCTCCTCCGTCGAAATTTTCACTCTCTTCGTCGTCATCGAACACCTGAGATCTCGCTACTCTCCCGTCGCCGAAGATGCATTCCAGCCATCTTCTTCTCGAGGAGCCGATCAGGATGGCTTCAATCCTCGAGCCATCCAAATCAGTAAGCCTTCTCTCTACCTCTATGGTTTCATTTTCCCAGCTCGTTGATTTGTTCGATTAGATCGGTTCATATTTTCGTGTTCGATTTCGTTTGTAATCTGCTTCTGATGTATTTCCCAGAGTTTCTTCCCGGCATTGACTAAGATCGTCGGGACTCTCGGTCCCAAATCCCGATCCGTCGAGGCTCTCTCCGGTTGCCTCAAAGCCGGCATGTCCGGTACCAACTCTCTCTTCTATTTCTCATCTCTTATTTATGATTTCGTGATTCAGTGATACTCACACTGAAATTCACAGTGGCTCGATTCGATTTCTCTTGGGGCGACGCTGATTATCACCAGGAGACACTGGACAATCTCAAAATTGCTGTGAAGAGCACTAGGAAGCTTTGTGCTGTACGTTCTCTCTTCTCTGATTTTTCAATCTGATGGATCCTTAATTTTGCTATATGAATCTGAGTGAACAAATGTCTTTCAGGTTATGCTTGATACTGTTGGACCTGAGCTGCAAGTTATCAACAAGACTGAGAAAGCTATTACTCTTAAAGCTGATGGACTTGTAACTTTAACACCGAGTCAAGACCAAGAGGCCTCTTCTGAAGTCCTTCCCATTAATTTTAATGGCCTTGCCAAGGTTCCTCAGAGACCCTTATTATAGTGTATAGTTCTTGAAAATGAAATGAGATGGTTTAGTGTTTGCTAATGTATTAGGCGTGTGATGTTAACAGGCAGTGAAGAAAGGAGACACTATCTTTGTTGGGCAATACCTCTTCACTGGTAGTGAAACAACTTCAGTTTGGCTCGAGGTACGGATTAAGCTTTCTTGTTTTCTCTGTGTTAAAGTTTTTAGACATTTAGATTGTAAGACTCACCTCCCAAAACGGACCTTTAGGTTCATGAAGTTAAAGGAGATGATGTCATTTGCTTGTCAAGGAATGCTGCTACTCTTGCTGGTTCTCTCTTCACTTTGCACGCCTCTCAAGTTCACATTGATCTGCCAACTCTCACGGAGAAGGATAAGGAGGTCAGATTTGCTCCTAATCTAAAAACCTAGTGATTGCTTTGTTCAGTTTATAACACATTCTTGTTCGAGTGTTTGACCAGATTGCTCTTATTTGGTTATCATCTAGGTTATAAGCACATGGGGAGTTCAAAACAAGATCGATTTTCTCTCATTGTCTTACTGTCGTCATGCGGAGGATGTTCGTCAGGTCTGCTTTTCTCTCATTGTCTTTCACTAATTCTGAAAGCTTCTGATAAGTTTAAATAATAACGAATTGTTGTTTCATCAACGCAGACCCGTGAATTGCTTAAAAAGTTGGGTGACCTCTCTCAAACACAAATATTTGCAAAGATTGAGAATGTAGAGGTAACTGAAATGCATTAAGTCTTTTGCTTTTTATTATGTCGTTGTAACTGCTCTTTCTTTTACCACAAAGGAGGAAGCTGCTGATTTTGTGTCTTTGATTTAGGGACTAACCCACTTTGATGAGATTCTACAAGAAGCTGATGGCATTATTCTTTCTCGTGGAAATTTGGGTATAGATCTACCCCCGGAAAAGGTATGTTCGTTGGTCATTCAAATTGATTTGTCCGGCACCAAAATTTTACACTCTTTTTAAATTATCTTTGTGGGTTCTGGTTCAGGTGTTTTTGTTTCAGAAGGCGGCTCTTTACAAGTGCAACATGGCTGGAAAGCCAGCCGTTCTTACCCGTGTCGTTGACAGTATGACTGACAACTTGCGACCAACTCGTGCTGAGGCTACGGATGTTGCTAATGCTGTTTTAGATGGTATGTTTATCCTTAAATATACTTCTTTAACGGTGCTTCTATCATTTTATAGAAGAAATGGTGGATGGAAAAATCTATTGGTGGATCATAGCTTTTGTCATAACTGGTGGTTTCTTTTTCCGTTTTACGTTCTGCAGGAAGTGATGCTATTCTTCTTGGTGCTGAGACCCTTCGTGGATTGTACCCTGTTGAGACAATATCAACTGTCGGTAGGATCTGTGCTGAGGTAGGCTTTAAATCCCACGCTGCAACTAACTGGAACCAAACTGTGGCTTGTTGTCTCGCTTACACGGTTGCTTTACCTGTTCATAGGCAGAGAAGGTTTTCAACCAAGATCTGTACTTCAAGAAGACTGTCAAGTACGTTGGAGAACCGATGACTCACTTGGAATCCATTGCTTCTTCAGCTGTAAGTCTGTCCTCTGTGTTGCAGAGACATAAGAAAGGATTATAATTTTTCGGTTTTATGACGCAAATTGCCATCACGATTTCTTAACTAGCCTAATTCACGCTTGATCAGGTACGGGCGGCCATCAAGGTTAAGGCTTCCGTGATCATTTGCTTCACCTCTTCTGGAAGAGCAGCCAGGTCCATAGCATTCCTTTTTGTTTAAACTGTTTTTTTCTCGCTTTGTCTATTCATTATTGTCTAATGAATTGTTATTCCTTTGATCTCTCCGTGCAGGTTGATTGCCAAATACAGGCCAACAATGCCGGTCATTTCTGTCGTCATTCCTCGGGTCAAGACAAATCAGCTGAAATGGAGCTTTAGTGGAGCGTTTGAGGTATGTTTCTCCCCCTGGTTCTCTCAAGTTTAGAAATCATACCCATTACTTGCCGACTCCTTATAATTACGTATATCTTGTTATCAAATCATGGCGAGTTTCAACAAAAGAGACTCCTTAAATTTGTTGTATGATTGTATCAAATGATTGAGTGTGATTGTTTACTTTGCAATATCATATTCTAGGGCCGTTTCTTATTTTGACCATAGTCACATATATGAAGTTGCATGTGAGTCTTAAGGTTATTAACCCTTGTGTTACTCTTATCAGGCGAGACAGTCACTTGTTGTCAGAGGTCTCTTCCCCATGCTCGCTGACCCTCGTCACCCTGTAAGTCTTGTTATCTTTCTTTTTTATTTGGCATATAATCTTTTCACTTGTATCTCAATCTTTAACAAATGAAATGTTGTGATGTTTAAAGGCGGAATCAACGAGTGCGACGAACGAGTCGGTCCTGAAGGTAGCACTAGACCATGGGAAGCAGGCTGGAGTGATCAAGTCGCATGACAGAGTAGTGGTGTGTCAGAAAGTTGGTGATGCATCTGTCGTTAAGATCATCGAGCTAGAGGATTGATTAAACTTGCCTCGGATAAAGTATTATTAAAAAATTGGCTGCATTTTGGTTCGCCTTCAAATTTTCAGATTAAAAAAAAAAACTGCGATCCAATGCCGAAGTGAAGTATATTACCTCCGGGACTTTTGGTTCTTGTACTTAGGAGATTTGATGTCTCTTAACAGTTCCCTTCTCTCTTGGCTCTGTATTTGATTACCTTCAGATTTATGCTACGATGAAAGTAATACAATGCCTAGCAATTATCCAATAAGCTGTGACATTCCCGTTCTTACTTCAATATGGTTTTAAGAGATTCTTATTTATCTGAATCGTTATGTATCCTTTTAGACTATTTACACGAACATATGATTTAGCTGAACATTTGATTCTTGGTCACACTGTAAACGACTTAACCAACCAGAATATTCAATTTCTTCACCACAAAAATACTCAACTCTCTAGTAATTGCTAATTAGTTATTTTTTGGAAAATGAATTTACAGTTAATTTGTTTAGTACTTTAAACACGATCAATGATGATATACAATATTTCGGAAAAACAATTGATTGTGTAATTTGGTGAAAGAAAATTGTTATATTTGCTGTACACTTGTACTGTTGTACATCACGTAAATAGTCTTATTGTTTACTATCAACTATAATTTTTATGGTAGGTTTTCAATTAGTTTTGAAAGCTAAAAGCTGGGGACCAACATGTCTCTGGTGAGTTTGACATTTAAGCGGGATTTGAATTCTGATTAGTTACTGTCTTTGTTTAGAAAAGATAGTCCATTCACGCTCGATCATGACTTATGATTTATGAATGATGAATAATCATGATGTTTTTTTTCTTTGACTTCTCTTTGATTTTTTTTCCCCCAAATCTCTCCCATCCAAACAACTCCATGTCGGGGAGATAACGATACTCCCAAACTTTACAACAACTTGTTGTAAATTCTGATAACATTTATGCAAACCCAACGCCCTCAGACTATAACATTTATGTTTAGCTCAATCAAAATCACCAATATTTATCACATGGAGTTAATATCACATAACTTGACAAGGACCGTACTTGGAGATATTTATTTGTAAAAAATATCTTCTTAATATCTACATGTAAACAACTAAGACAATTGTTACCACATAAATTAAAACTTAATAAAATGTTTAAACAAAATGTTAGGAATCTCACATCTAAATGAGAGGAGACCTTGTGGCTTGAAGTCTTGAACGATACAAGATGACATAGATATTAGCATCTCCAATTGTTTGTTTGTTGATAAGAATTGGAATATTTTCAGATATCGTTCTCTACTTGATAATACTAGTCATATATATATATATCTGTCTTTCATCTAGGACATAACATGAAATGAAACGAAAATAAAGATTAGTGATCAGTAGTATACTAAACAATATTCAGGAACTTTACAAAATAATTTTGATTTTTTGTGATCATTGTTATTTTGAGTTCCTAATGATTTTTGTAGAAAGTCTAGTAAAGACCCTAACAATTGGCACAGAAGAGAATAATAAATTTGCCAAAACCAATAGCAACTACATGCGAGTAAATTCAGACACAATCTTAGACTTTTCTCAAAGTTGTTGAAATGACTCAAAGGTGATTGCGGATTTAACCATGAAATTATTCTTCATTAATAAGAACAAGTTGTAGATCGGCGAAACAGTTCTAAAGAAGTCATAGTAGTGTTTGGTAAATTTCACGAACTTTGTAGTCGTTGGTTGTTAATATTCTATCATTCTCTAACGATATACTCCATAAACTTGTTCGAATGGGAGGAATAAACGTGTAATTTTGTTCGTGTAATAATTTAATCATACGAGTGATTTGTGGACAAAAAAATGTAAAAGTGTGTGTGGGAGATCCACCCCAGTCACACGTATCATACGTTCAAAGGAACAAAACATATTTTTGGTTTTGAAGAATCTTTTTGTTTTTGGACTGACAGTTTCTTGCAAATGCTTTACACCAAATCAAATGGACTTTTCACGATTGTTCACCGAATCTACGTGGCAACTGTACTCTTCGTTGGATCTTAGCTTTTCCCACGTCACATTTTTTCCGCTCTTTTTTTTTCTTTAATATATCTTTCCCTCACTTTCTCCGTTTCTCGCCATTGTCCAAAGATTTTCCGAGAAAAATCAACAGTGAGAGAGAAAAGAGAAAGAGAGAGCAATACATTCATAGAAAGCTTCATAAGTATCAACCTCACCGCCATGGCTCTCGATCATCATCGATTATCCGTTCGACGCGTATAATATAAGCGAGCGATTGCGTTTTTCGTGGTGCTGTGTTGTGTAGTTGGGTCAACTATTTAAGGAGGAGCGAGGTTTGGAGAGAGGTATGGGTTCGTCCTTGTCGAATCTGAACGACGGGACGAATGATTTGGCTATGGGACCTAGCCTCGGCGATATACCGGAGAGCTGCGTCGCCTGCGTTTTCACGTACCTGACTCCCCCGGAGATTTGCAATCTGGCTGGCCTGAATCGTTCATTTCGCGGTGCGGCTTCGTCGGATTCCGTGTGGGAGCCGAAGCTCCCGCCGAATTACCAGGATCTGCTTGATTTGTTGCCGCCGGAGAGGTATCATGGTCTCACGAAGAAGGATATTTTCGCTGTGCTTTCTCGTCCAATCCCCTTTGACGATGGTAATAAGGTAATTAAATTGCTGAGAGTTTCGAGATTCCTTGTGATTTGGGAATTAGGGTTTTAATTTCTGCATTTTCTCTGGAGATTGTTTCAAATTTGATGATGTGAAGTCTGTGTTTTTTCCAGGAACTATGGATTGATAGAGTTACAGGACGGGTTTGTATGGCGATTTCGGCGAGAGGAATGGCTATAACTGGAATTGAAGACCGCAGATATTGGAATTGGATTACAACGGACGAATCTAGGTACAAATCTCAATATAATTTTTTGAAGATCAACAAGTAGAGATATCAAGATCATTCGCAATACTTGGTTTGTGATTATGTCATTTGACCTGAATTTCGTCAGCTGTTGACCCTTGCTTTCCAGGGTTTAGGTATCTTAGAACAATTATCTCTTAAGCATATCAGATTTAGGACTTGAAAAGTTTGTGTGAGGAAATTTTTTTGATTTGTGGCTGCGTAAGGGTGGTTACTCTGCTTTTTGAGATTTGATGAATCTCTGATCTAGATAGTGTCTGTTCTTGCCTAAGCTTTATGATTATGGATTTGAGGTGCTATTGTAGTGATGATTTATCTTGACTTGCGTGAAATGATTAGGCTAGTTACATAAACAAAATCAGTTGAACATTCTGCTGGAGAGCACGTGAATTAACATCAGGTTTCGTGTGAGATAAGTGCTTAGCTTAACTCGTTATGAAGATTCTACAAACAATGCATCTATCAAATGAATCAGTTTGTTTTATGTTTGTGGTTGTGGAAACAAAAAAGTAAAATCCTTGTTGTTATCTCCCCTTGAACAGGTTCCAAGTTGTAGCCTACTTACAGCAGATTTGGTGGTTCGAAGTGGATGGAACAGTGAGATTCCATCTCCCGCCTGGTATCTACTCTCTATCATTCAGAATCCATCTCGGGAGATTCACGAAGAGACTTGGACGTCGCGTGTGCAACTTCGAACACACTCACGGCTGGGATTTGAAGCCGGTGAGGTTCTCGCTTACGACTTCTGATGGTCAAGAAGCATCGTGTGAATATTACTTGGACGATTTAAAGAGAGAAGAAGCAATGGGGCAACACAAGCGTGGTTGCTGGATCGAGTACAAGGTCGGAGAATTCGTAGTGACTGGATCAGAACCGTCGACCGAGATTCAATGGTCCATGAAACAGATTGACTGCACGCACTCCAAAGGCGGGCTGTGTGTTGATTCAGTCTTTATAAACCCGATTGGTGATTTGAAATATCACAAAAAGAAAGCTTTTGTGAAATAGCTTGAAGAAAAGAAGATATAGACCAAAAAGGCAGAAATGTTTTATTCTTTTGAAGTTGATAATAACTGATGTTAATTTTCTTAGTGCTTCTTGTCGTCGTTTTTTTTACTGTTTCACAAAATTAGAGGGTATAATCGAGTCGACGATATGGTAAATTTCATTTATTATTGTGCACTTCATCGAGGTTTTTGTATTTTTGTTTATACTTCATAGTATGAACTTCATACTCTTTTTGTTCCATATTTTAGGCGAGAGAAGTCTTTTTATTTTGTGTGTATTCACATGTTTATATGTTACTTGGATGACCGAAGACTACGACTATCTGTATGACTGTATCCAACCAAAATTATCTAATACTAGTATAATATTATGTCTACATGACTTATTCTAACTGTTTTTGTGGTGTTTTTTTTGGCTTGTTTTTAATCATATCCAAACAGAGATGTTATCCTTAGGATTGGATCGGATCGAATAGTCTAAATTATTCAAAATCGTTCAATCAAGCTTATCCATAAATTCAAATGCCTCAACTATATAAAAAATATGATTATCTTGTATTGTATATGTATTAATCAAGACAATGAGCTACGGAGACAAATGATAAGATGTAAATATAGTAATATACTAAGCATATATTCGTTGTGTGTATGATCTACATTCGTTTACTGTCATTTGTTTTGTTTTTCCAAACAATAAAGTTGTTTAGGAGTGAACAAGATATTTTGTTTTCACGGTCTGATAAATTTTTAAAAGGATTCCAGATTCCAGAGTTTTTGGATCAATTTATAACAGCCACGTTAATTAAAATCTTTTATCATATTTTCAAACATAACGTTAAGATGCCGACCTGGTCGGATGTACAAACTAGTAAAGATTCTATAATAATATGAACAAACAAAATATCATGACGAATTCCAAAATATCATGACGAATATTAAAAAAAATGCTATAGAAAAATGTTAAGGTAGATCCGTAATTATTTTATATAACAGAGAAAATAGCGAAAATAAGACCAGGATAGAAAAGCCAAAGAGTGGTGGTCTGGCTGAATTGGGAATAGTCATAAAAGTATCAGCCATCATATGACCGAGCCGGACCTGAGCGGATGTGGTCAGATGCAAACCGTCCGGTTCAAGAGGTAGGCCCATGGCGTCAACACAGTGCACATTCTCAAGTCCTGTCTCCAGTTGAGCTTTCCTCACCGCCCCAAGATGTGGTCCTGCTCCTGTAGCTATAGCCACCTTCAAAATAAACATTACAATTAAAAAAAAATGTAGTATCATCATGTCTATTGTACAATTTTTCGTACAGACCACAAAACCATATTGAAAACACTACAGCCTGGATTATATATAGTACATTGAGTACATTAAATCCGTAATTTAACAAGATTTATGCCAAATAATAAAAGTCATTACTTAATCTTTTGATGAATATAATTATTAAACCAAGGAGGGAATCACTAAACACAATTAGTCATTCCACAAAAATGTAACATTTTGCTGTGTTATATTTACATGTGTTTATGCAACGTACCTGAATAATAGGAAGATTTGGAAGTTGTAAATCACTTCTAAGATCATTGAAGAACTTGACTAGTCTCTTCTTATAAACCAAAGCATCCACCATGTCCACCGTATCCGACTCACCCTGATACCATAAAACCGCCCGGTACGAGCCGCCACTAGCCACGGCTGCAGCTTTCGCCCTCCGAACCATCTCCTCGTACAAAAACTCACCCTTTTGCCATTGTCTTAGTTTAGTCCCACCGATAGAGCATGGAACCAAACCAACCTGACTAAACCGATTAACCACCCGGTTTGCAAATGACATCCCCGGTCCAACACCATTGATCTTGTTAACGTCAATATCAACGTGGAGTGGCTCTTTAGCTACTTCCCACTCGAGCTTCGCCGTGAGACGGAAGATCGAAGGGTTTGATCGGCATTCCGGTGGAATAACACCGTCCCACACTGTGGTGTTCGTGGCGGTGTTGTTATAGACTCCTCCTCGACCAGCCATGTTGCTTTGTCCGGCCATGATAAAAATGCTGATGTTTCTTGGGATGGTTTGCGATTGGATTTGTGGTGGACATTGAATGAAAGTGATGATGAAGAAGAAGAAGAAGATCTTGTTCATTGTTTTTTCGATATTTTGAGATTGAGGTTGAGATCCAAACTAGAGATGAAGTAAGATGCAAGAGAGAATAATGTTTTCTTCTTCTTTTGTCTCTTTCTTTCTATTTTTCTTAAAAATCATTGTTTTTTCTTTTTTTTTTTGCAGAAAGAAGAATAATTAGTTTGGTTTTAGACTTTAGTTGATACCTTTTCACACACAACTTGATCTTATAAAACTGATTTTTGATCTCGATACCTACACCTATGAAGAAGATTTTAAACATTGATTAATTAATAACGTAGCATGACGGTAAATCACGACAAATAAAATAAATATTCGTCAAAAGAGAATGACGTAATCTCACTCAAACCAAGATGAATCAATTTATTGTCGAACCAAACCGAGATTTCCACACAGAAATGATTTTTTTTTTTTTTTTTTTTTTGAAGTTAACTGGTTTTTTTTTGTTACTTGGTTCATGATCATCTCAAATCCAACGATCCGAAGTCCGAACCGTAACCAAACCAAATCATTCCCAGCAAATAAATTAATACAAAAACTGATATTATTAGGTCGAAAAAGTTGAGCCTCAAACTTGGGGGAATATGAGTAACTTTTTTTTTTTTTTCCATCTGGTAATAAACCTTAGACAATTACAAGGGTGGAATACATTAGAAACCATTCTAAACCAGAAGGTAAACAGATAACCTCTGGAAACTAAAGCTCAAAAGAGAGAGACTACAGCCCAAACAAGAGAGACATTTGAGATACTAAACAAAGTATAAGCAAATCCAAACATTAGAACTCCAACCTTGCAAGACAATCGAAACCTGGGAGCCCAAAGCCGAGAAAATATAGAACACCTCCGGTCATTCTTTGAGAGCGGACTTCCTCTTGAAAATCGATGTGAGACGCTTCTCAACACCACGAAAAACAGAACTTCATAACCCAGCACTAAGCAGGAAAAGGCGACGTCGGTTGACAATGAACACCTAGAAAGAAGACTGCAGTAACCAACAAAAACGGTAACCGAACTGGACAAAATAGACAAGAGCAAAATCCAACCACTTCAACAACCCAAACTCACAAGCAATACAGCAGAGGGGCCAAAAGGAAGGCAGGCGACAAAAGGCAGAACCAGAGAGACAAAAACTCTTGCAGGCGAGGAAATAACATCTTCAAAAGGAAAGCAAATACCGTAAGCCGAAACGGGATCGATCCAAGTGAGCCGAAAGGAGCAGGACACCGAAGGCTGGCCGAGGTAGACGAAAGCCCACCACGAGCAAAGACCAACAACACCAGACTGGCGAGGAGACAAAATCCGCCGGATAGATCTCACGGAAGATCTGCAGAAAAGGAGGCGTTCGCAGTACATCCGCACCGAAGATCCATAGTTCCGGCGTCAATCCTCACATTAGATCCAAGATTTATCCGTGGCTGAAGCTTTCAACCAATCCTGGGGGAATATGAGTAACTAACTAACTATATTAGTAAAGCAGAAAAGACTCACTGGTCTATGACTTATTTGACTTTTCTCTGTTTTGTTCGCCACATGCTACAAATCATCGATGATTCACTTGTTTGGTTTCTTAGTGATCTGTAATATTTCCAAAATCTTTCATTTTTATGTGCTGGGGTGAGAAAAAATAATTATAAATAAAAAACAAAGAGGAGATGGTGATGCGCGCTATGCAAATCGGCGTGGGGAAATGGTGTGATGGGTTCCTCAATTTTTTCTTTTATACATACTTTTTTTCGTTTTTGTATGGATTCAATTTTTCTTCCGTCACTTCGTCCTTTCTTTATATATAGTCTTTGTTTATTCTTGTATACTAAAACGGTTTGTAATAAGCATATTTTCAATGCTAATGAAGTAATGAGCAGAAAGAATTAGTAGCTAGAAGAAGTAAATAGATAGTGGTGAAAGAAAACATTAGTTGTTTGCTTCTTCGAGTTCTGAAGGAAAATCGACACTCGATCGCTGCCAAAGTAGTATGTCACATGAATCCATGTGAGGCACTATATCAATTGAAACTCCGACATTAACCTCTAAGGCACCGTTCGAAGTTTCGATTTTGATCAAAAATCACTCCATGATCTTAGTAATGGTGCAATGATCTTTAGAAGTAAATGGAAAACGTGAGAGAATACTTCGTTAATAGAGAAGACAATACGAACTTATCATCTTTCTCCATCTTACTCGTTTCTTACCAAATGAAATGAAAAAAGGTGTGGAGCGAGAGAGAGAGTGAAATGAAGTTCATAAACAGCAAAATTCTCAGGTCCGAGATTATAAGATTTGCAAAAAGAGTCAAAAACACAAAAACAAGGTTTACGTTTTGCAGAATATTCCGAAATCAACATTAACTAATAAAAAGTGACACAGAGAGTGATAAGAGATGATATTGGCTCTTCAGCGTTTGCCACCACCACCTCCCAACTTAACACCCTTTGATGCAGCAGCCTTGGGGACCTTGGCCTGAATCTTCTGTTGCTTTGAAGCAAATTCAGCCTTCTTGGCCTTCTTCTCATCCTTGGTCTTCTTGATTCTTTCCTTGATATCACTGTTCAATCATCATTTCAAAAACCAATTACTTTTTGAAACCATCAAAGAGTTGTTCCAACTGAATGAAATGAATCAAGATATAAAAAACTAACCGAAGAGCAGCTTCTCTTGCTGCGTCACGAACTTCAGGCTTCTCAGCTCTCTTCTTCTGAATCACTTCCAAGGTAGCACCAACAATGGACCTTGAGTATGGCTTCTTGGTCGCACGTCTCCTCTTCTTCACGGCCTCTTGTGCTGCGTCCTATTAACACAAGAAATTTCTTATCAGGGGTTGTCACTAAACCAAATTAATAATCCAACATACTCAGATCAACACAGATACAGAAACCAAAAAGTAAACAAGAGATAATTTTACCTTCTTGTGTTGCTTTCTGAACATGGTGGTCCATGTAATCTTGGATGGCTTCAACTTGTTGTGGAAGTACCTCTTACACTTTGAGTTGGCAAACAAGAAAACCTGATCAACCATGGAAACATACCAACACGTTAAGAGAGTTGAGACCATAACATATATATGCAAATCAGAAACATCTACTTGATAAGAGCTGATGTGTTATTAAAAGAGTTACCTGAGAATCAGATCGGATAAATCTGATACCCCTCCCTGGGTAAATCTTGTGGCCACTGAAACGACAAAGCTCCGTCCTACATTTCAAAGGTATTCAAATGAATCAAACACAGACAACAACACAAGCAAATGAATGATCTCAGGCTATATCATAGAAATGAATCATCCAATACCAAGTAGAGACCAAAAATCGATGTTTATTTATGCTAATCACACAAAAATGTAGAGAAATGTATCAAATTTCAGCAAGATGTCACACCAGTGAAATAGGTAGCCGAACCAGATCCATTTTCAGCAGAATATGTAATCTCATCTTCGTATAAGAACCCATGAAATTACAGTTACCCAGCTCTAACTACTAAACTAACGAGAAAGCAGAAGATTTGATGAAATCAGATTGAGAAACAAAAGACAATCCCAATTCAGTGAATCGATGAAAATCCTTCCGATAGTGAAAATCATGAATCATTGCACTGAGCTATGTCAATTAGGTGAAGAACAGGAACAAATGGAGAGAGAGATGGGAGATTTGATTACTTGAGAACCATGGTTGCTGCTGCTCCTCGTCTTCTTCTTCCTCCTCAGGCTGCTCCCGAAACCTTAACGAGAAAACCCTAATTCAGTCGATACTTATATATAAGAGACGACTACAACGAGAGTGGACATCGCCGCAAACCCATTTTCGTTTATATCTTTAATTTCATTAACCCACACTTTTAAGCCCATTACACAGGCCCATACGTTTGTTAGCCCATAAGTTCTTTTAACACATTTTTGTGGTGACGTAAGCATCTCCTCAATGATTTTTTTGTTTTCCATAGCCGACGGTAGAGGGAAACTTGTTCGTTCGATCTCAAAACGGTGACGTATCGTAAAGGTAGATGAAAGTTTGAAGAAGTAGTAAGCTAAAGCTCTCTGCACAAGCTTCCAGAAACAAGACAAATAAAAAATCAAAGAGAGATCCAAAAAATTGGATTTCAATCGTCGTCGGATTCTCCAAGAGTAGAGAGCTATCCACAAAGAGTTTTGTTATCCCTTTGCGTCTGGATCGGTGAATATGGAGGCGGAGAAGTGGAGCAGCGACGGCGGTGAATACACGTCGGAGGACGAAGGGACGGAGGATTACCGGCGAGGCGGTTACCACGCCGTCCGAATCGGCGACTCATTCAAAAACGGGCGGTACGTCATCCAGAGCAAACTCGGTTGGGGCCATTTCTCTACTGTTTGGCTCGCCTGGGACACTCAATCCTCTGTACGCACTTCTCTCTTGCTCTCTCTCGCCGATTTTCTCTTTGCTAGTTTCTGTTCTGATTGCTTGAGGATAAGCTTTTCATGGTGAAGATTCTGTTTTGTGGACAATTCATGTTTCTTAATTTCATTTTGCCCTTTGTGTTGTTCATCTAGTGAACAAAACGAAATTGTGACCATTCTCTTTGTTCATGACGTTGGAAATTTATATGAAATGCTTTGAATATTGATTTGGTTGCTTTGTTGTTTGTGTGTGTGATTCGAATTTTTGTGGAATGCACAGAGATATGTGGCGTTGAAGGTGCAAAAGAGCGCTCAGCATTATACCGAAGCTGCCATGGATGAGATAACCATCTTGCAACAGATTGCAGAGGGAGACACTGATGATACCAAATGCGTTGTGAAGCTTTTGGATCATTTCAAGCACTCAGGTCCAAATGGTCAGCATGTATGTATGGTTTTCGAGTACTTGGGGGATAATCTGCTAACGCTGATAAAGTATTCCGACTACCGTGGCTTGCCTATTCCGATGGTTAAGGAGATTTGTTACCACATGCTGGTTGGGTTAGACTACTTGCATAAACAGCTCTCTATCATACACACTGATCTGAAGCCTGAGAATATCTTGTTGCCATCAACGATTGATCCGTCTAAAGATCCTAGGAAGTCTGGAGCTCCTCTTGTTCTCCCTAGTGATAAGGATAAGACGGTTGACTCCAATGGAGACTTTGTGAAAGATCGAAAGAAAGAGGTTCGTAGAAAGGTAAAGCTTTCAGCTCAGGGAAGTGCAGAGAAATCGGTTAAAGGAAAACCGAGTGAAGCAGAGAAATTGATTGATGAGGATTGTCCTTCTACTTCTGCTGCGAATGGATTAGATGGTGGCGAGAAAGGAAAGCAAGGTGGCAAGAAAGGGAGTCGGTCGAGTAGAAGGCACCTTGTGGAATCTGTTGACCTCAAGTGTAAACTTGTTGACTTTGGGAATGCTTGTTGGACGTACAAACAGTTCACGAGCGACATTCAAACGAGGCAGTATCGGTGTCCTGAAGTGATCCTTGGATCGAAATACTCTACGTCGGCTGATCTCTGGTCATTCGCTTGCATTTGTTTCGAACTTGTTACCGGAGATGTACTTTTTGATCCTCATAGTGGAGACAACTATGATAGAGACGAGGTATGCTTAAATCTTTGTGTGGAAAATGCTTTTAGATCATTTCAGTTTGTTAATGCGAGTTTGGAGAATGTAATTTGCCTTTTCTGCTAACAGGACCACTTGGCTCTGATGATGGAGCTTCTTGGAATGATGCCACGCAAGGTAATAGAATCATCTGCAGACAGTTTTTAACTAAGAAGCTTGGTTTGACGATTCAAAGAACTTCAACTTCTTCTCTGTTGTGTTTTGGCAGATAGCATTAGGTGGTCGCTACTCAAGAGATTTCTTCAATAGGCATGGTGATCTTAGACACATCAGGAGACTGCGTTTCTGGCCAATGAACAAAGTGCTTACAGAGAAGTACGAGTTCAGTGAGCAAGATGCAAATGACTTGAGTGATTTTCTCGTTACGATTCTTGATTTCGTCCCTGAGAAACGACCAACTGCGTCACAGTGTCTGTTACATCCATGGATAAACTCTGGCCCTCGCTCTCTACAACCTTCGCTCTCAGTTAAAGAGCAAAAATCCGAAGACAAGGAAGATACTGAGAGAACGAAGAAAGAGAACGAGGAGCAAGAGCAAGAAGCTGTGGAAGTTAAAATGGGAAACGTTGACATATCTTCCTCAGAATCAAAACCAGGTACGAGCCAAAGCTCCTCTCCAAAGCAAGCAATTTGACTTGTGAGATTTGCCTGTTCCGTTATTGAACGAGAGGAAAATTGTGATTTTTAAGAATCTCCTCTGTGCTAGTGTGAGCTTGAACGCCTCAAAGGCTGAGCTCTCGATAATTTTATATATGCGGAGTGATGTCTTGTCTGTATACTTTTACGAATCCAAAGTCCGTCCAGTTAACGTATATATTTGATTGAACCTGGTCTTTGATTAAACCAGTAAACCAATGGTTTAGATTAAATCTAATAGTCCTACCGATTGAAAAGAAATAGGCTCGAGTTTTCATTTCAGCGGTTGAAAGAGGAAACAACGATAGACCTTTAAAAGCGCAAAGCAGAAGATGTTTATTACAAATCAAGATTGCAAAATACATAAGACCAACAAAAAGAAAAGGTGACATTTCATCTTCGTTTCACAACAGTCGGAGCAGAAATACATTAAGCACACAGCGTTTTGTTATCTCACAGCTTCCCTTTCTCTTCCACGATGACTCTCCCCTTCTCGGTCTCTTCATCCATCCTTCCAACGTCGTTGAAAGTTTGACCAGTCATCTGATCCGACTTCTTCAGCGACGTCGCCACGTGTTCAGGCCTCGTATTTTTCACGTCAACCGTCACAGTCGTCTTCCCCGAGCCTTCGTCTCCATGCGATGCCGCCGCACGTGTCTCTTCATCAGACGGCGCCGTCCCAGTGAACCTGCTTTTAATCGCTCCCGTCATATTCCCCAACGCATCCAGTATCGTCCCCTTGCCTTCCTCACCTCTACAAAACAATTAATTGCTTTTTACATTATCGTTTTTTCTAATTTCAGTATAATATTTATTGTCCAACACTCGTCAGTCGTCACTTTATACCTCTCGACGGTGGAATCTTTCGCCTCTCGGGCTTGCTCGGCGGCGGATTCGCTTTTTTCATGGCTCACTTGGCCAGCTTCGTCTTTAAGTTCTTTACCCTCAAGTCTCATTTCTTCCATTTTCCGCCTCGCTTCTTCTCCCGCCTCGTCCATTTTTTCCTATTAATTAACAACAACGATTTTATTACACAAGTATATAATTACATGACAATACGTAACTGATGTATATAAACAGCTAAGCTAATTATACCTTGGCCGTGTCTTTGGTCTCTACGGCTTTTTGTTTAGTTTCTTCTGTCTTGCCAGACAAGAAACCCATAGCTCTCTTCGCAGTGTCCACGGCACTATCCTTAAGCTCACCAATCTTACTCACTCCAGCGTCTTTCCCTTCCGTCGCCTTCTCTGCCGTGTAGTCTTTGGCCCCCGTTGCTTTATCCACGGTATAGTCTTTATACTCCCCCACCTTCTCAGCCGTCTTGTCTTTGGCCTCAGTTGCCTTGTCCACCGTATAGTCTTTGGCCTCTTTTGCCTTCTCAGCCGTGTAATCCGCCGTTTCCTTTGCCTTCTCCGCAGTCTTGTCTTTAGCTTCTTTGGCCTTGTCTGCTGTGTAGTCTTTATATTCACCCACTTTCTCGGCCGTCTTGTCTTTGGCCTCAGTCGCCTTATCCACCGTGTAATCTTTGTATTCGCCCGTTTTCTCAGCTGTCTTGTCTTTGGCCTCTCTCGCCTTATCTGCTGTGTAATCAGCAGTTTCCTTAGTCTTTTGCGCAGTACTGTCTCTGACCTCTCCCGCCTTCTCTCCGGTGGCGTCTTTCACTCCTGCCGCCTTGTCAGATGCAACCTCGGCTCCTTCTCTCGTTGACTCAGCAGCGTCATGACTTTTACCGATCACTGCTTCTTTAGTACCTTGCACCGCCTTCATCATCGACCCTATCAGCCCTGGCCTCTCTGGCTCGGTTGTAGTTGTTGTCTTCTCCGGCTCTGTTGTGGTAGTTGTCTTCTCCGTCACCTTGTACGCCACACCGCCATCTTTGTTGACATCTTTCAAATCGTCAGCCGCAAGCCTTGCCGCGGCTTCAGCTCTATCGGCCTTTGCAGCTCTTTCCGCCTCTCGTTGTCCTGACGCCATGATTTTTTTGTCTTGACGTTAATTTGCTTGGATCCCAAGAAAGTTTCTAAATGATTCTTTTTGATTTTGTGAATATATATTCGTCGTGTTCATTATTGTTTTGAGCTGCTTGGTTGGTTTTATAGCAAGAGTTTTGGTTCTAATGAAATGCCACGTAATGACTTCGATAAAGCAAAAGCTGCCACGTGTGTCTAGTATTTCCTTATTTCCATTTTTATCTTCCAAGTAGCCCTTTTGGGCGACACGTATCTGAGAAGATCGTTCTAGTGAGGAACCATGCCATGTGGACTTTTCATGCAACGAGAGAGTTCCTGACTTAACGTGTAAGCAAGCAACACTTTAAATTATGATTTTGTAGTACGGCGGCAATACAAATTGGAGAAATCAGGCTACATAACCGAAAAGCTATAAAACTACAATTTTCTAACCGGTGAATAATATATCATTTTTCATTTTTTTTATACTGAAAACGCGAGTCTATTGTTTAGTAATCGTAGAAAAGTCGAGTCAAAATTGTGGAAAAGTAAAAAAAAAATTGCCATTCACTTACACCTCCGAAAGCCAAGAGAAGAAAAAAATTTGAACGAAAAATTCTGAGAAAACTTCAGTACCACATATAGACACGAATTCACCTCTCCAACAAACTTTGCATCATTGTTTTTTTCTTCTGACTAAATCCATAAATAGTATGCTTAGCATTCTCATTATATTCTTCTGATCATCTATTAGGAAACCAAAAAGAAAATGGGGATTTTGCTCTTTAGTCGTCTTCATGGTTTTATTTTGCTTCTTGTTCTGTGTCTTTCCTCTGTCTTTTGTTTAGCTTCAAAGATGGACGTTCCATTACACGGTCACGGAAAACGTATTCTGTCTGGCTCTACTCGTTCCCCTCGTAGTGACTCTGGTGCAAATGGATACACAGTGTGCGCGGATACTAGCGAGGTTCAGGGTAAGATGATGCCACCGGATTTTGATTGCCAACAAGGAGATGTTATCTCAGCGATCAAATTCGCCGACTATGGCCAAGCCACTGGTGCTTGTGGAACTTATAAACGCGGCAAATGTGGTGGGCGTAATACATTGAATATTGTCAAAAAGGTATTCGTATAGTTGATACATTTTCGAGCGATTTTTTTTCTTTCTTTGTTATACTTATACAAAATAAGATTGAATCTTGATATCCTATTATGCTATAATTTTTTTTATCAATTTTAGTTAGGAGCAGGTGAATAATATTATTGTTCTTATTATTACTTGTGCAGAGATGCCTTGGAAAAGGGAAGTGTGAGTTGCTTGCTCCTGGCAAAATATTTGGTCCGACTAACTGCAAGGGAACTATTAGACTCGTTATTGAAGCCACTTGTAAAAAAACATAGGTTTCTTGTTTCAGACGTCATAAAGTTTTTTTAGACTCGTTAGATCGTTGATCCTTATTACATTTATAACTGATTCTGCATTATTCTCTTTTCTTGTTGTTCAAATTTTTGCTGATCATATCCATGTTGTCGATCATGTTTCAAATATTTTTTTGTAAATTGTAATCGCCCAAGTCAAGCTTTTGTTCTTGCTTTACTTTGGTTAAAGGTTGATTTCATTGAACTAAAATGAGCGGTTTACAAAGACAAAAGTTTACAGCAGAGCGAAACAAAGAAATTGGAATCTATAGAGCCAAATGCACATTAAGATCTTCCAACAAAGGCCGAATTGAATTCTCTGTAACACTAACATTTTAATTACATATACATCGATTACGATAACTAATTGATGCAGAACTTAACCACACTTACTTCTCTAGTAGTTGATGTTCACTCTATATTTACATCGCTTGTTGAATCATCACTTCCAAATTATATGACGTAAATTAGCTGCTTTATTGTTATGGTATAATTGAACGTTGCATGTTTTGAACAGATTTGGTATGTGTAATTAACTAATAATTTGTGACGACCAACGGCCAGAATGAATGTCCTTCACAACACCTCCGAAAACAAAGAAGGGTGATGAAAAGTGAATATTAAAAGAGAACAACATTTAAAAGACAAATTCAAAGAGAAGTTCGCAGCGACAATCGCACACAAAGTCGCCTCTCTAACAAACTGTAATAACAGTTGTTATTATTTAAAATCAATAAACTATAAAAAAAACGTTACATTTAACTACACTCGCAAGGAACCTGTTTAGCATTTTCATCACTAACTTTGCAGTTAGTCGGAAACATATATGGAAACTTTACATGGTCTTGGTCGACGTCATGGCTTCATCATTTTGCTTCTTGTTATGTTTCTTTCCTTTGTCTCTGGTTTTGCTTTGAACAGCTTTTCGTATGATGCAAGAGACGTCAAAATTCACAGTGATGTACGTATTCTCTCCGGTTCTGATTCTGGAGGATTTCCTCCAAGGGGCAAAGAATATCTGTTGTGCGGGACTCATAACCCTGATCAAGATGGTACCCTTTTTTCCCCATATTGTGAGAAAGGATATGTAATCAGTGAGATCAAATTCGCCGACTTTGGTCAGCCTACTGGTTCATGTGAAACGTTTAAACATGGAAAGTGTGGTGCAGCCGCTACTTTGAAGCTCGTCAAACAGGTTTCACTAAACTTCAGTTACCTGTTTGAATTAAGTACTAAAGTATTGTTATTAATCATTATTCTTATTTATGCAGAATTGTCTTGGAAAGGAAGATTGTTGGCTTCGTCTGACGGACCAGATGTTTGGACCGACCCATTGCAAAGGACCTGTTAGCTTCGCTTTTTTCGGTACTTGTAAAAGAACAAAACAATAGATCAAAGGGTAGCAATTCAATCGTGTAACAAATTTTATACTTTTGGTAATGCTTTTGCTGATCATATTTATGTTTTTTTTTTTAAACGACCTTTGATAGATAGCGCATCTATGTGTTGCTAATTTATGCAATCTACCGCGAATCAGGCTTTTGTTCCCTTCTTTATTTTTTGATGTGGCCTCACTCCTCACAAACTATTTGTCTCATATTGTGTAACATAAAGAAAATGGCCAAATCTACTTTTCACTCCTATACAAAAACTGACTACAAAATATCTATGAGGAGTGAATGAAGGAGGCCGTAACCGAACTCGTTAAAAAATTTCATGGAAGTATGTTGTAGTCAGAGCTAGTTGTTTAAAGGAGATGCGATATCCGAAGAGGCAGTGAATGAAACTTCAAACCCTAAAAAGCGAAGAGATATAAAACTGTGATTTTCATATTAGGATCATAAGTTGGATCATATTAGAAAAAACCGTACACTATTTGTAGCTATTAGCTAACTTGATCGATTAAAGTATACATATTTCCAACGCACTACTATTGTCCAAAGGGCGATCTCTATTTCCTTTCTATTGTGATTCGCTAGGGTTATTTAAAATTAGGGCTAATTGTGTAAAACATTCTCTAATGATGTTTGCACTATCAAGAAAACTAAGAAAGATCGTAAAGTGAATAAAACAACTTCATTAAACGACAAATTGATCCTTAAAAACTTCGCAGCCACACAACTTCACCTCAAATATAAAAATGTGATTCATTAAATTTCACAAATGAAAAACATTCGTAAGTAGCCTGTTAAACATTTTCATTATTTCTCTGGCAAAAAAAAATAAAATAAAAAAAAATAAAAAAGAAGAAAGACTGTATAAAAGTAAATTTGAACGACAAATTGGTAGAAAACTTCGCAGTCACATCCGCAGACGAATTCGCCTCTCCAACAAACTTTAATAATTTATTTTTTTTTAAAGAAAATCAGTGTCAGAATATTATAACCTATTTATATCTAACTACATCCCCAAGTAGCCTGCTTAGCATTTCCATTATCTTTTTGATTTATAAGAGAACCAAAAAAAGAAAGAAATGGAAAGTACTCATTGTCTTCCTGGTCATGGCTTCATCATTTTGCTTCTTGTAATATGTCTTTCTTCTATATCCTGTTTTGCTTCAAAGATCAATGGTTCTTATGATGCAAGAGACACTAAAATCCACAGTGATCGAAAACGTAGTCTCTCTGGTTCCAGTTCTGGACAAAGTCCTCGATCAGACAAGGGACAACCATTATGCGCACTTCATAACCCGACAAAGAGTGGTAAATTATTTTCCCCATTTTGCCTTGAAGGATACGTTATCACTGAGATCAAATTCGCCGACTATGGTCAGCCCACTGGCTCATGCGAGACGTTTAAACACGGAAAGTGCGGTGCAAAAGATACCTTGAGCCTCGTCGAGAAGGTTAATCTTAAACATCAATAATCTGTTTGGACTATATGATAAAAGCTGAATAATTATTCTTGTTTATGCAGAATTGTCTTCAAAAAAGAAAGTGTAGGCTTTTTGTTACAGACGAGATGTTTGGACCCACCCATTGCAAAGGACCTGTTAGCCTCGCTCTTTTAGCTACTTGTACAAAAACTTAGTTTTCTTATTTGGTTCCTCTACTATACAAATGTTGTTAACCTATCAAAAACTTCTTTAAACTTGTAGCTTTCTGTAGATTTTTTTTTTTGGATTTAATGATTCTCATTCTCTTAAAATTTAAGAGCAGTGTAGAGATGTTCTAATGCAAAGTACCCTATTATTTTTGAAGCTCTATATTAGTACATAACATGTTATTGGTTTATCTGTGAATATACCAGTTGCCACATCTTCACCCAGTGTCAAATAAAAAGAGTAAAATCGTCCAAAAACTGTAAAAAACAAAAAACACACTCTTATTCACTAATTAGACAAAAAAAATTGTCTTTTATCATTTGCTGAATTGCTTTAGCATATATTGTCATGGGATGCAAATTAAGCCATTACTCTAAATATACTGCCATGGTAATTCAGAACAATACCAACAATTTTACTTTTAGAATAACCAGTTAGATGCACAAATACAAACTTTTTTAGTTTACCAACTCTAATGTTGTTAAACTCGCTCAAATGGCGAGTTAGTATAACAATAAATCAGTAGTTAACAGAGACAAAACCTGTGGCGTGGGAGAATTGTGAAGTTAAATAGACTGTCATTTGAACATGCAATAGTAGATGCGAACAAGTCAGAACGAATATCCTTCACCAACACCTCCGAAAACCAAGAAGCATCAAAAGTGAAAATAAAATAAAACTAAAACACAATTAAATGAAAAATTGGTAGAAAAATCGCAGCGACATTCGCTCACAAATTCATCTCTCGGACAAACTCTTAACTATTTAAATATTAACAAAAGTATGATCTGAAAAACAATACCCGTAAGTATCCTGCTTAGCATTTTCATCATCCTTTCAGATCATTTACAAGATAACCAACAAAAATGGAAACTTCACATTGTCTTGGTCGTCATGGCTTCATCATTTTTATTCTCGTTGTGTTCCTTTCCTCTGAATCTAGTTTTGCTTCAAAGATCAACGGCTCTAAGCGTGGAGGAATTCCTCCACAGGGAAACGAATATCGGCCGCTTTGCGGGATAAATGAGCCGTCCAAGGATGGTACCACATTTATAGCTGCTTGCGATAAAGGATTTGTTTTCTCTGAGATCAAATTCGCTGATTATGGTCAGCCTACTGGTGCATCATGTGAAACGTTGAAACGCGGAAATTGTGGCGCGCCCGCTACTATGAGGATCGTCAAAAAGGTTAATTAACATTAATAATCTGTTTGTAGTAGTAGTGAATACAAGTAAAGTTTTAGTATTAAGTATGATTATTTTTTTATGCAGAACTGTCTTGGAAAAGCAAAGTGTACGTTATATATTACAGACGAGATGTTTGGGCCGACACATTGCAAAGGACCTGTTAGCTTCATGTTTTCTGCTATTTGTAAAAAGGCTTAGCTTTCTTGTTCCCTACGTAGAGGAGAAAGTGATTCTTAAAACGTTTTCTCCTTTTCTTGTTTTTTTTTTATGCTGCGTATCTTTTATGTTGTTAAATTACGTAATCCACCAAATTAGGGTTCTGTTTTCTATTTCAAGTTTTGTTAAAAATAAGTTATTTTAGTTTAATTTTACGAGTTCACAGTTCAGTCTCCCTATTCCGGTGAAAAATGAACGTAAGTTCAGCACATAAATTCGTGTTACATGCATGCACGGACCACGGAGTAAACTCGCACGAGCCTAAAAGACCAAACCGCAACAACTCGTTTTTTTTTCGCCTCAATATTTCGGCTAACCTAGCATGAATATAGTACGTATACTTAACAAGAGTTATCACATGAATTGTAAATTTTGATTTATTCGATAGGAAAACAATCAGAGCTCTCACTGCACACTTTACTAGATATGATTATAAGAATAGAACCCTAGATCCCACTATTTTACTACTTAGGGTTTCTCCTCATGTATTTCTATGAGAATTTCCCATTTTATATATAAAAGATGACACATCATCACACATCCAAATAGCTAGATAACATAAGTACATAACTAACAGAAATGAAAATTAAATTCATAACAAGTATCTAAATAGATAACATCTGGCTTTTATAAATAAAAAAATCAACTACCAAAGGCAAAAACCTAAAGATCAACTATGAAACCAATGAAACTCACTTTTGTAAAATAAGTATGTGTTTAATATTCTTTTTTTCTTTCCATCGAAAATGTAAACCTATTAATAGAAAAGTCAGAAGCAATTCTTTCTCCAACACCTCCGGAAACCAAGAAAGCAAAAAGAGAACAGAAAAAGGAAAACGGGACTACAAATTGATAGAAAATTTTGTGGCCACATCTACAAACGAATTCGCCTCTCCAAAACTTAAATAAGTTACCTATATATAACTACGTCCACAAGTAGTCTACTTACATTTTCGTGTTATCCTTGCTTATGAGACCTGCAGAAAAAATGGATACTTCACATTGTCTTTGTCGTCGTGGAATCATATTGCTTCTAGTTCTATTTCATTCCTCTATGCTTGGTTTAGCTTCAAAGATAGACGTTTCGGATGATGCAAGAGACATCAAAACCGACAGTGGCCGGCAACGTTTTCTCTCTAATTCTAATAATTCCAAACGACATATCAAGGAATATGTCGCGTGTACAAATGACGAACCTGATCCTGCAGGTCGGATGACTCTTATCTATTGCCGTAGACATAGATTTGTTATTTAAGAGATCAATTTCGCTGACTATGGCAATCCCACTGGTACATGTGGAGACTTTAGACCCGGAAGTTGCGGCGCACCAGCTACCTTGAAGATTACCGAAAAGGTTAATAAAATTAAAAAAGACGTTGATAATATTTTGGCTAATTTTTCATGGGGAGAGTAATTAGTAGAGTAAGAACTATTTCAATGAAACTTATTGTTAAGACTATTATTTATGCAGAATTGTCTTGGAAAGAAGAAATGTGTGCTTTTGGTTACAGACGAGATGTTTGGTCCGAGCCATTGCAAAGGACCTCCTATGCTCGCTGTTCAAGTCACTTGTGCAGAAGCTTAGATTACTTATTTGCTACTTTAAGTGATCCTGATTGCATCTTTTTTTCTTTGTAACGATCAAGTTCTTGTTGATCGTTATTCGTTAACATCAATTCTTTGTTCTATTTATTATTTTGAAACAAGGTTTTGATGCACCGTGCATGCATATGTATGGTGTTGAACTGTTGATCATGTTTCAAGGGTTGTAAATTTGTAATCAAAATAGAAAAAAAAAATTGAATGTTGACTAAAAAAATTGGTTCAGTAACTAATTATAGGTCAGACGTTTAGACAAAACATCATTTAGTCCAATAAAATTTTAAGTTCTAGATTAAGATCATCAAGGCTAATCAAGCAATCAAGCTGATTGAAGAGTCTAACAAGAACCAACCCTAACACATCAATAATATATAATATAACCACCAACCCATAGCCTAACCCCCAAGATCAACTCACACATATAGCTAAAAACAAAAAGAGAAAGAGATGATACTATTTAATATCTTTGAGGATTAGTGAATGTTCTTCCGAAGATTTTTAGTAATTGAGATATCGTTTCCCCACCATATGGCTTTTATCTAGCAATAAAATCAATTAGCAAAGACAAAAACCTAAAGATCAACAGAAAATTGTGAAAACCACTGAAACTCACTTTTATAGAAAAAAATGTTATTATTTTTTTTCCCCACAGAAAATGTAAACCTATTAATAGAAAAGTCAGAAGCAATGTCTTTCTCCAACACCTCCGAAAACTAAGAACAAAAAAAAGTACCTAGTTGAGAGAAAATTTTGTGGCCACATCTACAGACGAGTTCACCTCCAAAACTTACCTAATCTATACTATATAAAAGTTGAGGCTATAAGCCTCTGAGAGCGTCCACATAGGATTATAAAACGCGATTTGATTGGTCCACATAAGTATTTCCTAGATTAAGAAAGTTTCCGAATTTTAAACAACCAATAGTATCAATCCACATCATCACATAAAATTAGCTATTTGTTCAATTAGTTAAATTCCTTTTTATATTTTTATATTTTAAGAAAGTTTCATAATTCAAAGTTAAGCAATAGGAAAGTTTCCAGAATTTATAAGTGTAATATTAGTAGAGATATGTAATAAATAAGAAAATTATACCAACAATATCATTATATATCAACATCTAAAGCTACAATTGTATTAACTCGATTTTGATCAAATGTAGCTTACATGAATAAACATATGTTCACGTCAGAGCTTGATATAAGATCAAACAAATCCAACATCGAGAAACCACCTGGAAGCAAGATGGAGGGATATATATTGAAGACAAGATACTTTGACATCACATATTGAAAGTTCACATAGATCGATCAATTCTTCTAAAGGATATGTAGTGAATTAATGAAAAATCATGAAGCAAAGGAATGATTGAAACGAAGACAATGGGCATCACACTGAAGGTATACATGTCCTTCTGTGAAATAAATAAATTCGCTTGCTTTATTTCGAATATTATCTGGTCTATGGTGTTCAATTGATTTTCTTTGTATTTTGATAATGGAAGCACATCCAATTAATTAATAAATAAGTTACATTACCACAAAATAATCAAAGGACTATGAAGAGAACAAGGAATCGAAATTACCAAAGTGTAGATTAAATCAAAAGTGAATTGTTGCTCCTAAATTAGTAAGCTTTCGATGGGGAAAATAATATTGATTATGAAGAAACAAAAAAAATCAGAATAGTGATTACATGACACAAATTGAAAGGAAAAGGCAAACACAATAGAAGGCTGTATTTTGTTCCTTTTCTATTTTTCTTTTCTTCGTTTTTCAATGTTTTGTAATATTTACATATTCATGTGTTTATAAGTAGTACTTTTAAAAGATGTCACTTGAAAGAGAAGGAATATAAACAAAAGTAAATTTATTAAAAACAGAATAAGATAAATTCCTTCTCATTTTAGTATTTACATATGACATTCAAAGGGCCTGTTTTGAATATATTTTGTTCAATAAGTCATTCTAGCTTGATTTTATTTTCAGTTTTTCAGGTAACGAAATTGTGTTTTATTTAATTATAATTTATTCTAAATTTAAGAGGAATAGAGCCATGCAGAATTTTACAAGAGGAATGGAACCATGCAGAATTTTAAGGGTCGAGAATAACCTACAGAAATAAGAGAAAACAAAATGAAGAAAAAAGTAGACACAAAAAAGAAGAGTACCAAGATAAAACCGAAGAATAGCGAAAACAAAGATATTGAATTGCGAATACAAAATAGAGACAAAAGAAGACAAAGATGAATAAGGAAAAACCATATTAAAAACTTGTGAAGAACAATTTGAAGAGGAATTCGAACAAGAACGAAGGAGAAGAAACCTAACAACAACAAAAAAACTTGCGAAGACCAATCTAAAGAGGAAATAAAATAAGAACAAAGGAGAAGAAACCAAATCAAAACAAAACAAAAAAAAGAAGAAAAAAAAGAGAGCAAAGACGAAGAAGAGCAAACGCGAAGATGAGTGAAAATGAAGAAGAAATCAAATAAGACCAAAGACAAAGAAGAAAACAAAACATAAGATACTGAAAAAGAATGAATCAAAGAAAATTAAAAAAAAACTTTAAAACAACAACGAAGAAGAAAATGAAGAACAATTATGTGTGTCGACTAGCTTCTCTTCATTTAGGTTTTAGGTTTTATAACCATTGAAAACTTACCAAAATATTAGTTTATCATCTAGCTTAAATTTATTACATACAAATATTGTTATTTATAGCATTTTAAGTTCTAACATAACCAACTGAAGTTATTTTAAATAAACATCATGTTATATACAAATATTATTGACATCTAATTTTAAGAATTTCACTAAATATATTTAAAAATATATTTCTGTTTAGAAAATGACTAACACGTCACAATAGTTCATAAATTAACATTACATTTTACAAATAAGTTTAGTGATAAAGTAAGTTTGTCCTATTATAATGATTTGAATATCTTCAAGTAAGTTTTGGTCATTAGACATACACAAACATTTTTGTTACCGGGATATGATCTAAACAATATTTTTGTATGTCAAGATTTGATCTCAATACGATATTGATATATCTAAAAACTTTTGTTTTCCAGAGAGTTTTGGTATTGAAATATTGATAAATTTTAATTGTTGATTTTTGCAGTTTAAAAAAAAAAAATTAAATATATTTTAAACTGATTTAAGATACAGACCCGCGCGTGCGCGGGTGAAAGTCCTAGTCCAAGTTAAAAATAAACAACTTACCTATATATAACTATGCACAGGTAGTCTACTTAAACTTTTTCGTTATCCTTATGAGAACAGAAAAAATGGATACTTCACATTGTCTTCGTCGTCATAGCTTCATTTTAGTTCTAGTTCTATTTCATTTCTCTATGCTTGGTTTAGCTTCAAATATGGACGTTCCTGGTGATGCAAGAGACATCAAAATCGACAGTGACCGGCAACGTTTTCTCTCTAATTCTAGTAAATCCAAACAGCATAGCAAGGAAGTCGTGTGTACAAATCAAGAACCTGATCCTGGTCCGATGACTCGTATTTCTTGCCTTACACCTAGATATGTTATTACAAAGATCGATTTCGCTGAATATGGCAATCCCACTGGTACATGTGGACATTTTCGACACGGAAATGCGGCGCACCATCTGCCTTCAAGCTTGCCGAAAAGGTTAATTAACGGAAATCACCCTTTTCATGCATGGGGAGTAATCAGTAGGTAATGACCAATTCAATGAGATTTATTTGTTCATATTTATTTATGCAGAATTGTCTTGGAAAAGCGAAGTGTGTGCTTTTGGTTACGGAGGAGATGTTTGGTCCGACCAATTGCAAGGGAGCTCCTACGCTCGCTGTTCAAACCACTTGTACAAAAGTTTAGGTTATACTTATTAATTGCTACTTAAGGCCTTTTGTTCTTCGTATTGATCAAGCTTGTTGATCGCGCGTGAAAGGAATGTTTCTAACATAAAGTCTTTCTTCTATAGTAGTTATTAATTTGCACAAGAATTCATAAAACGCATATGAATGCTGTTGTTCATCAACTTTTAATCGAAATATAATGTTTGACTAAAAAAAATCGGTTAACGAATTATGGTTCAGACTTCAGACTTTTTCACAAAACATCTTCTAGTTGAATTCAATACAAATTTAGGTTCTAGATTAAGATGATCAAAAACCAGCAAGAATCAACCCTAACACATCAACAATATCTAACCACCAATCCATAGCCTAATTCAAGATCAACCAGCTAAAGTGTAAAAAATGAGGATTCGTGAATATTCTTCCATACTTATACAGTAGTAGTTATACGTATACGATAATTCGCCGACAAAAAAAAAAAAAAAAAAAACTTAACGATTTATCCCAAAGAAAACAAACAAACAAAATAGAGGTGAGATCTTAAGCTGACGTCATAATAAAGTGGTTCGAGTCTGCTTCGATCCTCTTGACGTCAACCCAAGCGAATTCGCAAACACACGAAGAAGAAGAAGATCGGAGACAACTATTAGCCTCCAATGGACCTCAATCGTAAGCACAAGGTACCTCCTCCTTCTTCTTCGTCTTCCGCTATTGTTGAACTTGAACCATTTCGATGCTGTTCTCATCATATTTTTCTGTTCTTCACGAGAGAGATTCTGTACAATGATTCATTTCGATAATCCCCTATCGGATCGCTTTCGAAATTCGCTAAAAAAAACTTCTATTCTTCCCGTATTTCTATTTGTTCGCACTAAATTTTGGTTTTTGCTCAAACATTGTCTTGTGAAATTGGTAGGTCTATTGGATAAATTATCAATTTCGTTGTTCTTAGTTCTCATAACAATTGGAAGTTTGAGCTTCTGGTAGATAGTCAAAGAGTTGCTTCAGTATGAAATTGAGATAACAATATGAGTTTCCAGGAGAAATCGATTAGTTACAAATATTTATCGAAATTTGGTGATCTAAGTTCGAATGAAAGTTTCCTTTAACTGCTGCATCAGTGATTGACTGATTGTATAAAATAAATTCTCTCATCAGGTGTCCCTGAGAGGCGCCAGCAATGGGGAGATATCAAGGGATGCTTTACTTGCTAAAGTGTCGCAAGAACGGGAGCTTCGCAGTTATGCTAGACGAGCTAATTCTGCAGCACTTTATATTCAGGTACTTCTTGTTAGGAATTATTCTGAGTTTGAATCTCAGCATGAGCTTAAATCATTTTCCCAATATTTGTAGAGAGTTTGGAGGTCATACGTTGTGAGAAAGAAGGCAGCTATAGAGATCCAGGAGGAGTGGGAGAGTTTACTGAGTTGCCATTCTGATACACTGACGAAAAGTTGGGTATCAAGCAGAGCGTTGAGACCTTTCCTCTTCTTTATCAGATCTTTGTCTGTCCAACATCAGAAGATACAGTCCAGAGATATACACTGCATGCAAACTTGCTTTAAGATTCTATTGGAAAGCATCAGCTCTAATGGTATGATTGCTTTTTCTCTACCGCTTGAATCATTGGTCTTGCAAGTTCTAAACAGAAGTAAATAGATGCTGTTATTGTCTTTTGCAGATCAGAGGTACAATTTTTGCTCACTTGCAGTTGGTACACTTGAAGAGAGTAAACCATGGGCTTTTCAAACACGAAGGCTGGTTTCTCTCTGCTCTTTCCTTCTCATGGAGTGTAATTATTCACAGGAAAGGATAAAAGATGTTCTTGGTGTCACTGCGCTTCTATTACGTATCCTTATCGTTTTAACTGATCCCAAAAGCTGGAAGATCACTACAAAGGACGACTTTGAAGATGCAGAGACAGCTGCAAAGATGATCATTCAGTTTATAGGGAGCTGTGAAAGTGGATATTACACGGCAGTGAGAAGATATATCAAGACATTGACCGGAAATACAGATGAGAGACTATTGATTACTACAAGTGCAGTAACTTTGGCCCTACGCCCATTCCATGTGAGTCAGCTTGCTAATGTTGATGACAATCGACCGGACACTAATTTGGCTGTTGAAGAATATGTTTCTCTTATACTGACGATTCCTCGACTCGTTTGCTGCCTGCCAAGCGCTCTCATACGTGCACTGAAGCACAAGACCATACTAATGCCATGCTTCCAGACTATATTGGTAAATCTCATATCAAATTCCGTTAGACCAATTAATTTACTGTCAGATCTCTATTACCTTTTTGGATGAACTGGTTGCTTTCTTTTCCAAACAATCGAAGAACTTATTAAAGTGTGGCAGGTGACAGCAGATTTTGAGGGAGAAAATCTTGACCAGAATATCGGAAACAGAGCATTCAGAGAAGCAAAGCTGTACCATGGAGATTCCTTCTGTTGGATGGGCTATTGGGAACATCATATCTCTGGCAACAGTTAGCGAAACCGATTTTGTGGACGCACCAGAATCCATTCCCGAGATGTTTTATGTCCTGTATGTTCATGTTATTGTGGCTCTCGCCGAGAGTCTCTTGTCTCGGGTTGAAAATGTTCGAATTCAGGATGTCCATCTTGATTTTGAGGCCTCATCGGATGACACTGGGAAAGGAGACCATTCTGTTAAGATTTCGATTGTGGAATTGCTTCGACCAGTATGTCAACAGTGGCATCTCGCAAAACTTCTGGCTGGTTCTGGGAAAGAAACTCGTGTATTAGCAGATAGAGCAAAGTCAACGAGTAGCAAGAAAGGATCAGAGACACTAGAGTTTTTTGATATTGCACGATTCTATTCATGCATGTTGAGAATCTTCTGCGTGCTGAATCCTGTTGTAGGGCCTTTGCCTGTCCTTAACATGCTATCCTTCTGTCCTGGATACATTTTTTCGTTGTGGAGCTCTCTCGAAAGTGTCTTATTCCCTGAAAATGGTTACACTGCTGACGATGCATCTCATGGATCTGTTAAAACTTCATGGAATACAAGAAGTCCTTCTGTGAAGAAACTGAAACATCTTAAGAATGACGGTGTCAGCAAGTGGGTGAGTGTGCTAAACAAGTTTTCTGGGAAATCACCTGGACCACGTGAACATGTGGACTGTACTAGTGATCAACCAGGATCAAGCCAGGTTGATGAGTCAAGTAATGATGTGTGGGATGTGGAAACTCTGAGGGGTGGTCCTGCAGGAGTCTCTAAAGATGTGTCATGCCTGCTTCATCTATTTTGTGCAACCTATGGGCATTTACTCGTTGTTCTCGATGACATACAGTTTTATGAAAAGCAGGTATGTAAACACAATATTAGTTTCCTGCAGCTCATATGCTATTAGTCTGATATTTACTAGATGTTTGTTTTGGTATGAAATAGGTTCCCTTCATGATAGAGAAACAACGGAGAATTGCGTCAATGCTTAACACGCTCGTGTACAATGGATTATTGCGAGGCACAGGTCCTGAGAATAGACAACTGATGGATTCTGCTATCAGATGTTTGCATTTATTGTATGAAAGAGATTGCAGGCACCCTTTTTGCCCCTCTGCTCTGTGGCTCTCACCTGGTAGAACTAGTAGACCTCCAATCGCATTTGCTGCCAGAACTCATGAGGTTTTACCAACCAGTGACGTTTTAACGTCTCCAAGCATGGGCTCTGTTATAACAATTACTCCGCATGTCTTTCCATTTGAGGAAAGGTACTTTTACATTGCTTACCTTTTGTTGCCTATCCATGTCATTTTTTCCTGCTACAATAACTTCTAATGTTTATTTATATTTTTTGTTATCCCACCAGGGTCCATGTGTTTAGAGAGTTTATAAGCATGGACAAAGCTTCGCGGAAAATGGCTGGTGAAGTGGATGCACCTGGTGCGAGGTCAATAGAGATAGTGGTTCGTCGAGGTCATGTGGTTGAGGATGGATTTCAACAACTGAATTCTATTGGTAACAGGCTAAAATCCTCCATCCACGTTTCGTTTGTGAATGAGTCTGGCCTTCCTGAGGCTGGCCTAGACTATGGTGGGCTTTCAAAAGAGTTTTTGACCGACATCACAAAAGCAGCTTTTGCTACCGAGTAAGTTCTTCTGTATGCGTACTTTATTTTAGCCTATGTTGTTATTTTTCCAATTGGTTAATTTTTATCTTTGTTTGCATGACCATTCTATTATTTTCCCAAGGTATGGATTATTCTCGCAAACCACTACTGCAGAGAGGTTGCTTGTTCCTAGCCCATCTGCTCGGCACCTTGAGAATGGGATTCAGATGATTGAGTTTCTTGGAAGAATTGTTGGAAAAGCTCTATATGAAGGAATACTTCTGGAATACTCTTTTTCACACGTCTTCATCCAGAAGCTACTGGGACGTTATAGCTTTATTGATGAACTGTCAGGTCTTGATCCGGAGCTCTACAGGAACCTTATGTATGTCAAGGTAAAATCCATCGCAGGTGATAAATCTGTCACCTCATTTGTCAAAACTCAATCTTGCGCAAGTATCACAAGAGAGAGGTTTCTGAGATCAAAGGTTAATTGTTTATATGCAGCATTACGATGGTGATTTGAAGGAATTATGTCTGGATTTCACAGTCACTGAAGAGTTTTGTGGAAAAATGAGCATAATTGAGCTCAAACCCGGCGGGAAGGATATTTCAGTCACGAATGAGAACAAAATGCAATATATTCATGCAATGGCTGACTATAAACTCAACCGGCAGGTCTCGTCTTTGTATAGTTTAATCTAAGGTCAAAATAAGATTTGCTGCATAATAAAGTAAACATGTTTTCCTATATCTTGAATGCAGATTGTGCCCTTTTCAAATGCATTTTACAGAGGATTGACCGACCTTATATCTCCTGCATGGTTGAAACTATTTAACGCCCATGAATTTAATCAGGTTAGCGACTGTAATGTAATTATATCTAGAGATTTTCACTTGTACAAAACTTTTGTCTTTACTAAAGTTACTTTGTGCAGTTACTCTCTGGAGGAAACCATGATATCGATGTTGATGACCTAAGGAGGCATACAAAATACACTGGTGGTTACACTGAGAGCAGTCGAACAATCAAAATCTTCTGGGAGGTAATGACTCAGATTCAGGAGCCTTGATCTCTTCTTTCGCTTCCTAATATGTCTGCTGATCATGACATTTTATGCGCTACTTGTTTAATTTCTCTCTGTGCATCCTGTCTCAGGTCATGAAAGGGTTTGAGCCGAGTGAACGTTGCATGCTTCTCAAATTTGTGACTAGCTGTTCTCGGGCACCACTCCTTGGTTTCAAATATTTGCAGCCAACATTCATCATCCATAAAGTTTGTTTCTGAACTTTTTCTTCTTAATATATGTGTAACTTTCTGTTTGGTATTTTTTTGTCTTACGTTTGTGCTTTTGCATCTTCTGCAGGTCTCTTGTGATACCTCTCTTTGGGCTGCTATTGGAGGACAAGATGTAGAAAGGCTTCCATCTGCTTCTACGTGCTACAATACTCTTAAGGTGGAGTTTCAACTTTTAATTGTTATATTGTCTTTTTTTTTTTATCAACATGTGAAGATTCCTGTACCTGTTTTGTTCAATCTTTCTTTGTGTATGGCTTCAGCTTCCGACCTATAAACGAGCAAGCACTATGAAGGAGAAACTATTGTACGCCATTACTTCAAATGCAGGATTTGAACTCTCCTAGAGACCTCTGACCAGGTAATTATCCTGTGATGCAGCTAAACCTTTCCTTTATTCTATTGATTACATATTGCTTGTCCGTTATATCAGTAGGGTTTGTGCAAACAGTTTGTTTGGTTCTTCTTGGAGATTGAATATGATAATCAAAGAAGCTGATATGGAATCTTATGTCTAACTCACCATGAATGTTATATAATGCTCACATATCAGTAAAATCTGACATATTTATAGCGTTTAGCTAAAACTCTTTCTGTAGTCAACCTTAGAAATGTTCCAGGGATAAATTAAGTAAACAAATCAACTACCAAAGATTGTGATACAAAGCTTGGACTTATATAGACCAGATCGGTAGTTTCTAAATTCACACACACACACGCACACAAACTCTGGCTCTCTTTTTTTGTTGGTTTATGAAAATTAGATACTTTGTCCTTTATATAGATAGAGAGAGGGAAGAGAAAGATTACACACTGGTAGGTATTGTTGGTATACAATTTGAATTAAATCCAACCAGGATGAAATTCAATTTAAGAGATTAGAGAAATCCCTTGACCCAATAGTTGACCAGCCAACAGCTCGTTCACAGCCTCCGTGGGATGAAATCCATCCCAAAACACATATCCTGTGGCATTTGAACACGTTCCTATGGATAGAGAATTGCAAAGGAACGATGTCTCTATTGTTCCTGTTCCGCAGCATGCCCTTTTTGCTTCAAAGAATCCTAACATTAAAGTTTAAACGATTTTAAGAATGTTAATGTTATCATTTTAGCTCTGCTTATTCAAAATAAATATCTGAGAAGTTCTTCCTGTGAATATATCTAACTGTAAAAGTTGAATTAAATATTTAAAGTTGTGTATGCAGGGGGATACCACTGTCATATGGGTTGTTGATAATGTCCAGTAGAGGTTGGTAGACATTAAAGGCGACGAGCTTGAGGCCTGAGTGTCTGTGCATCAGTCTCTGAGTTGTGTGCTCAAGTTTGGTGTTGAACATGACCGCATCATGGTTCAGCCTCTCGACACAACTCTTGTTTCCAAAACCGAAAAGAGTGATGGCTGCAGGCAGGCAACCCATTGGCGGTAGCGATATGACTCCGATTCTCCTTGCTCCTAGTTCGTACAGATTCTGTTACAAGCGACATTATGATTCTTGTTTCCACACACAAAAAAGGGTACATATTTGGAACGGAATTTTGTAAATTTGCACATTCATACTGTTGCCTTGTTAAGAATATTAGGTTCTAAAGCTCATGACTAAACTTAGAAAGTACCTGGATGAAGTCTGAGTAGGATCTCATGAGAACATCAGAGAACTGATCAGGTGTATTTAGGAGGTTGAGAAGAGGATTGACGTAATAGTTCTGAATAAAGTCGCTAGATCCTGCGCTCAAAATGTGGATAGCTTTAGAGAACAGCGTGCGTGCTCTCTCCCTCCCGATCATTCTAGTCACTCTGTTTTGATACGTCCTGTAATAGCTCAGCTGTCGTGTTAAGGGTATGGCGCCCTGCAAAAGGAAGAGCAAAGCCTTATGGATCATTTCTTGAGCATGTTTGTGTGTGTGTGTTGATGTTTTACTGTGTTGTCTCGCTTACAAATGGTACAGATGTGGCATCGTAGTATCCTGAAGAAGCTGATGCAAAGTTGGCGCCGATCAAGAGATTCTCGTTACTTGCTTCTCGATTTAGGAATGCAGTTTGGTATGAAGAGAAGCCAAGGTACTCGGCTAGACTCGAGTAGGAAGATAAAATCCGATTAGATTAGGGGGAGAGAGATAGAGAAGTGGTTATGTGAATGAAAGTTTACCGGTGAAATCTACGGCGAGTTTTCCGTTGCAGAATCTTCCGGTGGGTCTTTGGTTGATGAAGTCTCTGCCATAAGGAGGGAAGTTTGATTTAACAATGCTGAGTAAGTTATTGTTGTTGCCAACGTCAACGATGGAGTCACCGAACATGATGAGTGCAGGAACGATGGCTCCTTTGGATTTGCAGATGAAACAAGAAACCAAAAGAAGAAGCCTAAACCCTGAAACTCTCATCTCTAGCATTCTTCCTCCTTCTTGTCTAATGCAATCAGACCGTAAAGTGAGAGAGAGAGAAGAGAGTTATAGAGAGTTATTAGTGGCGAAGAAAATGGAGAGTCAAGAAGATGATGATGCATGTCATACAAAGATAATCATTCTCCCACTTATGTTTAAGATAAAGAAACAGCATTTGCTAGTGCGATAGAGTAGGTGTAATCTCTTTGGTCACTGGTGTTGGGCCATGGACAACAATTCTTTTGCATCCCTGGTTCGAACCAAAACTTCTGTCAAACCAAGGGTCCAATTGGATCCAGCGCGGAAATGCAACTGTTGTTTGAAGGGTTTGATAAGCAGAAGGGTATTGAGAGATCATCAATCTTCATTGATCTAATTTGGCTTTTGCCTTCTTGGTAAGAGATGATATGTTTTGAGTAAAACAAAGTTGAATATTGTCAAATACTATCATTATAACATAGTGTCCACCAACTTTTGTTGTTGTTGTTGTAATAATGTGCGTCCACTTAGCGCGCACCTCAAAGATTGTGTTTTTTTACCTTTTCCTTTCTATTTTCCGCCCAAAGATTGTGGTTAAGCCCCATCATATGCAGTAAAACCTCTATAAAACAATAATGTTGGGACTTTGAAATTTTATTATCTTATAGAGTTATTATTTTATCGATAAAATAATAATTATTATTTTATAGAAATATTCTATCAAAAACAAGAAACTTTATAGAAATATATTTTTTCACTTTTTTATTCAAATTTTCCTTATACTTTGTTATTTACATATTTCATGCTCAGAAGTTCAAAATCTAGAAGAAATTATGTCTATGTTCTTAATGGTGAAGATGAAGTTGAAGATGATGAGGAAAGACATGTGCAAGTAGTTAAGCAATTGTGGCTTCGAGAACTCTTCACAACTTTTGGCTGCATGTTGAGAATACACCACCAGAAATTGTAGATGCAATAAGAAAAATTCGAGATGAGCTCCAACGGGAATCCAACTTTCAGAAAAGACAAACTACATTGGAGTCATATTTTACTAAATTGTCTTAGATATATATGCCTTAGTTTTATAATTATTATCTTAGCTTATTGTTGGGACTATATTTTTACATAGGAGTTTCAAAAATATTATTGTCTTATCATCTTATCGCATTATGCTATTTTTTACATTGGCCCGAGTTGGGACCGGAGAAAATTATTATCTTATAGTGTTTATTGTTTTATCGAGTATTGTTTTATAGAGGTTCTACTGTGGTTTGATTTTTTCATTTATATTGTGCTTAAGCCATGATGGTTTTCTTATTTCTTGTATATAAAACAAAAAAACACTGCATCTTGTTCTTTCTCAACTTTGAGTTGGGCTTCTCGTAACTAAAGCCTAAAGGGATTTTGCATATTAAAGGCTCTAATTATCAAACAAAGTTAGTGGTATGAAACAATTGGGCCCACTAGAGTAAACCGAACTGTAAAAGGAAAATTGGGTAAAATTGGTAAAGCAGCCGGTAAATCGAACTGTGATAAGAAAACTAGAAATGGAATAATGATAAACCGGATTGTTAAAAAGGAAATGTGGGTAAATCGGTTAATTCTCTTGTAGCTTGAAAATAAAGCAGCCGGTAAATCGAATTGTGTGATAGAAATGGAATAATGATAAACCGAATTGTTAAAATTGAAATCTGGGTAAAGTCGGTTATTTTATTTCTCTTGTAGCTTGAAAATAAAGCAGCCAAATGATGATATATATTGAGTTTTCTTTACCACATTAGAGATCAACACAATTTCTCCAGTTCTAGTCTTCCTTCTCTCCGATTCTCTCATTCACGGATTTGCAGTCTAGATCCCAAGCGTTTACAGGTTTTTGCTTCTCTCAGAATCTCAGCTCCTTCACGGAATAATCGAAGTTGATGTGTTTTTGTCTTCGTTTGATTCAATCGATTTTGGTTTTCTAATTTCTGGTCTGGCTACAGCTATGGCGGACACCACTGTAGAGAAAGTCCCCACCGCTGAGTCATCCGCTTCATCCTCCGCAGAAGCTTCAATCGCTGCCGAAAAGACAGAGCCCACGACATCAATCACTGCCGAGAAGACAGAGCCGACGACGACTGAGAAGAAAAAGTGGGGCGATGTTGAGGATGACGAAGAAGAAGAAGCAACCACAGTAACGGAGCTCAATTCATTGAGTATTAAAGAGGAAGAGAAACATGAATCTATCCTCGAAGAGCCCGAAGATTCAAACATCAAAGCGGTATTACTCTTATGCTCGTTACTAGATTTCTTCAATCCACTGAATTGCGATTGTGTTAAATCTCGCCAATCGAGCTTAGATCTGAGGTTTAACTGGAGAAAAATTAGGTTTTTTTTTGACGATGATATTGAATTCTTCGCTTTCTTTTGTAGGTTACTTCCGGTGACACACCATATACATCGGCGAGTAGGTTTGAAGATTTGAACTTGTCACCTGAGCTGATGAAAGGATTGTATGTAGAGATGAAGTTCGAAAAGCCGAGCAAGATCCAAGCAATCAGCTTGCCAATGATAATGACTCCTCCTCACAAGAATCTGATTGCTCAGGCGCATAACGGATCTGGGAAGACGACATGTTTCGTCCTTGGAATGCTCAGTCGTGTTGACGTGAATATTAAACAGCCTCAAGCCCTTTGCATTTGCCCCACTAGAGAATTAGCAAACCAGGTTAGTTTAAGTTATTCTATTGGTTGATGATCTTGAGAGAATTTGACGTTGTTAAGAGGCTTAGTTGATGTATGTGTGGTTGAATGAAATGGCAGAATGTGGAGGTACTTCAGAAGATGGGGAAGTTTAGTGGGATCACAGCTGAAGTGGGAGTCCCAGGGACGTCGAGAGATGTGAGGAAAGAGCCTGTTACCGCACAAGTGGTCATTGGCACCCCGGGAACACTTAAGAAGTGGATCTCATTCAAGAGGCTATCTCTAGCCCATTTGAAGATTCTGGTTTTTGATGAGGCTGACCATATGCTTGCTACGGTATGCTCTTTGTTTCTGTTTCGAATTTGGCCTTGTAAAGGTCATATTTATCTTTTCATTTGTTGATAATTGAGACTTCTTCACTGGTGTGCTTGCAGGATGGTTTTAGAGATGATTCATTGAAGATAATGAAAGACATTAAAAGCGTTAATCAGAATTTCCAGGTATGTTGAACTAGCTTCTGGTTTGGTCATGTAGGATGAGGATTGATTATGTATAGAACCCCTAATGTTAAGAAGATATCTGTACTAGAGACTGTGTTGTTTCGTTATCTCCATGGCTGTTAGTCTCAATTGAAATGAAACTCTTTTGGTTTTTCTTTCTTGTGCTAAACTTGACTACGTCCTTGTGTTCTTGACCAGGTTCTTCTGTTCTCGGCAACTTTTAACGACGTTGTCAAAGATTTCGTTACGAGGACAGTGAAGGACCCAAACCAGCTGTTTGTCAAGAGAGAGGAGCTGGCGTTGGACTCAGTCAAGCAGTACAAAGTGGTTTGCCCAAGGGAGGAAAACAAGATTGAAGTGATCAAGGATCAGATTATGGAGCTTGGGGATATCGGTCAGACCATAATATTTGTGAGAACGAAGGTGTCAGCTGGTAAACTGCACAAAGCTCTTACGGAAATGGGGTACGATGTCACCAGTGTCCATGGTAGTATGACAGAAGCCGACAGAGATAAGATAGTGGGCGAGTTCAAAGCCTGCTTAACTCAAGTTCTAATCGCAACCGATGTGATTGCAAGAGGTTTCGACCAACAACGGGTAAAATATTTATCCTTAAACCCTTTTCCTTTCATCTGTTTCCCCCACAAAATGCTCCTCTTACTTGGTTTATGCAAATACTTGCAGGTGAATCTGGTTGTAAATTATAATCTGCCTACTAAATATGAAACCGGAGAGCCGGATTATGAGGTGTATCTTCACAGAGTTGGAAGAGCTGGCCGGTTTGGTCGTAAAGGTGTTTATTGATTCTTCCTTGAGTGTTGACATAAGTGGAAACAGTTTATTCTCGTCAAATTGTTGTTAACTGTTTGTTTGTATGGCAGGAGCTGTGTTCAACCTTCTACTGGATGACCGGAGGGAGAAAGAGGTGATGGAGAAAATTGAGAGATATTTTGAGGCACACGTTAAGGAGGTAAGCAAGATTTAACTTTTTGATTGGCTGATATATAATTAGAGTTTGTCAAAACAGTGTCTCATCAAATGATTCATACGTATGGTTGCAGATAAAGTGTTGGAACGCAGAGGAAGAGTATAAGAGCGCACTCAAGGAAGCTGGCCTGCTCGATAAAGAAGTTGTTTAAAAACATCTTTAAAGACTTCGGCTTTTTTTTTTTGTTTTATGAGATTGCTGTTGTAATTTTCTTCATCAGATTGCTGAGATTTCAGGCTTTGTAGCTTTTTTCTTATTTATTCAGAAGAAGAAAAACATAATTTTGATTTCAATGTGAAAGTAAACCATTTCTTACAACAGGGGATAAGAGTCATTTTGATTCCAATGTGAAAGTAAACCATTTCTTTACAACATGGGATAAGAGTCGTATGACTGACACAAAAACAAGTTCTTTGGTTGTGTTTTCAACCGATGGTTGAGGTTTTAGCGGCAAGATGAATCAGTGCTCGTCGATGATACGTAGTACGAAGCTTCTTGTATTTCTGGACAAATGCAGCTGTGTCAATCTCCTTCTCTAGGAACTTCTCTTGTAAGGCTTCAGATTCTTCATCCGCCTGATTCATAGCCTCTGCAAAACCCACAAATAGTGTTTAGATTTAGAAGTGATGTGGCACAGGACCTGTATAGAAGCTAGACGTTGTAAATGTATAAGTTACCTTGTAGTTTATGTAGAAGAGAGCCAGGAGAGTAGAACTTGAGGATCTCTTCCTTTTGTCTCTCTAGCTCATTGAGCTTTTCTTGCGCAGTTGCGAGCTCAGTTGTACGGATGATTCTGCACTGTAAAACGAGTAACACAATGTAAGATTAAGAAGAGATACCCAAAAAGGCTTATCAAACATGGTGGTAGTTGATACACACTTGGTTTCTGAGCTCCGTTATCTGTGGCTCCTTCTCTAAGTTCCCTCCTGTTTACATTTGACCATGACAATGTCAGATTTCTGAGTGAAACAAGTCTCACTCGTCGAATGACACAAAACAACAGAGAACTTACTAGCCAGCTGCAATGTTTCTCTCCGGAGCTCATCTTTGATCTGATGGACATAAACAATGACCAAATCAGTTAATGTCCCAAGACTATAACAGAGAACCAGAAGACTCAGTTTACCGGAAACATGTAAAAGATGGTACAAATCAAACGATCTCAATACATAACTAAGTCGAAACTACATCCTTAGAACTACAGATATCAGTTGTCACTTAGAAATTGTTTACGGTTTTTGAAGACTTACATTGTTCTGTATTTTGACCTGGTCAAGAGACAGAAGAAATTGCTGATACGCATCTTTTTCAGAGAGAAGCTTCCTGAGCTCGTCCACACTAGGAGAAAAAGTATACGAGATTGAAAAAGAAAGCATACAAAAAACTACAACACAGGAGAAAAAGTATAAAAAAAAAAACCACGATTAGAGCGAACCTTTTGTCTTTCAAGAAGACGATAATGCCAGCTGCTTCACCTGGTGAAACATTTGCTGGAATCTGACCTGATGTTTGAGGCCTTGATGAGCTCGGCGAGCTGACTAGAGACGGCGAGTACCATGGCTGCGAAGAAGAAGAAGCTTCCGCAGGACGAGACTGCCCTTGTTGCTCTTTTGATCCCCTTTGATCAAAACATACACACAAATGGAATAAAAACATTATCAAACACTAACTAAGAGGCATCAATGAGAAAACCATTTCAAGTTAAGAAAGTTGCAGAACACTGATTCATCAAAAACTCTCACTTAAACTACAACAGAGAGCAAGATTATAGAGCAAAACTGTCAAAATCAAACATCAGCAGCTGAGAAAATTCACTCCTCAGTGGTTGATTACAGCTCAAAACTTACGAACAAACTACAAAACAACCAGATTTGCTTAATCAGCCAACAGACCTAATGTCCGGAACACATGTATCCGAATTTCACAAATGAAAAAATCATGATAAGCATCAGAAAACAAACTGTATACAGAATCAAAATAGACGATACGAAACAGATAGCAAAAAGTTGCACAATCGCGGAAACACAATAAGATTTATGGAGTTGGTATTACCAGAAATTGAACATCGTTTCTACTATTCGCCGACCAATCAATGGAGAATCAGAAGTTGTATCGGAAAAACCTGAATTTTTCTCCCTTGTTCTTCTCCTACCGGATCGAGAAGAAAAAAATAAGAACTTTCGAAAATAATTAAAATCGAAGACTTGGAACTTCGGTGTTCTTCAGCGAGACTTTAAATAAGTTTTCTTTAATCCAAAACCAAAACCAAATCGAAATAAAATTCGGTTCGAGCTCGGTACTTTTCTACCAAAAAAACCGAAAAACTATAAACATAACCGAAGGCCCAAATACGAATAGAATCTACAATAACTAGGCCCATATTTAATTTATCTACCGAAAAACGTAGCCGTTTTATTCGTCGTCGTCCTTCCTTATCCATCCACGCCTAAACGGCCCGCGTAGTTAGACATTTCTGCACCGAAGAAGCTTCGAAAAAGCTCATCAATGGGTTGAAAAGGGAGAAGAAATATCTAACATTTTCGAGAAGAAATGGAGTCTTCTCTCTTTCTTCAATATCCCTCTTCTTGTTCTACTCTCTTCACTGCAAAATCTACTCGTCTTCCCTCTCCGAAACCCAAATGCTTCTCCACTTCCTTCTCCATCAAATCCTCCATAGAGAAACCAAAACCAAAACCTGACACTAACCCATCGAAATCACAGTCATGGGTCAGCCCCGATTGGCTCACGTCACTCACTCGCACCCTTTCCTCAGGTCAAAACGACGATTCGGGCATTCCCGTAGCGAGCGCGAAGCTCGACGACGTCTCGGAACTCCTCGGAGGAGCTCTCTTCTTACCACTCTACAAATGGATGAACGAGTACGGACCCATTTACCGTCTCGCCGCTGGTCCTCGCAATTTCGTGGTGGTCAGCGATCCAGCGATTGCCAAACACGTTTTGAGAAACTACCCAAAGTACGCTAAAGGCTTAGTTGCCGAAGTCTCCGAATTCCTCTTCGGGTCAGGTTTCGCAATCGCCGAGGGACCTCTCTGGACGGTAATTTCATCTTCTTCCCCCAAAAACTCAAATTTAGATTAGAGGAATCATCGAAGCAATGTGTCAATTTGAAACAATTGATGTTTGATTTATGAAATTAGGCGAGGAGAAGAGCGGTTGTGCCGTCACTTCACAAGAGGTATTTGTCAGTGATTGTGGAGAGAGTGTTCTGCAAATGTGCAGAGAGGCTTGTGGAGAAGCTGCAGCCTTATGCACAGGACGGAAGAGCTGTGAACATGGAAGCAAAGTTCTCTCAGCTGACTTTGGATGTTATTGGCTTGTCGCTTTTCAACTACAATTTCGATTCGTTGACTACTGATAGTCCTGTGATTGAAGCTGTTTACACTGCTCTAAAAGAAGCTGAGCTTCGTTCTACTGATATACTACCGTACTGGAAGGCAAGTTTCATGTTTTTTGCTTGTTATGTTGATTGAGGCACACCTGGATTCTTGTTTATTCAGAGGCGTTGGTTTGTTTGTTTCAGATCGATGCGTTGTGTAAGATAGTACCGAGACAGGTGAAAGCTGAAAAGGCTGTGACTTTGATTAGAGAAACCGTTGAAGACTTAATTGCTAAGTGCAAAGAAATCGTTGAAAGAGAAGGTGAAAGAATTGATGACGAAGAGTATGTGAATGATGCTGATCCAAGTATCCTCCGTTTCTTGCTCGCAAGCAGAGAAGAGGTTTTACTCTGTTTCCTTGACAGCTTATAAGCAAACTTTTGCCTTTCATTATTGGAAAATTGAGGCTGATGTTGATTTGTTCGGTTTGTAGGTGTCAAGTGTGCAGTTACGAGACGATCTTCTCTCAATGCTTGTTGCAGGTCATGAAACCACTGGATCTGTTCTCACTTGGACGATTTATCTCCTAAGTAAGGTATCTTTATAGTATCTTCTACTCCTATACCACCACTTGGAAAGAAGCGTCTCTCTTCTCATTAATGAGTAACTTCTTGTCTACTTGATTAGAACTCATCGGCAATGGCAAAAGCACAAGAAGAAGTAGACAGGGTTTTAGCAGGAAGAAACCCTGCTTACGAAGATATAAAGGAGTTGAAGTACATCACTCGTTGTATAAACGAATCTATGCGTCTCTACCCTCATCCTCCTGTAAGCAATCAATCAACCTCATCTCTCTAACTTTTTGCTTATAGATTTCATGAACTGAAATTTCTTGATTGCTTTGTTTCTTGGTAAGGTCTTGATTAGAAGAGCTCAAGTTCCTGACATTCTTCCCGGGGACTACAAGGTCAATACAGGACAAGACATTATGATTTCGGTCTATAACGTCCATCGTTCCTCCACGGTATGTTCTCTTCCTACCCTTTTGATTGGATTGGACACCTCTCTAGTAACATTCATGCCCACATTTATAATGTGTTTGTTGTTCCAATAGGTATGGGAAAATGCTGACGAATTTATGCCTGAGAGATTTCAGTTAGAAGGACCGATCCCTAACGAAACAAACACCGATTTTAAGTAATCTCAGTGATACACATAGTAGATAAAGAGACTGAAACTTTTGATTAGATAGGTTAAAAGATGGTTGATGATTTGTTTTCCTTTTTTAACTAGATTCATACCGTTCAGTGGAGGGCCTAGAAAATGTGTAGGAGATCAGTTTGCATTGATGGAAGCAATAGTGGCACTTGCCGTCTTTCTCCAGCGGTTAAACGTGGAGCTGGTTCCTGATCAGACCATAAGCATGACCACTGGAGCAACTATACACACCACCAATGTACGACCAATGTTCTCAAACTCGAGATTAATCTGTGTCTGTTTTGTTTAGGATGATTTCAGTTTCGTCTGATAATGATTTTGTTTGTCTGTGTCGGTTGCAGGGATTGTATATGAAGGTGAGCCAAAGGTAAAGCCAGAATGTTGAAGATAAAGCTTGAATCTGTTTCCATCATCATGATTGTAACAATCTTTTCTGTACTATAGCATTACCTATTTAATCTCCTAAATTGAAGAGCTGAAAGGGAAATGGAGAGTTTATGATATGTGTAAATGTAGTTAAAATTGTATCTAATTTTTCGGATCTTAAACAAACTTCTTGTGAAACGAGTCACGAGTGCTACTTTAATGCTTTCCACCTAATTCACCAAAAAATGTAAAATCAGACTCATGTTTACTTCATCCTAAGAGCATGTTGTCATACAATAGTATTATCATGACATCTAGTTTTATGAATCACATTTTTTGTAGTGAATTATAAGAGTTTTAATTCATTTTGCAAAAGCAATTGTTGTTTTGCCAATTTAAAATAAGATGTTGAAACAAATACCGATATTAGCATAAAATGAGCGATAGTATGTCCTAATCACATACTACTTTCTCATCTAAGAGTCTATCTAAAAAAAATTCAATCATAGAAATAGTTAAAATTTGCTATAAAACTGTTTAGTTAGTCTTTAAAAGGCATAAGTAAAATATCATCGACAGAAAAAAATCAATTACTTCAATACATAAAAAAACTGAAAACATTTGTGGAAATTAAATTCTTATTCTTTCGTCTTGATTTTTTTTAAAATCCAAATAGTATTTTTATTTTATTTTATATCACCAACACAAAAAAAATAATATTGAAATACCCCTCTCTCTTTTAGTGGAGTAGTTTCTCGTTCACGTACACTGACAGAGAAAAATGAAGGACGAAAGCTCAGAGTGTAGTAACAAAGCTCGTCTCGCCATCATGGAGCTCGCTAACATGATCAGCGTTCCAATGTCCCTCAACGCCGCCGTACGACTAGGCATCGCCGACGCTATCTGGAACGACGGCGCCAACTCTCCTCTCTCCGCCGCCGAGATCCTCTCTCGCCTCCTCCTCCCATACACCGGTGATCCCGAGAACCTCCAGCGTATTCTCCGTATGCTCACCAGCTACGGCGTTTTCTCCGAACACCTCACCGGCGCCGCCGGATCCATCGAGAGGAAATACTCTCTCACCGACGTCGGAAAAACGCTCGTCACCGATTCCAACGGTCTCTCCTACGCCGCTTACGTCCTCCAGCACCACCAGGAGGCGTTAATGCGAGCGTGGCCACTGGTTCACACGGCGGTGGTGGAGCCGGAGACGGAGCCGTACGTGAAAGCCAACGGCGAGGCGGCGTACGAGCAGTACGGGAAATGCGAGGAGATGAACGGTTTGATGCAGAAGGCGATGTCCGGTGTATCGGTGCCGTTCATGAAAGCTATAATGGACGGTTACGATGGGTTTATATCCGTGGAGCATCTGGTTGACGTAGGAGGAAGCGCAGGGGATTGTCTCCGTATGATCATTAACCAGTTTCCTAATGTCCGTGAAGGAATTAATTTTGATTTGCCTGAAGTTGTTGCCAAAGCACCAAAGATTCCTGGTCTGAATAATTTTTACATTTTATTTTTTGTTTGTTTTATTATTTTCAGGTTTTTTGTATTTAATATTTATTTCTATTTATAGACGTCTTTATGCTATTTTGATATAAGTGGTTGTTGATATTGTATGTGTTTAGGAGTGACTCACATGGGTGGAGATATGTTCCAATCAGTTCCTAGCGGTGACGCAATGTTCATGAAGGTTTGTGGTACCATTATTGTCACATGGATACATGACCTACCGACTTTTTTTGTTATATAGGACATTTTTGGACTCTATTGATAATTGTGGTACTATGATAGACAGATAGACTAGTTCAGTTTATGTTATATAAGTGGCTACCGATGTTTTGTCAAAAAAGTAGCCTAAAAAATCACCATATCCTTACTTTAATTGGCACAAAAAAATTAGATTGTGTGGCTGTCATTAATATATATTTGATCAAACTTTAGTTTTTGTATCCCTTTATATTCCAAGGTTAATGTGTCTTGGTTAAATTTGTTGAAGATAAATTACAAACATTTGATATATTAAGAGTACATTATCTCATTCGTATATACAAACTCCAATTATTGAAGCCATTTGATGTTTCTTTCATGTTAGTAGATAAAACAAACAAACACATATTCTTTGCTTCTCTATATCCCAAATTAACATCTTGTAATGTTGTGTTTGTTTGAGTGAGCAGTGGGTGTTAACGACATGGACGGATGAGGAATGCAAGCAGATAATGAAGAATTGCTACAATGCATTACCGGTAGGAGGGAAGCTAATCGCGTGTGAGCCGGTCTTGCCTAAGGAAACCGATGATAGCCACCGGACTCGTGCCTTGTTAGAAGGAGACATCTTTGTCATGACCATCTATAGAACCAAAGGTAAGCACAGGACCGAAGAAGAGTTTAAAGAGCTTGGTCTCTCTGCTGGATTCACTACTTTTCGACCTTTCTACATCGATTACTTCTACACGATCTTAGAGTTTCAGAAGTAATTTTAAAGCATTTACCTTCTGAAGTACTCTAAAAGCTTCAAAATAATCATAAACACATTGGTGATCTCTAATAAATGCATTTTCATTCAAATGTAATAATCTTGTAGTCCATATCTACTTGCATTCTTCAAGACATTATTCTTCAGATGTAATAATCTTTAGCGACGACTTTCGGCAGATTTGTTTGTTGTACAACTATAATTATATATATGTAGATCTTTGTAGAGAATGAAATCTCAGTTTCGAACATTTTCATGATAGTAATTAGTAAACTTTCAAATTTTATTGTTCTAAAACAGGTTTAAGATTGCCTTATCATTATTATTATTATTTTGAAATGATATAGCTTATACTAATACCTTTTCTATTGGCGACTTAATTTGCTCCAAGATATCTTGGATCAAGACTGAAACATTAGTACTCGAAGATCCTCCTTCTTCCACAGCCTTTCTCGCCATTACTGCAAGCTCTTGAATACGTCTCACGAACTCACTATTTTCGTCTTCACCATCTCCACGTTGACAATCTTCGACCATCAAAAGCTTTATAGCCTTCACAACACTCTGTTTCTTGACCAACACTCCAACTTTTTCCTCGTCTCCCCATCTCACCGGAATCTCTACGCCAACCCTAACCCCAATCTTCAAAACTTCCACGACAAGTTTCTCATTAAGGAATTGTTCAGCGAATAATGGCCATGTGATCATTGGTACACCAAAACATATCCCTTCTATCGTAGAGTTCCAACCGCAGTGAGTCAAGAACCCTCCGGTGGAGCCATGTGAGAGTATCATAGCCTGAGGACTCCAACCCTTTATCACTATCCCTCTTCCTCTAACTCGCTCTTCAAACTTTTCGCGTTTTAGCCATTCTTTTAGCTCATTCATGTATTTTTCCTCGGTCTTGATCACCCAAATAAAGGGTTTTCCCGATTCTTCTAACCCTAAACCTAGTTCTATCAGTTGATCAGGTATAAGTCGACAGAGGCTACCTAGACAAACATATAATACTGACCTTGGTCTCATCGAGTTGAGAAACTTCAAGCATTCGGTCTCGCTTATGGCGATGTTACCGTTGTTTCCTCTATCGAATAAGTCCACCATACGGTCGTTGCATAACGAAACAGGCCCAACGAACCATACCTTTTTTTTTATGGCCTCAGAGTAGGCTTCTGCATAACCGGGCTCCAATTCTTGGAAGCTATTAACAATAACCCCAAATGCTTCTGATTCAGCTTCACGCATCTTCTCACGAACGTCATCCATATTTGCTAACTTCTCAAACGCACCGGGTAGCTGAGCCCTAGCTATCTCGATCCTATGTGGCATTGCTGGTATAGAGAAAGGCTCTGAGTCTGAAGAAACCGAGAGGTGTGGGCTATGAAGATGGACATTGTGCGAGCTCAAAAGAGAGAAGCAGCACATTCCGTGGAACACTATTCTCGGGATCTCGAACCTTTTGGCGGTTTGGGACGTCCAAAAAAGGCATTTATCGGAGATCATGCAACTTGGAGGGATTTCTTGTTGCTCAAGAAACGTTTCCAAGGGCTCCTGAAGCTTATTTACAGCGTCATAGAATCTCCGTAGGAGGTCTTTGGAGGGCAAAGTGTCAAGAGTCTCGCAGTTTTCGGGAAGACCGAATTCTTTGTAGGCAATTGGAAATTTCACGACGTTGATTTCCAGACCCGACTCTGATCTTGCTCGCTCAACCGTCTCCGAAAACCTAGATGCATTTTGAGGGGTTGTAATTAGGGTAACGGCGTTGCCTTGTTGCGCAAGAATCTTGGCGATATCAACCATGGGGATCAGATGCCCTTGAGCCATGAGAGGGATCATCACAAAGTGAAGTCTTTTGGGTTTTGAAACCATTTTAGTTTGCATTACATTTTGGGTTGAGCAATTGTTGGCAGATAGAAGACACAGGCACATCAATATGTATATGTATACGTGTGTGAATGCATCTTCTGAGAAATAACTTAATGGTTATTGGCTAAGTCATCAAAAGCTGTATCGACTTTGAACAAGTCAACAAAAGAAACTATTGTTTAGAGGACCAATCACGCATCCTCATTGTTTAAAATTTCGGTTGATGACGATAATGAGCTATACGTCACCTTCTTAAAGAAAATTTAAGATGAAGTTGAAATCCTTATTCCAGCGACTTATATACACTTTTAAATGTGAGTTAATTTTATTATCATATTAAAATGATAATGAAAATTTCACTAACGTTTACGAAAAGGTAACTTAATTAATTTAAAAAATAATTCACTTTTATTTTATATTTGTTGATTATGATATCGGTGTGAGAAGTATACGACAAGCTCAAGGTTTACTACGTATCGCCAAAATAAGAAGTCAATGAACGTATCGAAGAAGAATGGAATTGGTTGTTGATCGACGTAAAGGCCATGGGGGACGTTAGAGCTGTTTAACCTTTTAGTTTTATGGTCTTGGCCTTGTCTAAAGGTAGATAATAATTCGTTTGATCATCACATCGTTTAATTTGCATAGGTTTTAATTTTCTGTGTGGTGTAGTTTCTCAAGAGTGTTCAAGAGAGACTTTGTTAGCGAAAATGATATCAGTTTAAGTTAACAATCGATAGAGTTTCAGCATATTCGACCTTTAGATTGAACTAAGAAAAAGAAAAAAAAGAATGGAACCGAAGAATTGTTGTTCAAAACATCAAGAGTTACCATTTAATTATGACTGTAATATTTTGGCGTAGCTTAAGGTTCATGAATTTCAAAAGTTTTAATTGATAAGGATCACACGAAAGACAGAATTAGATGAACAATCCGAGGAAGATATATAATAAGTCATCAAACGCTATCTAAAACTCAAGTCAGAATGAAGATTTGCAAGATTTTTGTATTATTTATGCGGAAAAAAAAGGACATTTTTTGTTTAAATGAAAGAAAGGAAGACCCTTTGAAACGTTCAATTGTGCGTAAGTGGTGAACAAAACAACGTGGACTAGTTCAACCTTTAATAATTGGAATATTAAAGCACTGACGTACACACTTGCCCTTTAATTAGGTTGAACCTTCTCTAGAAGATATGTTCTAGAAGATAGGCTTTTAATTTGTATTTATACTGGATTGTAAATATTATTAAATTCGAAAATTTGAAGTAAATCAATACAACTTCGGAAAACTGAAAAACCAAGAATTGAAAAATTGACAAAGACCAAGAATCAAGAAGTCAAAGAATAGATAGGAGGGGCGAGCGGGTTAAAGCCACAGGGGCCGAAACTTCTGTCTGGGGGACAAACCTTAACAACAACAATGTTCAATCCACCGACATCACGTCCACTAAGTTGCAGCGCCTTCTCTACTGCGTCCTCTCCCCAAAGGTAAACCATAGCTCTGCTGTCGAGACAACCCCCTAGGTGCTCGGGAACCCCAAAAGATACCCTTCCACTTCCACATGAAAGCTCGGGAAGCACAAAAGATAGCCTTCCACAAAGATTGAAATGCATACGCAGCATGCTCTCGACAACATCCTTAGGAAGCCTAATGTCGTATCCGGTTACTACCATCGTGCGTTGCCGTGGGCTAGCTGCAGCTCTCATGGGAGCCACCTCAGGTTCAAGGTACGTTTCATCAAACGGGTAAGGCTTAGCGACTATGATCCGTCCTCCCATGTCACGTCCACTAAGTCCCAACACCTTCTCTTCTTGACCTTCTCCCCGAACGTAAACGAACCCAAACCTGTTGAGAAGACCACTCGTAACGTCTTTGGGAATATAAACATGTATCATCTCTCCACAGGAAGAGAAGTGGTCTCTCAAAGCAAAGTTTACCTCATTGGCAGGAAGCGAAGTGTCGTATCCTTCAACGCAAATCCTCCTTATGCTACTTCTCTAATAGTTTTGAGAACTCATCTTATATTATAGTCCCAACACCTTCTCTTCTTGACCTTCTCCCCGAACGTAAACGAACCCAAACCTGTTGAGAAGACCACTCGTAACGTCTTTGGGAATATAAACATGTATCATCTCTCCACAGGAAGAGAAGTGGTCTCTCAAAGCAAAGTTTACCTCATTGGCAGGAAGCGAAGTGTCGTATCCTTCAACGCAAATCCTCCTTATGCTACTTCTCTAATAGTTTTGAGAACTCATCTTATATTAGGTTTGGGATATTAGGTTTGTGGTGTTTGTGATACAAGAAAGAATAAACCTTAAGCCTAGACCTCTATTTATAGAGTTGTGATTCTAAACAAGAAAAGTAAATTGTTTATTCTTATTGTTACAGTTTCCTTTCTTCATGATTTCCTCTTTTCTCATCCTTTGTTGCTTGATTTTCCTTTTTACTTGGTATCCTTTTTGTTTTACAATCACAAAACAGAGTTAGCTACAAGTCAATACATTTGATTCTCTCACCAGTGGAAACCATTTGTTTCTCAAGCTCCTCAACTGCATCAAATATCCCATGAGCAGCATATGTTTTGATCATAGTAGCAAAAGTGATCTTATCAGGCTTACACTTTCTCTCTTCCATTTGCATGTACAGCTCCTTCATCGTAGCAAGATCACCAGCCTCACCGTACGCATTGATGATGCAGTTGAAGAACGTCGTGTCAAGCACCACATCTGAATTCACAATCTGCCTCAGAACCGAATCTATCTTCACCACAAGACCAGCTTTGCTGTAAGCATCAACAAGCGAACAGTAAGTGATACTGTTCGGTTTCACTCCCTGATACTTCATCTTCCTGAACACATCGTCCATTTTCTCAATCCTCCCTTCTTTCCCAAACGTCTCAATCACTATATTGTAAGTCACAGTCGTCAGGGAGAAGAATCTCTTCTCCATGAAGTCCATAACAGAGCTCATCTTCTTGAACATCCCAGCTTTACCAAACGACATGATCAAAATGTTAAACGTGGTCGCATCTGGCTGCACTCCCATCAGCTGGAACCTATTATACCAGCTCTCCATCTTCCTCGTGTCACCGCCTTTTCCATACGAGCCTACTATGGAGTTTAAAGTGAAAACATCCGGAAGAGAAGAATCTCCATCCTCAATCATATCAGCAAGAACATCTTCCATCTCCTCAAACATACCAGCTTTTCCATACCCATCAATGATAGTGTTGTAAGTCACCGTGCTGCATCCAACTCCAAGATACGACATCTCGACAAGGATCCGTTTAACCAGATCAAACCGGGAAAGTTTGCAGCAGCAGTTTATGAGAACAGTGAAGGTGAACACATCTGGCTTGCAATCACTTACAGATTTCATATACTCAAGCGTGGCAAATGCTTTTTCTAGCAGCTCGCTTTTGCCGTAAACTGCTATAAGAGATGTGTACACATCAATGGTAGGTTTCAATCCTTCAGATAACATTACTTCGAAGAGCAAGCTCGCTTGATCAGGCTGTTTGCAGTTCCCAAGCACTTTCAACAGCTTTGTGTACGTTTTGCATCTTGGCTCGTACCAATGCTGCTTCCTTAGAAGATTGAAAATCTATAAAGCAGAGAAACAGGACGATGAATTCAAATTGAATCTTGTGGAAATTTGATGTAAGAGAAACGAAAAAGGACGTTACTTTGAGAGCAGACTGCCATCGATTCTCTCTGATAGCTTCATCAAGTGCTTCAAGAACAGCTTTTGGCCACAAAGTGTTGTACTTTTGGGAGTTGGCTTTCTTCTCGATGCCTTTAACAGCAGCATCTGCTCTCAGAATCCGAGACAATTCTTTGTTGGGATCTACTCGGTGTCTTGTTGAGATGAGGCCAGAGCTCGTTTTCGCTGTACGTTCGTTGGGGATTTTAGTCGAACACGTTGTGTGCGTCGTGGAAACAAAGGCTACATGACGAAAATAAACAGGGGATGATGATGATATATGTTGCTGAACCGCGCTGCTACAAGAGTTACGGAGAGAAAAAGAACGATTAAGATAAAACCCACCAAACTGAAGATATAGGAATCAATAATAGGAAGAAAGATGAGAATTTTACCGAGAAAAACAGGGGATTTTAGAAGAGAGTTGTGTGGTTTCATTGGCGTAAGACGAAGGAATCTGTTGTATCAATGCCATCGAATGAGAGTGCGAGAAAGAGAGAGAGAGGAGGAGACGTAGAAAGAAGAAGACTGATGATTTCACTATAATCAAATTGTTCCAAGAATATGGTTTATCAGCTTCAATACGAGGCTGTAAACCAATCTGTTAATCCTGTTCATAAGAAGGCTTAAAAATTCAATCTTTTTCTCTCCCCATTTGATTCTGATTCGAAATTCTGTTTTCAGAAGAAAAAAAACCGGTTTGTGTTATGAAAATTTCATATTTTTTCCCATTTGGAGTAAAATATTAGAAACTAAATGTTGTATTAAATGTCATTAACCACTTGTTTAAGAGAGAGAGCGAGAGTGTGGGATGAAAGTGGAAGTCATCAAACTGTATTTTTCAAGAACTTGTAATGGAGACATTTGTTAACCAAATCAAATCGAATCGTTGTTTATAAATGTGAATTTGACTAGTAGGTGAGACATGTGCTAGATAGATACGGCCTAGAACTATGTGAGTCTATCAGATAACGAAGACTTTCAATAATTAAACGTATTTAAACCACACACTATGGTCTGTGGACACTATACGCACGCAAAAAGAAGAAGAAGAAGAAGAAGAGAAAATTACTTAAGTTTATTATTGAACGGTCGTCTTCTTTCTTCCGCTTCCCGAGTTTGATTTTCTTCTTTTTTAGAGATGGAGGATTATAGGGAGTTAAAGGAAGTTATAGATCAAATAGAGCTCGTTGATGCTCACGCGCACAACATTGTCGCTCTCGACTCGTCTTTTCCGTTCATCGGGACTTTCTCGGAGGCTACCGGCGACGCTTTATCCTTCGCCCCTCACTGTTTCTCCTTCAAGGTACCATGTCTGTTAAACCATGAATCAAACTCTAAACGCTGTCGTTTTTGACTCAGTTTGATTATTCGTATGATGGAAACAGAGGAACTTGAGGGAAGTAGCTCAACTCTATGGCACTGAAGTAACTTTAGAAGCGATTGAGGAACATCGTAAAACCTCGGGTTTGGATTATTTTACTTCCAAGTGTTTTAAAGAAGCTCGAATCTCTGCTCTGCTCATTGATGATGGACTGAAGCTTGACAAGAAGCATGACATTGAATGGCACAAAAGCTTTGTTCCGTTTGTTGATCGAGTGTTGCGAATCGAAACTCTGGCCGAGGAAATCCTCGACGAGGAGAGTCCTCCTGATGCTTCTTCTTGGACTTTGGATTCTTTCACTAAAACCTTTGTTGAAAGATTAAATTCATATCCTTTTTGTCTGGTCAATGCATGCTATTTTCCAAGTACTCAGTAGTGTTGGTTTACCCTTGACTTTTGGTCACGCTTGTTCCAGAGATTGTTGCATTAAAAACAATTGCTGCTTATCGTAGCGGTTTGGATATTGATACTCAGGTGAGTAAAGAAGTTGCTGAGAAAGGCCTTGTTGAAGTCTTGCAAGGTAAAGAAAGATTGCATGTTGGTCCTATCATCTGACTATACTAATCAAGATGTAACGTATCTGTTCTCTGATGATCATTACCCTCTTCTTGATGCAGCTGGAAAGCCTGTGCGTATTGGAAACAAAGCCTTGATTGATTACATTCTTACTCGTAGTCTGGAGGTTGCTGAACATTGTGACTTGCCCTTGCAAATTCACACCGGGTATGCAACATTTGGTAAACTTAACGAGGGTCCTTTTTGTGTATTGAGTATAGTTTACTAAGATAAATGAATCTTTAGTGTGCAATACTCTTTGTTCCTCAAATGCTTCTGAGGTCTGATCTTTGTTGTTTGAAGCAGTTTTGGTGACAGGGATTTAGATTTGCGTTTGGCCAATCCGCTTCACCTTAGAACCCTACTTGAGGACAAAAGATTTGCAAAGTGTCGTATAGTTCTTCTTCATGCATCTTATCCATTCTCAAAGGAAGCATCATTTCTTGCTTCAGTTTATCCTCAGGTTTTCTTCATACACACGCCAATCATCAGTAAATTTATGCAGGAGGTAGTTTACTTATTCTTGATCAATCTTTTTGTTTCTTAAGGTTTACCTAGATTTCGGATTGGCGGTTCCAAAGCTTAGTGTCCACGGTATGGTGTCTTCAGTTAAGGAGCTCCTTGACTTAGCCTCAACAAAGAAGGTAAAACTTTTAAAATATTCAACACAATGGTATAAGTTGTCTTTGTTGTTGTTCTTGAGTCATAGATAATTTGCAGGTGATGTTCAGCACTGATGGGTATGCATCTCCTGAGACCTACTATTTAGGTTAGTTCAAGTTGCTACCTCTTTTGTATAGTTTTGTAATCCAGTCCTGTTTCTTAGTTTTGAAACTAGAAATCTCCTAGCTTGAGTCTTGAACAGAGTTCTCTGTTTTCTTGCAGGTGCAAAGAAAGCACGTGAGGTCATCTTCTTAGTTCTACGTGAAGCCTGTGCCAGTGGAGACCTCTCACTCACGGAAGCTATTGATGCAGCTAAAGACATATTTTCAAGAAATGCGATAGGATTTTATAAGCTTAATATCGACACAGATTCTTCTAGTCCACCTAGTAGAATCTCTTCCAAATCAGAGATGAAGGAGCCTGATGTTCAAGAAGATAGTAGTTCTTTTGTACGCATTATTTTGGTTGATACATCTGGACAACATAGATGCCGTGTAAGTGATATTTTTGTTCCTCTGTTTCTCACTGAACTTCTTTCTCCTTTTGAAGCCACGGAATCTTGACAAGAGCTCTGCTTATTGTATTGTTTCAGGCTGTTCAAGCGCAGCGTTTTAACAAAAGCGTATCGAAGAATGGTGTTGGTCTGCCTCATGCAGTAATGGGGATGCCTTCATTTACTGATTCACCAGCAGAAGAGACTAAATTAACGGGTGTGGGTGAGGTTAGACTGGTTCCAGATCTATCAACCAAGCGGACAATACCGTGGTACTTTGCTCGTGTTCCTTCTCTTTGCAGTTAACTTTACATTTTCTCCTTTCTTGTTTGATTGATCATATCATATTTGCCTTTAGGACGAAGCAAGAGAGCATGGTTTTAGCTGACATGCTCGTGAAGTCTGGTGAAGCATGGGAGTACTGTCCAAGAGAGACCTTAAGAAGAGTCACAAAAGTTCTTAAAGATGAATTTGACTTGGTAATTAATATCTCCATATACCCATTTTTACTCTGTTTCTGTGGAGATTTTTTGTTGCTTAAACTCAAAGTTTTCTTGGGTATTAGGTAATGAACGCTGGTTTTGAAAATGAGTTTTATCTCCTCAAGAATGTTGTGCGGTATTGCAACTATATATCTCTCATAATCTTGGTTTCTTTATTCAATCCAATCATTTTCATAATCTTTAACACTTGTCCTGTCCTGCTCAATTTCTTTCAAGGGAAGGGAAAGAAGAGTATGTACCTTTTGAGTCCTTTGGTCCTTACTGTTCCTCATCCTCATTCGATGCTGCATCTCCGATATTTCATGACATTGTACCAGCGCTTGAGTCCTTGAACATTGTTGTTGAACAGGTTTTTATAATATATACATAACATACTTCAGAATGATCAGCCATATATGATATATCACAAACTAAATCATGTTTCTTGGTATTTTCTTGTATAGTTTCATGCTGAAGCCGGGAAAGGTCAGTTTGAAGTATCTTTGGGATATACTGTTGCATCGAACGCTGCCGACAATCTTGTTTACACACGTGAAGTTATAAGATCGGTCGCAAGAAAACATGGATTGCTCGCAACCTTTGTTCCAAAGTATGTCAGTCTCTTCCCCACCACAAAGATCTAACCAAAACATTTTTTTGAAAATGCATTTGTGTTTATTTATTTTACAGGTATGATTTATGTGACATTGGTTCTGGATCACATGTCCATCTAAGTCTTTCGAAAAACGGTGAAAATGTCTTCCCTGCATCTGATAAATCATCTGCTCATGGAATGTCAACTATCGGAGAAGAGTTCATGGCCGGAGTTCTGTTTCACCTTCCTTCAATCTTAGCAGTTATAGCTCCACTTCCAAACAGGTAACCAACCAAAAAAAAAAAAAATCTATTTTTAGTAGTTTCCTCAATAAGTTGTTACTAATCAAGTTTCATTTTTTTTCACTAAATTTTCAGCTATGACCGACTCCAACCTAATACATGGAGTGGAGCATTCCATTGCTGGGGCAAAGAAAACCGAGAGGCGGCAATAAGAACTGCTTCTCCACCGGGAGCTCCTGATGGTTTAGTTACTAACTTTGAGATCAAATCTTTTGATGGCACTGCTAATCCTCACTTTGGTTTGGCCGTTATAATGGCTGCTGGAATTGATGGTCTCCGGCGACACCTCCAACTCCCTGAGCCAATAGGTAAAATTTTAGTTTCATATAGGCTTAAGCTGATGGTTTGATAAACATTTTTTCAACCATATTTTCTCTTCTCTTTTTTGCATATTCCTATGATGGAATTAAAAAAAAAAACAGATGTAAATCCGGCTGATGTGGCTGCTAAGTTGAAGAGACTTCCTGAATCGCTCTCAGAAGCTGTTGATGCTCTGGATAAAGACCAAGTCCTCCATGAGTTGCTTGGACAAAAGGTTTTAGTTGCCATAAAAGGTGTCCGAAAGGTACACGTTTTGTCTTTTAGTTTTCAGTTAAGATTTGACAATGGTAATAACAAAGTACATAAAAGCTCTAATATAGATATTTATTTATTTTTGTCCTTGTAATATTCACAGGCTGAGGTCGAGTACTATTCGAAGAATCCTGATGCATCTAAACAACTCATTCACCGATACTAATCCTGAACTCTCTTGATCTCCAACCGTTCAAGTGATCATTTTCTTTATCCCTTGTTGAGTTTGTTATTAGATCAGTGGACAATAATGGACCCATGGAACTGGCTTTCTTTAGGGCTTTTGTCTCACATGAATAAAACTGGTGCCGAAGTTTTCTTAAAGCAATAAGAATTGATGGGTCGTATTTGCAAATACCTGATTATTGCGATTTACACACGTTTTGCATCTGTTTTTTTTTTTGCGAAATGTAATGTAAAATATAGGCAAGTCAAATGTACAAATTATATATAGATGGGTCCAAAATATAATATTTGGCCTAAAACGGAAAGAAAAAATACTTCTGAGTCAGAGATGAAATGTAACTATGAACATCGTCTTTCGCTAGTGACATATGAGAATCAAATCAGAGATAAATATTGAAGAGGGTTGAAAAGGAAAGCAGAGATAAATGAAGACTGGAAAGAGAAAAAAAAAAGTTGTTCGCTAGTGAGTGTAGTGACATAACGATAATGCAAATACCTGAGTAATTTATACATTCTTACTATCATGCATTTTTATTATGTCAATGTAATCTTTACTACATGTCTAATTGTCTAGAAATAATATGTTCATCTGCGGGACCCTGCTAACTCATGAGTGGGATCAAAGAGGGAATCTAAGAGCTCCACCATAATTTGTTGTCTGCTGTGAATTTTGGATCGTAATCAAATTTTAAAGAAAAAGAGACCAACAACGTTAAAGCCTTACGGTAAAATAGTAAAATACTAAAGCCAACAACATGGTCCATGAGGTTTTGACAAGAGCCAATAAAGGAATTACTGCAAGAACAGTAACTTTCTTGTCAAGATGAAGATCTAAGTGGTGCCCAATGTATAATACAGAGATTCGAATAATTAATATGAGGTAAGAGCTTTGACTATTTCCCTTGTATACGTTCCCCTCCGAGACCAAGCTAGACCGAGATGATATTCAGTGGAACCAAGATGTAGCATATATTCAGGAGAAAGTTCATGAACACTCTTGCTTATCTCTTTGAATTTGTTTTTCTTCCACTTTTACTTGGTAACAAAAAAAGATGTGGAGTTATTAGTTTCCAAGATTGTTATATCAATCTATGGATAGATTAACATGGGATTGTTATCTTAGTCTCCAATTAGTATATATAAATTGTGTAGATCACACATAACATGACTATCTATAATACATTATACTAATATGTATGTTCATTCTAAAAACACCTTAGGTAGTTATCAAGAAAATGAAAAACACTTGGATACTATGACAAGATAATGAAGAAGTGATGCTAAATCTAAACTCTAGATTCTGGATAATTACAAATTGATGAGAAAAGATACAGAGTTACAGACTATCTATTACAAAAGGTTATGAAAGAAGATTACTTTACGTAGTGAAGGCGTTTTAACTTTTAATGAACCCTTCTCATCGTTCGTGGAAAATAATACAAACAATGACTTTTTTGGACATTATGATTGGTTACAATGATCTTCACGGACATGTGAGAAGGCAAAGTGTATCTCTTTATCTATACTGTTTTTTAAAAAGAAATCATTCTCCAAAGATGTCGCCTAACATCACGTTATTTAACCTACACTTAGCGTACATTAGTAAGCTAACATCAACTTTAATAATAATCCAACAATCACGCCCATTTAGCCAATCCTAATGTGTCACGAAGCTTTCATGAGAAATCAAGAAAAACACACTCATGTATCAATAGTTTGTGCGCGTGTGTCTATGTATAAATGGACAACGTGGTTACTTTTCCAATTTTCCTTGGTTGGGTTGAAAACACACTCATGTATTAATCTGAGGTAGACGTGTAAAACTGAAGTATACGAAGGATGTATAAACAAACAATAGAAACCGTGAGCTTGTTTTAGTATTGAAAGTAGTAGTATCTAACAGCAAATGTAGGTCTGATGTATAATCAAATTTACGTTTATATTAACCTTGGTGAATGGTGTGCATTCAGTAGTATATTTCTATCAAACAAGCTAGACATAACCGGATAAACCAAAAACCCATTCGTTTGTCAACAACCAAGACAGCATTCATATGACAAAGCTCTTGTTGACAAAACAAAAATGATAAAGCTCTTTAGATAAACTTTTTTTTTGTCGTAAGCTCTTTAAGATAAACTTAAGAGATAATAAGGTCACATAACTTTTATAATTAAAAGTGTAAAACTGACAAGAGATTCAAATATCAAAGCCATACCGCTTTGTTAAAAGTCTGTTGAAGCTTATGGATTTACTCATATGCCTAAATTAGACCATACTAACATATTTATAAAACAAAAGGGATTTTAAGAAAAATTGTAGACCGTTTCCTCGAGACAAGCAGATTCTCAGTCCTCGAGACTACTGTCAGTGGAAAACTACTCTCTCTCTCTCTCTCTCTCTCTCTCTCTCTCTCTCTCTCTCTCCTCTTCAAAAAGAACAAAGAAAAGAAAACAATACAAAAGCCAAGAAAGCCCATTATTACAAAAGCAAATTCACACTCTAAAAAGCCACTCAAGAACACTGCTCAGTAAAAAGAGAGGAAGAAGAAGAACTAGCCATGTCTCAACCCTCTTCTTCTCTCTCCTTCAACTAACCAAAACCCTAATCCCCAAATCCCTAAATTCCTCAATTTTTCTTTGTTTTTTACAATGATGTTTCAAAGAAGCTGCATTGTAATTTTCTCTCTTGCTCTGTTCGTTCCACACATGGGTTTCGCCATGCTCAACAATACTATTCTTCTCTTACCACATCCTGACCCAGAACTAGTCGCTCATGATGTTCATAGGTACGCATTCTACTTTTCCTCTCCCGGATCTGCATTTTTGTCTCTGATTTTAGGTTCTTTAGTGTAATTTTTCATCTGTGTTTTTCATTTCACTAGCCATTCTTGTGAATGTTTGCTCTGTTCCTGCAACCTCTGTTTTGTTTCCAAATTTCCGGTTTTCTTAAACCGCACCGGCTGAAATTATCCGGTTTAACTGTTTTACAGGCGAGTCAATGCCTCTCTTTCGAGACGTCAAGCTATGGACATGACGGACCAAGCCGGTTCAAGCCCGTGCGTCACCGGAAATCCAATTGATGACTGCTGGAAATGTGACCCAAACTGGCCCAATAACCGACAAGGTCTAGCCGATTGCGGAATCGGGTTCGGACAGTACGCTTTAGGAGGCAAAGGCGGTCGGTTCTACTTCGTCACTGACTCTTCCGACCACGATGTGGTCAACCCTAAACCGGGCACTCTCAGGTACCAAACTTCAGGCTTTTTTTCGTTAAACCGGAATTTCACCTAAGAAAGTCTTGTACAGTCCTTGGCAAGTAGACAAAAATGTGTTGTTTTTTATTAGTTCAAGATCATCTTTGTTCTTTTAATACTCGTTTTCTTGACCTATTTAACGCTAGATTTTTATAAGTCGTTAGTTAACTACACTATATACTTAACTTGAAAATTACTTGTCATTATTGTTTTAACCCTAAGTCCTACCTATACACTTCCATAATTAAATTAAGCTCCATTGTGAGTAAGATTCTGTCTAAGCTACGTTTATGGTTTATTTATTCCTTAATGACCCTTTTTTTTCTCTCTCTCTTTCTTTTATGTTTTGTCATGTCTTATTCAATATTCACATGCCCCCACACCAATCTATTACGTACGACTTTTTCATCACCACTTGTTTATATTTCTAGATAAGGAAATTTCCAAATAAGCCCTCCAATTTCTGAAACAAAACTCCCAACGACCCTTAACTTCCCTTTGATTAGTTGCACAAAACCTAAAAAATCCCTTTTAAAACAGATGAAAAAGCTCAATGTTTTAGTTAACTAATGCTTTTTTAAAACATGGAAATGTAATGTTTACGATGTTTTGTAATTCGGTATCGGGTCCCTACATAGATTCTAATTTAGCAATGTCCCTTAGAAGTGTCCCACCTGGTTCACATGTTAGATAAACAAAGTAGGTGGAGGGAGACTCGCATGCAAGACCGGTTCTGATAAGTGTTTGGGTTCTTTCAGGACTCCAAAACAAGAACAATAAATCTAAGCTACAAATCATTTTCTTTGCCAACTCTTCAACAGAAATAAAAAATATTATAGATTTAGAGAAGAAACAACTTTAACAAAAACATGTGTATTGGGACCTCCAAAATTGGAATAATTTGGGGAATCGTTATTAAAGTCAAAGTAATCGGGTTTTCAATGTGAAAATGGCTGCTACAAAACAAGATATGAATTAACAAGAACCTCAAAAAAATTGGTGACAGATATGGAGTGATTCAAGAAGAGCCATTGTGGATAGTGTTTCCAGCCAACATGATGATTAAACTAAAGCAGGAGCTAATATTCAATAGCTACAAGACACTTGATGGAAGAGGAGCTAATGTTCATATTGTTGGTGGTGGCTGCATCACTCTTCAATATGTCTCCAATATCATCATTCACAACATTCATATTCACCATTGTTACCAATCCGGTAATTTTTTTCTCTTTTCACCCAAATGTTCAATCTTTTTTTACGGCCAATAATTGTTATTTTTTATCCTTTTTATTTTATTCCCAAAGATAATTATTGCCTGACCGGAATATTTTAGTAGGTCCTCCTTTTGATGTACATATTTTCCTGATCATTCATTGGTGTTTTCACACGCAAATAAAGAACATATGTATTTTGATTTCATCCGCATTTATTGAATATTCATAAAAGCATGGCTAGAGAGGTGAAATTAAAAATTTCATCCGTCGTGAAACGAAATGTCATAAAACATTTATTGTTGCATTATTCATAAAAGCATTCTGAGATTGTTGGTGCATGCTTTGGCCTCAGGGAATACTAACGTGCGGTCAAGTCCAACGCACTACGGGTTCAGAACGAAATCGGACGGTGATGGTATCTCCATATTCGGATCAAAGGACATATGGATCGACCATTGTTCTCTGTCAAGATGCAAGGACGGTCTGATAGATGCTGTGATGGGGTCCACGGGGATTACAATATCGAACAACTTCTTTTCTCACCACAACGAAGTCATGCTTCTTGGTCACAGCGACCACTACGAGCCAGACAGTGGCATGCAGGTCACTAACACACTTATTAGTCCATTATTCCTTTTCTAGCGACTAATCTATTTGATTACTATAAATGAGATTAATGTTTAGAAGGTAATTTATTTGAACTTTTCAGGTAACAATTGCGTTTAATCACTTTGGGGAGAAACTAATCCAAAGGATGCCAAGGTGTCGACGTGGATATATCCACGTGGTTAATAACGATTTTACACAATGGGAAATGTATGCGATTGGTGGTAGTGGTAACCCGACTATTAATAGTCAGGGTAACCGCTATACGGCCCCAACTAACCCGTTTGCCAAAGAGGTAACTAAACCTAATATTTCAATTTCAAAATAGTATATGAACTATGAGGAATGTCTTTGATATATTGAGTATATTTGTACGTATAAAAGTACTTTAAAAACATTTCATTTTGTAAGAGTCGGGAGGAATGTTATATGTGTAGGTGACTAAAAGAGTAGAAACACCGGATGGTGACTGGAAAGGGTGGAACTGGAGATCGGAGGGAGACATTTTGGTTAATGGAGCCTTCTTTATAGCGTCTGGAGAAGGTGCGGAAATGAGGTACGAGAAGGCCTACAGCGTCGAGCCTAAATCTGCCTCGTTCATCGACCAAATCACATTTCATTCCGGCGTTCTCGGCGTTGGTGGCAGGTTTGGATTCTACATTTTATCAATCACTTCTTTGCCAAATTTTCTTTTTGATAATCAAACAACACTTTGAATCTTTTTATTTTACCAATACACACCAGTACACCATATAAAATGGTATTATATATGTCAATGTACTCTTTTTTCTTCTTTTTCCCCTACTTTTACCTTTAACTTTATCCTTTTTCTTTTGTCTAATTTCCTTTTAGCCCACGATTCCCTAATCATATTTTCATGGAGCTAATTTTGGGGTGTTTGATTGCACAGGAATAACAATCTGGGGATGTGGACTACTACTGGATCGGAAGGTAACACCGGTTTGGATTCTTATAATGACTATACCGATGAAATGTCTGGAACCGGTTCAACTATTCGGTTGTCTTTTTCAGTTATTGCTTTAGCTTTCGTGCTCCATTTGATATCATATATGGTCATGTTCGTTTCTTCAACCCAAATGTTCATGATGTTGTAACATGAATTTTACAATTTAATCAAGAAACCAGAAAAAGAGTGTTTCCAAACTCATTCTTGTGTATTCTTGTCCTCTATGGTCTATGTTGTTTTTTTTATTTCAATTTATTTCTTGTCCTCTATACGTACGTATAAATACCACGTATGTATGTCCATGTAACCGTGACGCTGTAGTGTTCCTTACCTATCTTTAATTGCGTAACCAGTAGAGATTATATATTATCCTCTTCCTTTATATCCACATAATTTTATTCAAGAGTACATGCATCTACATTTCTATCATATAATATATTACATTAGGATATCGTAGTTTAGTATAATGAACATAACATACTTTTCACTAAATTATTTGGCACAAAAGTACACCAAACAATTACTTTAATCAGATTAAAGATAGAGTCCATCAAGGCATCAACCAAAAATGTTAACAAAAAAAACTAATAGTTTTTCATCCATTGGTGATTGGAGCATGAACTTCTCATGTTTTTGTTTTTGCTCCTAACAAGACCTGATCGTACTTCACTGACGCACTTTAGAACTCAATGATCCTTGAGTTAAGTACTTAAGTATTAAGAAACGAAAAAGAAAAAACTCATCAATAAGATCAAATAAGAAAGAGATTCACCAATAGCAAATGTTAATTAAAAGAAGTTTTTATCATATTATCAAGAAACAAACTTTTCAAATTATGACCATAGAGAACATAAAAACTCTCCAAAGTCTCTGGTCTCCTGAAACCACCAAGAACCACTGTTAATATTAATATTGTTCTCACTGCTACTGCTGCTATGGTCTTCTAAAAGATTCGCTTCGCTCTGGTCTGTAGAAATTTCTGATATCCAATCCGAAATCCGGTTTTCGTATGGTGAATTCATAACACCGAAGCTCTCTCTTTCGTAAAAACCACCATTGGGTTCTTTACCATTTTCCATATTTCTCTGATTAAATTCATTCGTAATTCCATCAAAACCATGATCTTGTGACACCGTCCTTGTCCTCGCTACCTCTGTTTCCTTATACGTGCGTAACAATTCTTCTCTTGCATGTCCTCCCCAGTCAATGATCTTACCTGCAGCAAAACACATCAACTTATATGTAACTGATCTAAAATATAATAACATATATAACGATGAAAGATCGATAAACTACCGTAGTTTTGAGCTTCCTCTTTCTTTCTAAAATGAGTTCTCCAATAGTTCTTGATGTCGTTATCAGTCCTACCAGGTAATCTTCTTGCGATCCTTGACCACCTATGACATAACTTTATTTAGGACTCAAGCTCTTTATAAAAAAAGAGTTAATTTACTCAAGCATGAGCTTTTTTTTATGTCTCACTTGTTACCCCATAGAGCATGTAGCTGAAGAATAATAATCTCTTCTTCTTGGGTCATCCGTCCACGCTTCAGATTCGGATTCAAATAGTTCATCCACCTTAGTCTGCAACTCTTACCGCTCCTCTTCAAACCTAAGTATGAATAATTGAATACGTACAAAACAAGCAAATATAAGACATGCATATTTCTATATATGGTAAGCGACACAAGAAAGGTGTCAAAGTGTACCGGAAACTCTTGCTAAAGAATCCCAACGACGTTCTCCTAGAAGGGTAACGAATTTCACTAGACGTTCGTCCTCTTCTTCGAGCCATGGACCTCTACGAAGTGTTTCTTCCTTCTTACTGTCCATTTTTTCTTCTCTCTTTTTTTTTTTTTTTTTGGTGTCAGTTAATAAATCCTTACTAAATTTGTGCTTTGAACTTGGAAGCATGCTTTTTTTGTGTTTGCTTAAATAGAAAGTCATGAGTTTACCCAAACTGGGAAACGTCCAAAAAGGCTGACGAGCACAAATGGTTTAGTGGATAATACTTCATGCATCAGTTAGGTTCTTGTTTTTCCTTCTTGGTCATCTTTAAGTTATAGATTAGAGATTTGGATTAGGTGCCAGGTATCTTTTCCTTTTATTAAATCATCATCAAGTTGTACTTTGTATTTTATCCCTTTTTTCAGGGGTTATGGCTTACATCATCTTGAAAATTCAATTAATTTATTCATGTATACAATTGGGAAATCAATATCTAAGGGGTTTAAAAACAAGAAGAAGTATTTTAATGGGGTTGAGATAAAAAAGATAAAACCATATCTTTGTGTATCTTCTCTCCACCCATTCAAAAGTGTAAGCCAGCGAAGCACTCTTAAGTTCGATTAGTTTTAATTAATCTCTAAGTTTTCATAAGCTTCTAAACTCTCATTTTGGTACCAAAAAAAATTTAATTGGACACAGTGGTTCTATGGTCTAGCGGTTAGGACATTGGACTCTGAATCCAGTAACCCGAGTTCAATTCTCGGTAGAACCTCAACCTTTCTTTTTAATTTCCTTTTTAGGTAATGCAGTGGTATTTAAAGTTGGAAGAGACCAGAGTTCAAGCCTCATCAAGGACGATATTAATTGAAACAGGTTTCTTTTTCTAATTCAAAAAAATGTAGCCGGTTAACAAAATCCATCGATGTTGAACTTGGCTTGGTTACTTAAAACCGGTACAGACTCATTTGCGTTTGGGTTTGGGTAGTTGTGTGGTGGTTATGTTTGCGAAAGGATAAAAATAAAACTGGCAATTTCGAAACGAAAATAATCAAACAAAACAAAATAATGAGAAACCAAGAATCGGAGGGAGCAAATCCGGATTTGGAATCCGACTCGAATCGAAATGGCAATTTGAAAATCGCACAAAGCGACCAAAGTCTTGTTACAGTTCTCGACGACATCAAATCTTCCAAATCAAAGGTTATTACAACAACAACAACAATAAGTTTTATATGATTATTCGTTATTTGATTGTTCTTCTTGTTTTGTTTTTGATTTGTGATTTTCAGGCTGTTATTAACTACGGAGCTTCGTGGTATGTCTTGACCTCTGCTTTTCTTTCATTTTATCAAAGATTCCTTTCTTGCTTACAAAGTGTTTGATGAAATGCCTCAATGAGAATGTTTGATTAAGTTTCTGAGATTTTAAGCGATTTGAATTTTGAAAACTTGTCAGGTGTGGAGTCTGTAGCCAGATATTCCCAGCGTTCCAAGAGCTAAGCAAGAGTTTTCAAGGGCTTAAGTTCGTGTATGCAGATATCGACGAGTGCCCTGAAACCACCAGTCAAATCCGTTACACTCCGACGTTTCAGTTTTACAGAGACGGCGAAAAAGTCGACGAGATGTATGGCGCTGGTGAAGATAGGCTCCGTGATCGTCTTTGGCTTCACTCTTGAATTTGAAAATCATCATGTAAGTCAAAATTATGAATAATTTACAACCATAACTATGGATTCCTTGTTAATAAAAAATGAACAAAATCCATTTCAAAGAGAAAAAGGGTTATCCTTGAATGAAACTATCGCTCTGGGCTATAATTGTTTTTTGTAGTATTTGGGCCACGTAGGAGATCGGACCGAACCGCCCATTCTTTATCAGCCGAACATTCGAGAATATAAGTCATTTTAAGACCGACCTATGCATAACTTCTGTTTTGTAAGAAAGTAAAAAAAGCCAAAAAGGAAAATAATAAAATTAAAAACTTTTCTTTGATAACAAGAAACGTAGTTATCGTCTTCTATATAAACTCACACCTGTCTGTCCACATTCTTACCAAGCAAAGCGAACCGATCTCTTCACAAAATTACAAATATCTCTCTCCAAAAAGAAAAATCTTTCTTCTCTTTGCAAAGCTCTCTCTACTCCACCAAAAACCAGTCATGACCAACCAAGCTGAATTATCTGATTCGTAAGTACTTTCGGATTTCCTAGTAGCTTCAACTCTAGATTTCGTTACTTCATATTGTTCTGTTGATCTAATTTTATATGATCATGTGTGAAAATTTCAGTAAGGGAACGAAGAGGGATTTTAGCACCGCGATTCTGGAGCGAAAGAAGGCGGCGAATCGTTTGGTTGTTGATGAAGCCATCAACGATGATAACTCCGTCGTCTCTCTTCACCCTGCGACCATGGAGAAGCTCCAGCTTTTTCGTGGAGACACCGTCTTAATTAAGGTCCGATTTTGACTTTCTCTTGCTTCCTTTTGCTTAATTCAGGGTTTTTTGTAGGGTTTGTGTTTGCTCTGTCTGTGTCTTGCTGCAAAACGCTTGCTTAGGTTTCTAGAATTGGGATAATTGTTGGGTCTCTCAAATTTTGATCCTCTTTAGGTTTGTGAATCTGTGTATTGACATCTTTCGTTGTTGTTCTTTACAGGGAAAGAAGAGGAAAGACACTGTGTGTATTGCTTTAGCTGACGAAACATGCGACGAGCCAAAGATCAGGATGAACAAGGTCGTTAGGTCAAACCTTAGGGTTAGGCTCGGAGACGTAATCTCTGTCCACACTTGCCCTGACGTCAAATACGGGAAGCGTGTTCACATCCTACCCATAGACGACACCATAGAAGGAGTCGGCGGAAACATATTCGACGCATACCTTAAACCTTACTTCTTGGAAGCATACCGTCCCGTGAGGAAAGGCGATCTCTTCTTGGTGAGAGGAGGTATGAGAAGCATTGAGTTCAAGGTCATCGAGACAGATCCAGCTGAGTACTGTGTCGTGGCTCCGGACACAGAGATCTTCTGCGAAGGCGAGCCGGTTAAGAGAGAGGACGAGGAGAGGTTGGACGACGTTGGTTATGATGATGTTGGTGGTGTTAGGAAGCAGATGGCTCAGATTAGGGAGCTTGTTGAGCTTCCGTTGAGGCATCCACAGCTTTTCAAGAACATTGGTGTGAAGCCACCTAAAGGGATCTTGCTCTATGGTCCTCCTGGCTCAGGGAAGACGCTGATTGCTCGTGCGGTTGCGAACGAGACTGGTGCGTTCTTCTTCTGTATCAATGGGCCTGAGATCATGTCTAAGATGGCTGGTGAGAGTGAGAGTAACCTCAGGAAAGCGTTTGAGGAAGCTGAGAAGAATGCTCCTTCGATTATCTTCATTGATGAGATTGATTCGATTGCTCCGAAGAGAGAGAAGACGAACGGGGAGGTTGAGAGGAGGATTGTCTCTCAGCTCTTGACGCTTATGGACGGGCTTAAAGCTAGAGCTCATGTGATTGTCATGGGAGCTACGAACCGTCCCAACAGCATTGACGCTGCTTTGAGGAGGTTTGGAAGGTTTGACAGAGAGATTGACATTGGCGTTCCTGATGAGGTTGGTCGTCTTGAGGTTCTCAGGATCCACACCAAGAACATGAAGCTCGCTGAGGATGTTGACTTGGAGAGAGTATCCAAAGACACTCATGGCTACGTTGGTGCTGATCTTGCAGCGTTGTGCACTGAAGCTGCTCTGCAATGCATTAGGGAGAAGATGGACGTGATTGACCTAGAAGACGATGAGATTGATGCTGAGATTTTAAACTCTATGGCTGTGACTAACGAGCATTTCCAGACAGCTCTTGGTAACAGCAATCCTTCTGCTCTACGTGAGACGGTTGTTGAGGTGCCTAATGTGTCTTGGGAGGACATTGGTGGTCTTGAGAATGTCAAGAGGGAGCTCCAAGAGACTGTTCAGTATCCAGTGGAGCATCCTGAGAAGTTCGAGAAGTTTGGTATGTCTCCGTCTAAGGGAGTCCTGTTCTACGGCCCTCCTGGTTGTGGAAAGACTCTTTTAGCTAAGGCCATTGCGAACGAGTGTCAAGCCAACTTCATTAGCATCAAAGGTCCTGAGCTCTTAACAATGTGGTTTGGTGAGAGTGAAGCTAACGTGAGGGAGATATTCGACAAGGCGAGACAGTCTGCTCCTTGTGTTCTGTTCTTTGACGAGCTTGACTCCATCGCCACTCAGAGAGGGAGCAGTGTTGGAGACGCTGGTGGTGCAGCAGACAGAGTGTTGAACCAGCTTCTCACGGAGATGGATGGGATGAATGCTAAGAAGACTGTCTTCATCATCGGTGCAACGAACAGACCGGACATTATCGACCCTGCGCTTCTCCGTCCTGGTCGTCTTGACCAGCTCATCTACATTCCTCTTCCTGATGAGGAGTCTCGTTACCAAATCTTCAAGTCTTGCTTGAGGAAGTCTCCGGTGGCGAAAGATGTTGACTTGAGGGCTCTTTCCAAGTACACTCAAGGCTTCAGCGGTGCTGACATCACGGAGATTTGCCAGCGTTCTTGCAAGTACGCCATCAGAGAGAACATCGAGCAGGATATTGAGAAGGAGAAGAAGAAGGCAGAGGCGCCTGAAGCAATGGAAGAGGACGAGGAGGAGATTGCAGAGATTAAGGCTGGTCACTTTGAGGAGTCTATGAAGTACGCTAGGAGATCAGTGAGTGATGCTGACATTCGCAAGTATCAGGCTTTTGCTCAGACTCTGCAGCAGTCACGTGGGTTTGGTAGCGAGTTTAGGTTTACGGAGGCTACAGGGACAGGAACAGCTTCTGCCACGGCCGGTGTGGCCGACCCGTTTGCTGCTTCCGGAGGAGCTGCCGACGACGATGATCTCTATAGTTAAATTATCTGATCAATAGAGTCTATGTTATTGCTCTTTCTTTTTTATCTTGTTCGTGCTGAAATACCTTTAGCTGGTCTTTCTCGTGCTTTATTTAGTGTTTTGTTTTGTATATAAATCGTTTGATGAAATAAGTTAGAAGACTTGGGATTCACGCTACGACATCATAGTTCTTATCCATCCAATAACCAAGAAGCACAATCTGCAAATTTGAATGACTATTAGAGAGAAAATTTTCTGATAAATATTCATAAAGAATGGTAGTATATTTAGTTGGGCCTTCATGGACTCTTCTAGGCTTTTGCATCCATCGAGTATTCAGATTTCAAGTACTTTTAAGAGGTAAAAACATTTATGTTTTTCTTTGCACGTAGGTGAATCAATATGTGAAAACGAGCAGGCTTTTACCGTCTCTGCAGAGGTTTTGTCAGGCTGGTCCATTGTTTTTTTGTCAGCTAAAAACATAATAAGGGGACCAGACTGGTCCATTTTTCCGATGACATAACCAAAATTTTAGCTTATGTCTGGCCTGGTCCATTTACCAGACGGCATGACAAAAATTTGTGATCACCCTCTCTCGAACGGTCCAACATCTCAAAATTTCCCCCCATGATTATTGAAAGCGAGTTGGACTCTTTGATTATTTCAAATATCAATCTACAGCGTTCATGATCAATAGTTAATAAAATAAAAATTATGTTCTATGGTTATTAAAAAATATTGAAAATTTTGTATACATAGAGAAATCAAAGGTTAAACTTTAACCAATTAGTGGAAACTAAGGGAAAATTGTGAGTACTGAGGAGACACTTTTTTTTGGTCATTCGTCGTGATTGTATCACATCTAGCAGTCTCTTAATTATGAGATCCCATGAACAGTACGTTAGCTTCGTAAATATTGTAAGACATTTCATAATATTCAGAACTGTGGCTAATACCGTAATACGTACATCAATGGTCACTGGAGCCATTATTCTACACCCTCAAGTGGCCTAAGCACACGGTTACTTAACTAAGGGAAGTACATGTTAATCTCGATTATCACATTTTCAACTATAAACACGAGTTGTGATAATCGATATATTTTGTATCATAAACATGGCCTAAAGATTAACATTTATTCTAATAACTCGTGTGAATCAAATTAGCTCGCATGCTCCGATACATTGACATATTGGTTTTCATTGGTAACATGGCAGAATTATTATGCTGTTTTACGAGATTTTACCAATAATTATTTTTTTTTTTAAATATCTTTCTAATCATAACTTTCATTCATCTGCGTGATGATGAATATAGGATGTGTCTGTATGTCGTAAAGATGAAAGAGGACGGTCTTGGGGTTGGGCCACTTTCGTGGAGAATCTACACCCGCACGTGGGAAGTCTACAAAGACTGCTACAAATGGACACCTCCACGTGGGGGTCTAGCCATATGTAATTGACAAACTCACACGAGAGCATAAACGTTTATGTTTTCGTATAATGATTGACAATTTTTTTTAATTATTTGTTTTTTTTGTGTGTTAAAGTTGTTTTTTTAAACTATTTGTTAGACAACTTAAATAGGGCATCGCATTGAATATAGAACATTGATAGATTAAATTTCGTGAAAGCAATTTAACTAATCGATGTAAAAGTGTAGGAATATTTCAGGTGTAATATAGTCAGCATAATTGAATGGAATAAGATACTGAAGATTAGTATATACTGTAATATGTTAATCAGTCGTCATTATAAAGAAAATGGTGGACAAATACAATATATTAAGGTTATAAAATTTATAAAAAAGGAAACAAAAAATCTTAGGCTGTGAATGGTAAACACTTCAGCGTAAAGAAGGAAAAGAGGAAATGGAGGAAAGTGTTTGGATTTCAACTTGTGTCAGAGAGATGCACGTGTTTTCTCTCTTTTCCAACCTCAACGGGTCCCAAACACTTCTCTTCCCTTTTCTCATCCTTTTTCTTTTATGTCCAATCGGATTTAATAATCTATTGTTCTTCTTTTTTTTTTTTTTTTTTTTTTATATATATGATTATTATTTGTTTTTTTTAGTTTTTACTTTTGTTAAGGGCAGAAGTCCAAGGTTAATCCAAAACATTACATATGAGTATATGACTACATTTTATTATTACTAATAGATAATAGAATTGCAAGTACTTTTTGTGGAAAAATGTTGATAACATTCCACTTGCACCGTCGCAGTATAGTTATGATCGTTGTTGTGAGCCATTTAAACTATACTTGGAAGAACATGTATAGATTAAGACTTAGGAATTAGGATTATAGATTTATAGTAATATGTACGTTACTGTGGTGAAGCATTGTAACTGGAACTTATTTGAATGTATCTTAAATATGGAATTATAAAGATTCAACCTGCTTGTGTTTTCCACAGCTCACTATACATTCTTAATTGGCAATAACGTATGTATATCTTTCCCTTTCTCCCTAATTACCTGTGATGAAACAACAAAGCTATATATTTCCCTTATCTCCTCAGTTTTGTAGTAACGTCAGAAAGAAGAGCAAAACAACAAAACCCTCCACTGATTCATAGTTAGTGGAAGACACCACACTAGAAAAAAGAAAAATCATCAAATATCCTAAATATATACTATCGGGAAAATAATTATGAGGCCAACGATCCCATCTCTTTCGTCAATGATGCTGACTTTTACTTGTACAAATCAAGCCCCTTCACAAACGAAAGAAAAGAGTAAAAAGTCACTCTCGATTATCGCATTGTCATAATTTGGGAAAACAATATTCTTGAGTGTGCAGAGATAAATTAAACAGTGGAAAAACGATGAATATAGTAACGAGGAGGGACCGCACGAGTGTATTTGACAATATTATTTTACGCCTCAAGGATTCCCATTGTCGGCTCACAATTTCCACCTACATTTGGTTTTTCTACACTTGTACTACTACTAAAACATCCATATATTCAAATTGGACTGGATATGAAGATACACTACGCACACGCTCAAATCTACTAGATATCATATAACGTACATTTTAATTTTCTAGAATATCCGACAATTACTAATCAGCTTTGAATCAGCTTTGAATCAGCTTTGAATCAGCAGTGATTTAATCTATTTTGGAAAGGAAAATAATCTATTTTGAAGCAGCAGTGTGCGGCGTGTCGGAAATGTTCGAGACTTGGAGCAAGGGCATGCCAAGCACGTGAATACGTGATGCGGGATCCTTTTTACTTGGTTACGTTTTGGCTTCGGAATCATTTCACATAGTTAATAGTTTATTTAGTACTGGGTTGTATTTTCTTTTCAGTATTTAAGAAAAGTAGTGGTCAAAAGACTCAAAACAGTGACCACATAGTCTACATTGGTCAAAACATGTACGTTAGAATTTGGAAACTTTTCTACGTATTGATCGAAGATCCCATTATAGAAATATTATATATTTGGGACTTGGGAATGAAATGCTGATATCGTACCCTTTACGTATTTATATTTTTATACATGCTCTACGACAAATCATCAAAATAATTGACAACAACTTATTTATGTTCAAATCTATAAAAGTATCCAAGATGGAGTTACTGTTACTTTTACCTGTTTTCTGTATGGTACGGATTCCACAAGCTCTTATTCTTTTGCTTTTCTTTTTAGGGCTACATTCATTTGAAAAAAAGAATTATGAACGCATGAAGAATTACTGAAGACAATACTTTCGGAATGTTATTATCCTCCTCATATTCCAAATTTTAACCTATGACATTTGAAAACAAAGAAATGAAAAAACTAACCGATCATCTGTTAGAGCAGAAATTAGCACAATTTCCCTGAGCCCGTCACAATTAATAATACTATGTAAGCTCGGCCCGCTTCCACTTCCACATCCTCAAAGAAAAGGAAGTACTTGGAGAAAAAGACTACATCCAAGAAAAATAGAAGGAGATCAACACCAAAGAAGAATATTTCCAAAAGAAATATGGAAGAATATCTTGAAGAAGCCAACCTCCTCTCCATATAAATAGAAGACCCCCTATTCCTTGAAGACCATCCACAAGCATTCAGAAATTCTCCACAATCACTGAGAGCAAAGAGGCAAAACCCTAGTTATAATTCGTCATTTGTTCTTAGTTTCTCTATTCTTTTTGTATTTGTCTCGTCAAGACTTATCGTCGAGACGAATCACCCCTTGTATCATCTTTGTCTTTGGTTGATCTAATAAAGAGTCTCTCCTAAACCTCACATCTCTTATCTTACTATTACTGTGTGATTTTGAGATCTAACATCATCAATCACTTCTCTCCCTCCCTAAACCGACGAAAGAAGAAAAGAGAGTATAGTTTCGATTTGAATTATTTGTATGAATTTGACTCGTCACATGGACTCTTAGACGACCGTAGACTCTGTCATAATTACTTTCTTTCTTCTCCACCTTTTTTTCTCTGGTATTGTCACTATGTTATCTACCCAACGCATAATGTTAGTGAATGACTTCACTCTACAAAACGTTTCTATTTTGTGTTACATATTGACGTCTACTTCACTCTAATTGATGAATGATTTCACTCAAAAATCCGAAATCCAAACTATATAATATTAAAGTTCATAGCATGTTGAATTTTGTTTATCACTTAAAACTGTACAGTGCCTACCATGAAAGCACAGTGGATGAGATTCGACCTCTGACCTCAATATCTATAATTAATGTTTTCAAGATATGGTTGTACTACACAAGATATTGATAAACTACGTACATAGTTTCGATTTGAATTATTCATCACAAAAATAGGTTTCAAAGTTTTTGGGACTATTCTTTAAATCACTTATTGACCTGTGAGAAGTTTTGTTGTTCTATTATTAACTAGTCTGGCTCTTTTTGTCTAAGAAAACAAAAATCATTGGAAGTCTGGGTATTTCTAAATTATAAAGAAAATTCGTATAAACTATATATTCAATTCCAAGTAATGAAGTTTCCAGGACCAAAGGCTTACGAAAAAAAGGACCAGAAGCTATCATTCAAAAGTTTCAAACCAAAGAAGTAATAAAATCACAAATAAGTTGAGCATTTCTATGAACGCATTCACATCAATTTCAAATATGTATATATAACTTAATTATCAACCCTAGTTCAAATGTTTGATACTAGAGGGAAAAATGAAAATGGCAACCCCAAAAAAAAAATAAAAAAAAATAAAGAAAGACAAGAAGAGAGAAAAGAAAAACATAAGGTCAAACTCTAAATCAAACGCGGTCACGATCACGCCCACGCCCGCAGACTAACATGGCGATGCAACGGCCAAGGATGTAGAACTTGGCTCGCTGTTTCTTCACCAAGTGGCTGCACTTCTCCCCTAACGTCTTGCTCTTTCGGTTCTCTTCTCCCATTGCTTAATATCTCTTAATGATCGATCCTAACACTACAAGGGCGAACAAATTTATTCTTTGTCGGCAAAATGGAGAGTTTTGTTGTGGTTTTTGTTTCTAAAGTTTTGTAGCAGAGTTTTGAAGAGAGGGAGAAAGATGGAGAGTTTAGTCAATATATGGAGAGAGCTAAGCCTATGAGTTATAAGAGGGTCACTGGCTTTGGTACGTTAAATGATTGATATGTGACGTGTTTGTTTTCTAGGTATATATATATATATATATATATGTAGCATTAAACTATAATGCATTCTAGAAAACAACTATACTAATGTGGTATATGATATGTATTTTGTGGTTTTGGCTCTACCGGTTAAGTGTTTCAAGTTTTTCATGAGATCCCTATTGAGTGAAGTTGTAAGAGAATTAAAAAATAAGAGAGATTATTTTAATGAGTTGCACAAAAAAGAAGTGTTTATTTTAGTATTCCTTGAAGAAAATGTGCTGCCGATATTGTAATGCAACGAACTCTTAAAGATAATGAAAGTAGTGTGAGTAGGTTTGAGAAACAATCGTTTGTATTTTTAGTCGAAAAAAACAAACCTTAATATCACTCTCAAAGTAAGGTTTTGTTATTTTTTAGTCTAAGAAACGCCCACAGGGGAGGATAGCGAACTAATCATTGAATCAAGGTTGGTCCAAAATCTAAAATTAAATCCAAATGTTGGGTGAAAAAACGTTACATAATTTAGTTTGCAGATTTATTTTACGTCAAATAATGATGATTTGTACCATTGAAAGTTTGATATCATTTGTACCATACCCTTAGTAAAACAAAAAATACACTACTGAGTAAAGATTTGAATCAACAGGAGAAATTGAGAATACAATAACATAATGGAACGCAAAAAGAAATCTTTGGAGTTGTAATACTGATTCTCAATGTCAACGTCTTGCTCCTCCTGTTCCTCATCGGAATACTCGAATCCATAGTCCTCCATATCAGCATCTACAAAGTTCGAAAAACCCATCAATAAACCTTCGTTAACGATAAGATTCATGCGTAGCATCTACCTGCGAAAACGACGCCCTTTAATCGGACCAACAGTGAAGCATCTATTTTCAATAACAGCGGTTAAATCTACAGAAGAAGGCGGGTTTAGAGAATGCAAACATTAGGAGTAGAGAGATTCGACAGTGAATAATTAATTTCAGAGAAGAAGAGGGACCTCGGGAAAACGGTGGAGCTCTGAATTTGCCGCAGGCTGAGGAGGTCGGGTGGTGGTTGAGAGAAGACTCTGGAAACGGAAGAAGACGGCGAGGAGGGAGGGAGAGAAACCGTCAATTGCGGAGGCGTCGGAAAGCCAGAAAGTGAAATTGAGTGGGAAAAAAAAGGGAGAAATTCGGAGAGTAAGTCAAAACGATTTTAGCAGAAGAAGAAACAGAAATGGAGTAAAAAAAAAAGTAAAATTCGGACAAGTGCCACGTGGCGGTCAGTTGGAGAGAGATGACCATCTTTTATAGTATAGGATTACAAAAACAACGTACATTAATAATTGATTACGATCGAAGGCAAAAAAAAATATAGTTTTGATTTTCTGTATATTAAACGCGTGTGAACTGACCAGGCTAACATTTCTGACTTATAACATATCCTTTAAGAAGAAAGGCAAAAAAAACATATCCTTTAAGATACAAATTGATAGGAGTTGTATCAAAACTTTGAGCTGTAACATAGTAGCCTATTCAATTCGCCTCATATAACAAACTTGCATGTGTGTAATTGTGAGAGAGATATGACCACATACAGCGTGGACTAGGACCCGATGTTCTCTATTTAATATTTTCATTATTCTTAGTCAAACATTTAATTTAATTTTGATGTACTTATTGGTAGATCTTTGGTGAACATATGAAATGTGAATGGGCGGTCTTCGTAGACCAGACCCCACATGGGTGGTTCCGGTCGTCGTGGCAGCTCATTTAGATTCGTACGACATAAACCACACTTTTGAAGTTTACGTATCAAAATTGATTGCATGTTGCATTAGCTCTTCCTTCATCCATGACCCGATGTAGAAGTAACAACACTTACATTTCTTGTTCCTTCTTTGTCTTTGTCTAGTCATATTATGCTAACTGTAATCGAGAGATTTCAAAAATTTGAGGAGATGATTTATTTTTGGTCAAACATGTCTTGGTCCCCACTTAAAATTTGAAAGTGATAGAATTATGCGGTTTAAAAAATAGCTTATGTGATCAAAACATGGCACGTTATGGTAGCTGAGCGGTGAGGGCTGTGCTTCGGCCCAATCAATAATTTGGATGGGCTGTGCTTTTGATGTCGAATGTTGGTTTCGTTTCGCTTGTGTTGTTGATGAAAAACCTCAGTGGCGGAGCCACATAGTATCGAAACACGCTTCTTATGAGTGTTAATGCCATTCATTCATCACATATGCGTAGAAACACAACTGCTTTATCAAAAGCATAAATATATACGTAGGAGACATCACAGAAAGCACAAAAACGTAGGCCAATCATCACAATCTTTACACATATACAATAGTACACACACAGACAAGTCTTGGGAGCTTCCTTTTGTTGTCTTTTGTTTTTCGGATGCTAACCGGTTCCATCGTCTCCACCACCGTCTCCTCCGTTGCCAGCCCAATTACCATAGTTTTGTCTTGGAATGTTATGGTGATTGTCTACTCCTCTTGCTGAGTAACCAGATGTGGTGGTCATGGTCTCTGTCTTCTCTGACGAAGTGACGAATTCGCCCTTATGATCATAGTGGAGCCACTTCTCTTTGCCGTATATCCCTCTCCCTCCTCCTTCCACCATGAAACAGCTCATAACCACCATTACCACTACCACCACCAACAAGACAGGCCTTGTCTGAATTTGCATCTTTGTCTTTTGTCTTTGTGTTTCTTGCAATGTCTAACTTCCTTTTTATAGAATTGAGAAATAAGGTTTAGTGAAGGGGAATAATCGCAACTGTTTTCTGTGTGTTCCACTAGGAAAAGACAAAACAAAAGATTGATTGGTTAGCCTTTAACTTTTTGTGATGTGAATCATGTGATTGTGTGTTAGTGTTGTGACTTGTGACGATGAAACAAAAATCAAAAGATTAATCACTTGTCCTAATAGGAAAATTCCACCGTTTAAGAGGAGTGAAGAAGACATGAGAATCAATAAGAAGAATTTGTTAGTTGCCGGAATAGGAAACTTCCACCATTTTCAGTGGATCACCTTCTTTTCAACAAATTTTATATTTGTTTGTGTAATGAAAAGTCAAGAGGATAGTAACAACTTACAAAAGTAAAAATTTCCAAACAAATTAACATAATGCTAATTCAATTATTTCATTTTTCTTCTTTGAGTGTTGGTGGCCGAACAAGTTTAAGACAAGTGTCGCTCCTTTAGAATTATCATACCCACAAAGCAACCATCAGAATCCACGATTTGGTACTCGTGGCTAAATGATCATTCACAAATAATTAACTCTCTGCTAATCGTATATGTGATCATGGTAGAGCCAAATCACACAAACAAAGCAACCATCATGCATCGGGCCTATTGTTGGGCTGCTCGAGGCCTGTTTATTCAGTTTTTGTTTGACGAGGGAAAATGTTAATTTGATTAGAATTTAGAATTCTCTAATATCATCAAAGAGAATGTGTTGAAGACTCTGGACTTTCTCATGGAGATCATTTTTTTGTTGGCTTAATTAAGCTCCATGAGACCTTAATTAAAGGATAACCATGTGAGTTTCTTCGTCTCTCTCAATATTTTTATGCAAAACCTCACCGACTTTTATATGGCTAGTCTATAATTAAGTTGTAAACACCTGATTTAATTACAAGTCGTCTGATTCAACTGTTGTGACACTCTTTTCTCTTGTAATTCTTCTTAGCACATTGCACCACATGTCTTGAACCTAGATTTTCGCACATGTCTTCTACTATAAAAATGACTTTTGATCCATCTCTTACATTCTCTGTGTTTCCTCATTATGTCTTCCTCAAAGTCAATGGTGTTTGGCCTAACATGGATGCTAATCTTGATGATGATGATGATGCAGCGATGTAGAAGCTGCATCGACAGTGAAAGGCGTGGTTTGTTAGAGCTCAAGTCCAATCTTCTCTCGTTTAGTAATGATCTACATCCTGACGTTCTTCGAGGATGGAGGACAACTAGTAATCGTTCTTGTTGCAGTTGGAGAAGAATCAAATGTGACTTAAACAGCAAACGTGTGATCGGACTCTCCCTTGGATCCTTATATCCCTCAGGCTTCTCTGATACTCTTCCTCAACTGAATCTAACCTTGTTGTATCCTTTTGAGGAGCTTCAGAGTCTCAACTTGTCGATGAACAACTTGGGAGGCTGGTTCGACCAAAGACAAGGTCTGTCTATATATGTCTATATAACATATCCCTCTTATTCAAATTCTTCCTCTTGCAGTGTAAATTTTTTTTATTGTTTCTACAGGTTATAAGAGCCTTGGAAGATTTAGAAAAATTGAGATTATGGATCTCAGTTACAATTATTTTAACAGCAGTGTCTTTCCATTCTTGAATAAGGTTGTGTCTCTCAAGACTTTATTTCTTGGTGGCAACTATATTGAGGGTTCCTTTCCTGTAAAAGGTAAGTACTCCAATGTTACTGATGCCTTTGACTTTGAAAATCATTTTCACTTTGTTACTGATATTTTTTTACTTTTGGTACAGAGCTTATTAATCTGACAAGTTTGGAAGTACTAGATCTAAAGCTCAACAATATCAGCGGCCATTTACCAGGAAAAGGTAGTTTTTTTTTTGACAATGGCCGCTTGAGAACAGAGTGTCTCCATTTTGATCTTGATAGTAATTATAGTACTGTATTAAAAGGGTGTACGTATGATTTTATAAGCGATCTTGCATATTTTGTTTCATGGCAGAGCTCAGCAATATGCAGAAGCTCAAAGCTTTGGATCTAAGTGAGAATCTATTCTCTGGTTCACTGCAAATGCAAGGCAAGTAGTGACATATATGTTCCTTTTATTTCTTGAAGTATAAAAGTCGTCTCAGCTTATAGTGTATATATGTCTTGTTGATGTTTCTCTGTACATCCATCACTGTAGGAATTTGCATATTAGAGAATTTGCAAGAACTTCGACTTGGTAAAAACAGATTTGTGGGTGAAGTCCCTCTCTGTTTTTCAAGCTTCTCCAAACTCCGAGTTCTTGATCTATCATCAAACAACCTAAGTGGGAAGCTTCCATCTTTCATCAGTAACTTCAAATCCATGGAATACTTATCTCTACACGATAACAACTTCCAAGGCTTGTTTTCCTTGGATTTGATCTCTGAATTAACAGAGCTCAAGGTTTTCAAACTCTCGTCCGTGTCTAGCACGCTTCAAGTAGTAGAGACGAATGTTTCCACTGCCCTAAAATCTCAGCTAAAGAGTCTCACTTTGTCAAACTGCAACCTCAAGAAAATCCCCGGTTTTCTCCGGTATCAGAAGGAAATACGAGTCATCGATCTCTCCAGCAATAAGCTCTCCGGAGCTTTCCCAACTTGGCTGTTGAAGAATAACACAGAGCTTCAGGTTCTGTTCTTGCAGAACAACTCATTCAACACCTTTACACTTCCAAGACTACACCACATGTTGCAGTTCCTTGATCTTTCAGCTAACAACTTCAACGACAAACTCCACAAGAATATTGGTTTGATGCTTCCTCGGTTGAGACATTTGAATCTCTCAAACAATGAGTTTCAAGAAAACATGCCTTCCTCTGTTTCAAGAATGGAAGATCTTGAGTTTATGGATCTCTCATACAATAACTTCTCAGGGAAGTTACCAAGAAGCCTTTTCACTGGTTGCTATTCACTGAAATGGCTTAAGATCTCTCACAACAGATTCACCGGACCGATTGTTCCAAAATCAAGTGAAGAGACGTCACTGATGACGTTGATCATGGACAACAACATGTTCACAGGGAAGATCACAGACAATCTACGCAGCTTAAGGCTCTTAACAGTGATAGACTTATCCAACAACTTCCTCACTGGCAAGATTCCAAGATGGTTAGGCAGTTTCTTCTTGGACATTCTTAGAATCTCTAACAACCGTTTACAAGGTGAAATACCAACTTCTCTGTTCAACATTCCGTACCTCTGGCTCTTGGACCTTTCTGGAAACTTCTTATCTGGTCACTTACCTAAACGCTCTGACTCGGATTACGGTTATATATTGGACTTGCACGACAACAATCTCACTGGTTCTGTTCCAGACACGTTGTGGAAAGGTTTGGTTTTGCTTGATCTGAGAAACAACAAACTCTCTGGAAACATCCCCTGGTTTAGGAACTCTCCGAGAATCGATGTTGTTCTGCTGAGAGGGAATAACTTGACAGGCAAGATTCCGGAGGAGCTGTGCGGTTTAAGCAACGTGAGAATGTTGGATCTTTCTCACAACAGATTGAATGAGAACATGCCTTCGTGTCTCAACAATCTATCGTTTGGTTTAGGAGGAGATGGTCGTAACGATCCAGAGTGGTATCCGGCGAACATGTTCTCATACTTTATGGACATACACACCGAAGTCTATTACGAGTCCGTTCTTGTGTCGGAACGGTTTGGTTTAGACTACTCGGTAGATTTCAGAGTCCAAGTTGAGTTTGCTGTGAAACAGAGATATGACTCGTACATGAGAGGGACTTTAGATAAGATGTTTGGTCTTGATCTGTCGAGCAACGAGTTAAGCGGTGAGATCCCGGAAGAGCTAGGAGATCTTAAGAGAGTACGTTCGATGAATCTTTCACGGAACTTGTTAACGGGTTTTATCCCTGAAAGCTTCTCTGATCTAAAAAGCATAGAAAGTTTGGATCTTTCTTTCAACAAGTTACATGGAAACATTCCGTCTCAGCTCACGATGATGCAGTCTCTTGTCGTCTTTAACGTGTCTTACAATGACCTATCTGGTGTGGTTCCGCTAGGGAAACAGTTTAACACTTTTGGTGAGATGAGTTACTTAGGTAATGTTCGTCTCTGTGGATCACCTACCAATAGGAGCTGTGATAACACAAGAAGCTCTGGAGAAGAAGAAGAAGATGATGGTGAAAGTGGGTTAATCGATATGGTGGTCTTGTGGTGGAGCATCGGTGCGACCTATGTGACGGTTTTGATGGGTTTTTCTGTGTTCTTGTGCTTTGATTCTCCGTGGCGTCGAGCATGGTTACGACTTGTTGATGCTTTTATCTACCGTGTAAAAGTCGTATTCGGAGTTATCTAAATAGGTTCCCCATTTTCTTCAGTTTTTATATTCCGATTATAATAGCATAACAATTTTATGATGATTAGCCTTAAATCAACAAGTTGAGCTAAATTAGATGTACTAGGTTTGAAGCCCCGCGCAAGTGCGGGGTTGCTTGCAATAATTTTTGTATGGTTTTGTATTAACTTTCATGTTTTTGTTATATTTTGAGTTAAACCAACCACTTACACTAAAATATATGAACAATTTGTTTTTTATTTTATTTTATTAGGATATTAACACCTCACTTTATCTCGAGTTATCTATTTCTAAAATTTTAGCATGTTATAAATATTACGTTTGTTTACTTCTATTAGACTATAAACATGCATATAAATTTGAATCAACGTAAAAATTTGTAAACTGTAACATCGCATTTGCACCCGAAATAAGATTAAAAAATAATATGTATACTTTTTATCTACTTTGTTGTGGTAGAATGTGAGCCTCATGACCATTGATTATTTTTATTATGTTAGTTTTGTAAATAGAAATTGTATTTTTGAAACAAACATATCACAATCCTTAAAATTTTCATGTTTTTCTCTGCAATTAAATTTACCTATCAAAACTCGACTTCTATTTGTTTAAAAAACAATCTCTAACTCTAATTTTTCATTAGATTTCTATTATCTAAGCTAATTATATTCAATTTTAACTTGTAAACACATTATAACATTTTTAAATAGGATAAATCCTTTGAATAAAAGGGTAAATATATACTATTTCAAGTTAAATATTTCTTTACTCCATCTCATTTTATATTCCAACTTTTTGATAACTTTTAACATCAAGTTATCACATATTATATATAAATTAATTAATTTATTTGTGTATTTTTCTTACTTTTATTTATATTTAAAATATGAATAAATGTAAAGAAATATGAATAGTCATTTAATAAATATTTAAATACAGTTTAATATATTTGTGCTGATGTGGACACTCTAGATGGAAAGAGGAACTCCCTAATTATATATAAGATAATATCAATTCAAACACGAATTATGTGAATTGTTTCAACACAATTAATAGTCTCCCTCTACAGTTTCTTAAACTCGATATATTTGTTGTTTGTTAATAGTCTTCAAAACTTTTGATATACCACCATTTAATAATATGTGTATTTTGACTAGAGAGTTCGCCGTCTCAAGTGATAGTGTGAAAATGATATTAAGACCAACAAAACAAATTAACAAAAGTAATAAAGGCACTAAAAGAAGAAAAGAAATGGACATCAGAAGAATGCGGCTACTGCCTCCCCAAATGAAGCATGGGTGAGGCTTAAATACTGTGTCGTTGGTTGGAGAATGGAATGTTGTATTTTTCTATACTCAATAACACTTATTAAATTTTGCTATAAGTTGTTAGTTATAATACTCTAAACATATTTACATTACTGCAAACCGTTTGATACTTTAATTTGTGAATGAGAAGATGTTTGAGACAAGATATAGTTTCCAGACTAGTGAAATATATTATCAAACTTGTGAGAATTTTGAAAACAATTGTGGAATTTTTGAAAAAATTGCTGACCAATGTCTATAATTAAAAAGATTAGCGTTCTGCGTTCATATAATGTCATTAAATTGAAGGAAAGACGATTCCATGGTTTTGTTGTATCTAATCTGCAATCTATAAACAATGGTTTTATTGCAATTGACTGAAGTCACCGAATCTCTACACCTTTTAATCCAATATAGTTAGTGATGTATCAGAGGATCTCTATTGGTATGTTCTCAACATGGATATCTCAACTTATAAACCAAAAAGTTAATATTATATATACCTCCCAATGGAGGTGCTTTAAACAAAATCACATGTTATCCTTATCAAATTCAAAACATATATGTTTCACTGTATATATAGTTTAAATCTTGACAAAGGATTATTGTTTACTTACAAAGGATTATTGTTTACTTATTTCCGGATCATGATGTATAAATTTCGCAAATTAATTACTATTTACTTTCTTCTGGATCATGGTGACTTGATTTCTTATACATTTGAGGTGCTAATTCTTTATAAGAAAAACATTTGAGGTGCAAATTTCTTGGTATGCACGAGTGAACATAATAATAGAGGCAGAGGGAAACGGGAAAAAGAATGACAGCTAGTAACTGTGGAAAGACACATGGGAAAGTCAAATCAAATAATTGTGGGTGTAACAAGGTATGGCTCCCTCATGACATCTAATCTATGGCCCTTTTTTCCCAAATAAAAGTCAAAATGGGTTTGATTCATAAGAATTTTCTATTTAATAACTACAGAGTTTAAGAGCCGTTATCGCATGCAGAGTATAGAATAAGTACATTAGTACATTAGTTGACCGATCCTATGATGTATAATTACGTATACACTATACAACGTAACCCCAATACTTTATGAAGTACTAAAATGAATGAGATACATTTTTTACATGTCATAATACAAATTCGTTTGCTTACTGTAAAATGAATATTCTATTCAACATAATGATAACTCACCAATTATTCACATATCTAGAAGCACCTAAAAGCTAATATAAACGGATATGAAATTCGTTTCTCGATAAAAATTAAGATTTTGAATAAGGTCGGAAATCAATCTTGCTCATATATCAAATGAGATATTTTGAAAGAAGTGTGAGACACAAATGACAGGTAAATAAAACATGATATATGAAAGCCAATCACGTTCCCACAATAAATTTCAAGCAGAAGAAGCCAGCCTAGTTATAGTAGAATGGCCCTCATTCTTATCTCAAACCAGCTTGACCCGTCCCGGTTCTATTGAGATATCACTTCAGCCTGGTCCAAAGACTGGTCTACTATATTGATTCAAAAAAGAAAAATCATGAAAGGGTACGGAAATAAGAATTATAAACAAAAAGAAGACTATATAGTTTTGCTCTAAATATATGTTTAGTTTGTCTGGCACATAGATTGATCTAAATGATTTATAAACAAACAAAACTACTATTTTGGTAAGAAGAGTTAAGAGGGTAAATCTGAAACCAGAACTGGTCCAATCGGACACAACCCAAAAGACTCCATTTTATGTGAACTACAAACCAGCTTACACTCTATTTTGTTCCACGTCAAACAAGCTTAACCTAGCTCAAATTATGTTCTAATTGAGACCCCTAAAGACAAAAAAAAACAAAAACATACAAAAAGCTCATCTGGTAAAGCGATGTGTAAGAAAGAATGATTACTCAGCTATTATTTGGGGGGGATGAATCTGAGTCTTATTGAATAAGGGCTCTGCTCTGTTCTGTTTCCCAATCATATTGGACCCTGCAAAAATTGACAATTCTGTATCAGTATACACTTGCATTCCATGCATAATAACCGTTTTACCCGAATCCCAAGAAAAAAAACAAAAAACCACACCTAAATAGATAGATCATTAATTATTACAGATCCACTTACTGAACCATTTAGATTACTAATACTGATCATAATCAATCCTCAAATGCTACTGTTCACCCTTGAGATTACATTATATCAAATGGATTTTGCATTCGTATACATGATTTTCTTGGACAAAGTGTGATCCCAAAGTCACTTAAACTAGAGCCAAGATCAGATAGTGAAGAAAATCCATGAATCATAAATTTGGGATCACACTTTGTCCAAGAAAATTTTAAACCCATCCCTCTTCTTCATGTCTCTTATCTTCACTCTTTCTATTTTTTTTCATTGTGGGGTCGTATCCCCCATGAAATTCAGTTGTAGTTCTGATCCCAATGTGGAAAAAATAACATTTCTTAATTGGGATTCTGTAATAATGCAGTGCATGTTCGTACAGTTTCAGTTTGATATATGAAGAAAATAACGGAACCGCACGAGTGAAAACAAAATGGCAAATAATTATCATCAATTAAACCCCTCGTGATGTATTATCATATAAAAACTTGCCCATCTCATATCAAAATCCATACATTTAATATCTCTATCACTCTATGGACCTCAGCTTATTCACCTATATATACCCATGTCCTTCAGCATTGTACTTTCACCACAAAAACCATCTCTATCTCTATCTCTATTCATCATTCCTTTTAGTTTGAACTCTCCTTCTATACACTAAAATCAAAATGAAGAACAAGTTCATAAAAGCCTGCGAAAACAAGTTGAAAATCATGAAGACCAAATCCATAGTCATACCTTGTTGTACATCATATTCATGCGAGAGTTGCTGCGAGAAGGTTTCTTGGGGATTCAAGAAGGAAAATGAAGTCATACCAAAGGATGTTCCAAGAGGACATTTGGTGGTTTATGTGGGTGATGATTACAAGAGGTTTGTGATAAAGATGAGTTTGCTTAACCATCCGATCTTCAAGGCGTTGCTTGATCAAGCTCAAGATGTTTATAACTCCTCAAAACTATGGATCCCATGTGACGAGAACACTTTCCTCGATGTTGTTCGATGCAGTGGAGCTCCTCAGTATCAAAGGAACTGCATTGGCATGTAAATGTAATTAATAAGGGAGAATTTCAAAAGAAATATTCATATTGATTTTGATATATCATCTCGGGATCTATGTTTCCATAGGGAAATAGTGCTGGTTTTTTGTTGTTTAGATAATGTTGTACACTAGTTAAGTATAAGAGTTTCGTAATATTTTACAATGTAACACCTCGTAATGTTTCCAAATAAACTGAAACATTAAGTCTCTGTCTGACAAAGATTTTTCTCACACATCTCAAGACAAATAAGCAAAACTTCCCAAACCTCATCAAGCATCCGTTCTGTGTCATAGAAAAAGACTCTGATGCAGACATTGTCAGAGAATCAAACAGCTTCCAGTTTCTGTCAATTGTGTAGCCAATAGGAATGAGCTTGCAGCTATTTTATTCCATAATTGTCAATGTCATAAAGTAAGAAAGTGTTTGTCCTCTATAGCAGAACCCTATTAATCAGCTTTAAGTAGTTTAATACGGCGTCCATCTTAATAATTTTTGAAGGCCCTAAGCAAGAAAATATCTGGGCCTTTTACGTACATATTAGTCTCTTTTTCTTATGCTTTTTATATGACCGATCATAACTGTTCTGATAGACTTTGCATTCTGCCAAATCTGTAGTCGGCCCATATGATCGGTTGATAACCAATATGTGCATATCATGTGAGATCTAAACACACAGACACGTTTTAGATCTAAAACATACTCTGACAAATATAATACAAGTGAATTCAGTGGTTATCCTATAGATCTAGGCCAAAGATTCAATATTAATTCTTCTGAAACATACGGACATATATCATTAATACAAGTGAATTAAGTGGTAGTTTAGGAGTTATCCTCTAGAAAGTTTAGGAGTTATCTTCTAAATCTAGGCCAAATGAGTGTGTTTATATAGCGTAGAGCTTGATGAAAGTAAGTACAAGAATATTAAAATGAAGAGTGGGTTTTCGAGAGATGAACAGATTGTATTCCATCTCCTATTATTTTTGTTCGTTTCTATATGGTTTTTGTTTTTTGGGTTCACTCTTCTTTTGGCTTTCTCTATCGACATTATTGCTCTTCCTCCACAAAACGTATTACTTAGAGTTATAGCTCCATTGGTCAAATATTAACTGGTAATTAAATAAAAATGAATATGCTGAATAAAGAGTTCCTCATATTCCTCTGCTGTAGAGATGTTGGGATAAATTTTCAAAGACAGGTTGTTTTTTTTTTCCACTCGGTCGATTGATAACAATGCTCACTCGGTCATTCTCACAAAATACTTAAAATGTCAATTATTCGGTTAAAAAACGATTCTCAGGGGGGAGATTATCCAAATACAAAGAAATGTGTGAACTTGTCTTGCTTAAGAGAACCGAGAAAATGAGTTTGATATTATTTTTTAACTCAAAGATGAAGGCCGAAGGTATCACGTGAGAAAGGCCTAGTGGAAGACCCACATCAATGCATTATTTAATGTTGCTTAATATGGAATCATTGGAATGTATCAAATTACTCACTATTCATTACCATGTGGTGGGTTATACTCACATTGGCTTCTTCTCCACTCTTTGGTGCTATGTCCATTAATTATTCAGTACTCACTAGTCACTATTGCATTGTTGTTTGTTTCTTGGAGTATCTAAATATCTCGATTATAATGAATATTTTAATATACTAAGCTTTGTAGAGTTTTTTTTTTTTGAACGACACTAAGCTTTGTAGAGTAAGTTGGGATTTCATCCTAACTAAAACTTGTAATTTTGTATACAATTTTCTTCGTTAAACACAGGGCCTCAACAAATTATAAAATTGCTTATAGTGGTGTTATCTAGATAGTGATAACTACGATTGATGCCATGGTCACTTGAATTGAATACTTCGGTTTACTTATCAGTGGTACTTGTGTCTAACTATACTACCTTCTTACACTAAACAACTAGTCTCCCATATTCACTCACAAACCATAATCACTCGTAAAGATTGGTCTCATCACCGGCACCCGCAAAACGCTATTTTCCTCCGCCACCAGCCGCGACCACCTTTTTGCGGCTCAAACCAAATTCATGGTTTTCATTCTCCACCATCAGATCCTTGATCGTAATCCAACGTTTATCGTCCCCTCTAGTTTTTTATTTGTATATTTATTTATTTTAACCAAATCAAAACGTGTTTTTTATTTTTTCTCATTGTCTTCTTATTTAAACCCCTCTTATCTTCTTCATCAGAAACCCAAAACACAAACTCATTCATCAACATTGAAAATCTCTCTCTGCATTCACCAACAGTTCGAAAATGGTTCAGGTCAGTGGATTAGTACACCAAAACGGCCACATCGAGGCGACGTTGTGCGGCGGAGGAGAGAAGACGAAAGTGGCGGTGAAGAATGTGGCGGTCAATGCTGTAGCGGTCAAGGCTGTGGCGGCCGTGAAGAATGAGGCGGATCCATTGAACTGGGGTGCTGCGGCGGAGCAGATGAAAGGGAGCCACTTGGATGAAGTGAAGAGAATGGTTGAGGAGTATCGGAGACCAGTGGTGAATCTCGGAGGAAAGACTCTGACCATCGGACAAGTCGCGGCCATCTCCACCATCGGCGGCGATGTTAAGGTGGAGCTAGCGGAGGCTTCGAGAGCCGGCGTGAAAGCTAGTAGCGATTGGGTTATGGAGAGTATGAAGAAAGGCACTGACAGTTACGGTGTCACCGTTAGCTTTGGAGGTACTTCTGACCAGAGACCACAAAACGACGTCGCACTCCAAAGGGAACTCATTAGGTAATTAAAATAAAAAATTTAATTAGACGAGGGTAACATTAATTTACCCTTTTTTAATGATTAGTTTAGTAGATTAAATTACATTTTGTCACTGAATATAATCACGTGGACGAATTTTTTTTGTTTTTGAGACTCCATTTGCATGGGAAACATCAAACATGCTTGGTCGATGAATCAGGTCGAGTCGGTTCGGGTAGGGTCGGGTCGGGTTTCAGTTCATATATAATTAGTCTCTTTAATTTTTATTTAACACTAGTATTATACCCAGTACAATGCACCGGAAAATCGTTTTATTGCATTTTTCAGCAACAAAATACTCCTTTATCATTTTTTGGTTCTTTTGTTTTTATTTCTTAACTTACCATTGACCAAACCACCAAAATTTCTTCATTCATAATGAAATTCGTGTTCGATTTGAGGTCTTTTATTTTTTTTAACCAAAAGCTTTTTTTTTAATAAAAAATAAAGCCTTAATACTTCTTTAAGTGTTTTTATGTGACAATTATTAAACTTAAAAAGACAATTAATTGGTTAAATAAAAGAAACAAATTCGTAATTAGGTTAGGCATATCAAAATCCAACATAAATAGTATTTAGTCTAGCTAAAATAGTGAAATGAAACATTAAAATATGAAGCTCATTTAGTTATTGAAGCCCAATAATAGTGCCGAAAAAATCTCATCACTATTTCTAACTCCCCAGTCCGCACGATTTCCATCTCACCACCAATCCGATGTCGAACACGGCGGAGGACCGACTACAACATGATTATTCCCCGTTTTCTACTTCGACGAACTCCGTCTCAGCTATTTCGAGTGCTCCTCAATGGTTTCACGATGGATCTCTCCGTCATCGATGCCGCCGCTTCGTCGACTCTTCCCTCTCCGAGGTCGAGGCTGGCGAAGAAGATAAAGAAGGAGTTGCCGATGAGAATAATGATGTAGATAAACTACTAAGAGTTTACAATTTGGTTGAAGAAGAAGAAGAAGAAGAAGAGTCCTCTGAGTCTGTAAAAAGAAGAAGCAAAACGGGGGATCGTCAGTTAAAGATTCTGATGAATACTATCCGAAGCCTGCCAAGGATTATTACTTGAAATCATGAAAAATCCCATAAATAAACAAAATTAGGAATCAATAATATCTGAAAATACCTTTTTTAAGTGAGAGAGAATGAAAATCTCAAGTAAGGCGACGCTAGAGCTTTAGCATAAATCGGTGTTTCTGCGATCTGCGATTTGCGAAAAAAAAAATCCAGATTCAGAACATGTAAGGATTCCAACAATCAATTTAACAAATGGAAGAAAAAAGAAATACATTAGAGTATTCTGATTTCAATCGTTAAAATCTAAATCAAATCAATATCAGAAATTGCAATGAAGACAACTAAAACGATGCAGCAGAAATTTGATGAGGATTGAGAGAAAAAAATACTGTAATTTTAGAAGAAGAAATTTAGTTAGTTACTTTTGAGAATGCTCGATCTATAAGTTATATACATTGTGAAAGTGAAAGGTGGTTGAAACTGGGATTGTGGGTTTGGGAAACGTTTGAGATCGTGGGTCTATGAAGAAAAATTAAAGCTAAAATAAAAATAAAAATTTAATCGTTTTCGAAAAAAAAATTACATTCAGAAATAATGGGAGATACATGTCGTTCATATAGACTATGAGGTGACTGCTGATTTATTAATATTAGATTAGATTAGACACGAAATGTTGTTTGCTATTCCGTTTCAGATTTGCGAACGCCGGAATATTTGGGAACTCGAAGGAGACATGCCACACGCTGCCGCTATCCGCCACGAGAGCCGCCATGCTCGTCCGTGTCAACACTCTCCTCCAAGGATTCTCCGGCATCCGATTCGATATCCTCGAAGCCATCACCAGTCTCCTCAATCAAAACATCACTCCTTCTCTCCCCCTCCGTGGAACCGTTACCGCCTCCGGCGATCTCGTTCCTCTCTCCTACATCGCAGGGCTCCTCACCGGCCGTCCCAATTCAAAAGCCACCGGTCCCAATGGTGAATCCTTAACCGCTGAAGAAGCTTTCAAAAAAGCCGGAATCAGCACTGGATTCTTCGATCTGCAGCCCAAGGAAGGGTTAGCGCTCATCACCGGCACGGCGGTTGGATCCGCCATGGCTTCGATGGTTCTCTTCGAAGCGAATGTTCAATCGGTTCTGGCGGAAGTTTTATCAGCGATTTTCGCGGAGGTGATGAGCGGGAAACCTGAGTTCACCGATCATCTGACTCACAGATTGAAGCATCACCCGGGACAAATCGAAGCGGCGGCGATAATGGAGCACATCCTCGACGGAAGCTCGTACATGAAATTGGCTCAAAAGCTTCACGAGATGGATCCGTTGCAGAAGCCGAAACAGGACCGTTACGCTCTCCGTACCTCCCCTCAATGGCTCGGCCCTCAGATCGAAGTTATCCGTCAGGCGACGAAATCGATCGAGCGTGAAATCAACTCCGTCAACGACAATCCTCTAATCGACGTCTCCAGGAACAAGGCGATTCACGGCGGTAACTTCCAGGGAACGCCAATCGGAGTTTCTATGGACAACACGCGTCTCGCGATCGCTGCGATTGGGAAGCTCATGTTCGCTCAATTCTCAGAGCTTGTCAACGACTTCTATAACAATGGACTTCCTTCGAATCTAGCAGCTTCGAAAAACCCAAGCTTGGATTATGGATTCAAAGGAGCAGAGATCGCCATGGCTTCTTACTGCTCAGAGCTTCAATACCTAGCGAATCCAGTCACTAGCCATGTTCAATCAGCTGAACAACACAACCAAGGCGTGAATTCTCTGGGACTAATCTCATCTCGCAAAACCTCGGAAGCTGTTGACATTCTCAAGCTAATGTCAACGACGTTCCTCGTTGCTTTATGTCAAGCGGTTGATTTGAGACATTTGGAGGAGAATCTGAGGCAAACTGTGAAGAGCACAGTTTCTCAGGTGGCTAAGAAAGTCCTGATCACTGGAGTCAACGGCGAGCTACATCATCCTTCACGCTTCTGCGAGAAAGACTTGCTCAAAGTCGTTGATCGTGAACAAGTGTTCACATACATCGACGATCCCTGTAAGGCCACGTACCCACTGATGCAGAAACTAAGACAATTCATCGTCGATCACGCTTTATCCAACGGGGAGACTGAGAAGAATGCAGGGACTTCGATTTTCCAAAAGATCGTAGCTTTCGAGGAGGAGCTCAGGATGGTGCTTCCAAAGGAAGTGGAGGCTACCAGAGCGGCTTACACTAGTGGGAATGCGGCAATTCCGAACAGGATTAACGAATGTCGGTCGTATCCATTGTACAAATTCGTGAGGGAAGAGCTCGGGACGAAGTTGTTGACCGGAGAGAAGGTTGTGTCTCCCGGAGAAGAGTTTGATAGGGTTTATACTGCAATGTGTGAAGGTAAAATTATTGATCCATTGATGGAATGTCTCAAGGAGTGGAACGGAGCTCCGATTCCGATTTGTTAAGAGAGAGTATTCCTCTGTTCTGTTTTTTTTTTTTTTTTTTTTTTTTTGTATTTGTACCGTATGTTTGAAACTTTAAATTGAGTGTGGTGTCACTTTGTATGATATAAATAAAGTGAATGGTGTCACTTGTGGATAACTTGTCGTTGCTTGTTAGGTTATGTTGCTATTTGTAAATTTGACAGAGTTAACAAAAAGACTGAAAGAGAGATCATATTACTACTGAATTTTTCTTTTCTGGCCCTTTATATCTAAGCATTATGCAAGTCCTTTAGATGCTGAACAATTTATGTCTATGCAATCTTTGGAGTTATTACAGGGCAACATGGAATCTTTTGCTAAAACGTTGTGGTCATTTCTTAGAGCTTCTAGCTCGTGCAAACAACAACATACACAATAGTTCTCGGAGGTCACATGCTCTATGCAAAACGCTCTATTTGTCATAACCTCTCGTTCTCAAGTAGCAGAAATCTTACTTCTTGACAAATTCATTTCAATGATGGTAAAACTAATAGCAGCAATTGACAGAGAGAAAGTGGAAGCTTTTTCAATCATTATGAGATTCTCTGACAATATCAGCATCACATATCAAAAACATAGCGTTTAACATCACCATGGATGGACACCGTAACCTTTTCTATCTAAGCTCTGTAATCAATCATCTATATTAATAATTGTCCTTCATCACTGTACTTACAAAGCCATTCTCTATCTCTATTCATCATTCTTATTTGACCTCTTGTTCTATACTCAGAAAGGAAGAACAAGTTCATGAAAAAGCCTGTGAATTTTTGAAGATCATGAAGCGCAAATCCATAGTCATACTTGTTGTACATCATCATGCTGAGAGTTGCTGCTAGAAGGTTTCTTGGGGATTCAAGAAAGAAAATGAATCAATACTAAAAGATGTTTCGAGAGAAAATTTTGTAATGTATTCAGGTGATGATTAGAAGAGGTTTTGACAGAGATGAGTTTGCTTAAACATCCAATATTCAAGGCTTTGGTGGATCAAGCTCAAGCCTCAAAGATGCTTGAGGACTGTGTATTCCATGAGTGAGAACACCTTTTCTTCATGTTGGTCGTAGCAGTGGACTTCCTCAGCATCAGAGGAACCGCATTTGCATGTAAATGTAAGAATGGAGATATTATAACGAGTTATACACGTAATTCGTATATTATTATATCATACAAAGTGACATCATTCACATTACAATCACTCACTGGTAAAAGTAAAACACTCAATTCAGACATATATAAGAAAGAAAAAAACAACAAAGTTGAGATAGGACAAAACAAAAAAAACAGAGGAATGCTTTCTTAGCAAATCGGAATCGGAGCTCCGTTCCATTCCTTGAGACAATCCATCAACGGATCAATAATCTTGCCTTCACACATTGCAGTGAAAACCTTATCAAACTCTTCTCCTGGGGACACATCTTTTTCTCCGGTCAGCAACTTCGTCCCAAGCTCCTCCCTCACGAATTTGTACAACGGATACGACCGGCATTCCTTAATCCTGTTCGGAATCGCCGCGGTTCCGTTACCGTACGCCGCTCTAGCCGCATCCACTTCCTTTGGAAGCACCACCTTGAGCTCCTCCTCGAAAGCTACGATCTTCTGGAAGATTGAAGTAGCTGCGTTCTTCTCCGTCTCACCGTTGGACAAAGCGTGATCGACGATGACTTGTCTCAGCTTCTGCATCAGTGGGTACGTGGCGCTACAGGGATCGTCCACGTATGTGAACACTTGTTCACGATCGACGACCTTGAGCAAATCCTTCTCGCAGAAGCGTGACGGATGTAGCTCACCGTTGACTCCAGTGGTTAGTACTTTCTTAGCCACCTGAGAAACTGTGTTCTTCACCGTTTGTCTCAGATTCTCTTCCAAGTGTCTCAAATCAACCGCTTGGCATATAGCTACGAGGAACGTCGTTGACATTAGCTTGAGAATGTCAACAGCTTCAGAAGTTTTGCGAGACGAGATTAATCCGAGAGAGTTCACATCCTGGTTGTGTTGTTCAGCTGATTGAACGTGGCTAGTGACTGGATTCGCAAGGTATTGAAGCTCTGAGCAGTAAGAAGCCATGGCGATCTCTGCTCCTTTGAATCCGTAATCCAAGCTTGGGTTGTTGGAAGCTGTTAGATTCGAAGGAAGTCCATTGTTGTAGAAATCGTTAACAAGCTCCGAGAATTGAGCGAACATTAGCTTCCCAATCGCTGCGATCGCGAGACGCGTGTTGTCCATAGAAACTCCGATTGGCGTTCCCTGGAAGTTACCGCCGTGAATCGCCTTGTTCCTGGAGACGTCGATTAGCGGATTGTCGTTGACGGAGTTGATTTCACGCTCGATCGATTTCGTCGCCTGACGGATTACTTCGATCTGAGGGCCGAGCCATTGAGGAGAGGTACGGAGAGCGTAACGGTCCTGTTTCGGCTTCTGCAACGGATCCATCTCGTGAAGCTTTTGAGCCAATTTCATGTACGAGCTTCCGTCGAGGATGTGCTCCATTATCGCCGCCGCTTCGATTTGCCCCGGGTGATGCTTCAATCTGTGAGTCAGATGATCGGTGAACTCAGGTTTCCCGCTCATCACCTCCGCGAAAATCGCTGATAAAACCTCCGCCAGAACAGATTGAACATTCGCTTCGAATAGAACCATCGACGCCATTCCAGATCCAACCGCCGTGCCGTTAACGAGCGAACCTTCCTTGGGCTGCAGATCGAAGAATCCGGAGGCTGATTCCGGCTTTTTGAAGGCTTCCTCAGCGGTTAAGGTTTCACCGTTGGGACCGGTGGCTTTGGAATTGGGACGGCCGGTGAGGAGTCCGGCGATGTAGGAGAGAGGGACGAGATCGCCGGAGGCGGTGATTGTTCCACGGAGGGGAGAGAAGGAGTGATGTTGTTGTTGAGGAAGACTGGTGATGGCCTTCGAGGATCTCGAATCGGATACCGGAATATCCTTGGAGGAGAGTGTTGATACGGACGAGCATGGCGGCTCTCGTGGCGGAGTGCGGCAGCGTGTGGCATGTTTCCTTCGTGCTGCCGAATATTCCGGCGTTCAGGAATCTGCAAACGAACAGAACATTCGAATTGCGTGCGGATTAGTTATTTAATTAAACTAATTCATTTTTTTTTAATTACTCTAACAAAATATAACCCGACGGTCCCAACCCGACCCGTAGATCCCATGCAACGTCACATAAACTCGAGGCAAGAAGTAGTAGTTTCTTGTGATTTTAATTATTTTAAATTCCATTTTCAAAAAATTTAAGCTGATTTCTTTAAAAAAAAAATTGGAAAATAAAAAAAACTAGTTTACAAATTACAATAAAGAAAATAAAAACTAATTCCTAATAATTAAGTCTTATTTCTTTTTTTTCTCTTTTTTATTAAGATTTTATACCGCATATATCCAAATATCATTTTAAGATCCTAACCCTTGTAAATTTATATATTTCTAGTTAGACACAAGAAAATAACGGTTAATTAATACAAATTTTTTACCTTATAAGCTCCTTCTGAAGTGCGACACCATTTTTGGTTCTCCGATGAGAAGTAGCACCAAAACCAGTAGTAACACCATAACTATCAGTGCCTTTGTTCATACTCTCCATGACCCAATCACTGCTCGCCTTCACACCGGCTCTCGCCGTCTCCGACAACTCTACCTTCACACCATTTCCAACGGTCGAGATCGCTGCCACTTGTCCAATCGTAAGAGTCTCACCTCCGAGATTCACAACTGGCTTCCTAAATTCCTCAACCATTCTCTTCACTTCGTCCAAATGGCTCCCTTTCATTTGCTCAGCCGCAGCTCCCCAGTTGAGAGGATCTGCACCAACCACCGTCACATTTTTCTTGATCTCTCCGCCGCATAACATAGCGTCGACTCCTCCGTTCTGTGATCCGTTAATCTCCATTTGACACGAGTTTAGGAATTTAGCTATGAGGAGATTATAGAGAGATCTCTTAATGAAGAGATATGTCTAGTAGTTTGTATTGGTTTAAGGAATTTGATTTGTTATTCCTGAGGGAAAAGAGATGAATGAATGGTGGTTTAAATAAGATGGTAGTGTTTGTTGGTAGGTAAGCATAAGAGAGCTAGTTTTTATTTATTTTTCCTATAATGATAATTTTAAAATAGAGAAAAAATGAAAATTAGTGAGAAAGGAGTTGGTTGAGAATTAATTATGACCGTTAGATGGAGTGTGAGGGGGTTCTAGTGGTGGAGATTAATAATTCGTGGATTTGGTTTAAGTCGCAAAAGAGATATTTTTTTTCATTTTTTTTTTAACGCGGTGGTGATTTTGGTGTTCTCGTCAACGTCACGGTGGTAAAAAGTGGTCGTGGCTGGTGGCTGACGATAGTTGCATTTCGCGGTTGGTGAGACTAAGAAATTTTTTTGTTATCTTATTGAAGAGTGAGTTTTTTTGGAGTAAAGCGTTTCATTGTGATGGGAGTAGGTGTGTAATGTATGAACGTAATTGAGTCAATTAACGTCCCCACCATAACACTCTTTCATTTTTGTATTTTGTAAATTGTTATTTTTTTGTCATTTTGGTTATCATTTCAACTTTCTTGGATATTTCGATGGGATTTGTTTTCTTTTCGGTTATCGTGTTGTGTTGTTGTATTTTCTTTATGTTGTTCGTTTACTGGTTTGTTTATGTAACCTGTTTCATAATTACTGAAACTTTTTTTTCCGATAACCGTGGAGATCCCAAAAGCTATCTAGGTCCAAAACTAATCACACGAGGTCTTGCATTCGGGTACACGTTTGGAAATATTCTAAAAAAAAAATTATATGTTGTTCGTTTATTGATTTGTTTATATAACATGTTTTGTTTTTCCGATAACCGTGGAGATCCCAAAAGTTTTCTAGGTCTAAAGACTAATCCTACAAGATCTTGCATCGGAGTACGCATTTGAAAAATAGTCTAAATTTAAAGTTGTTAAGGGGACTTGAACCCAAAAATAATTATTGAATACTTCTACAAACGAATTTATTAAAATTATGCCAGTACATGTACTCCAAGACATGCCACAATGTTGATCAAACAATTGCGCCAAACTCATTAAAAGCAAACTCGCAGGACTGGATAGATCCAAGCAACAATCTTAATCAGCCACATAACAAAGCCAAGCAACTTATCTCATGAGTACTTGGTTCCAATTGTTTCATCTCCTATATCGACTGACTAGTATCTCTCCACTCTCCTTTCTCCTCTCACGTGTGTACTTAAAAACTAGCTCCTATTTCTTTTGTAACCATCACATTAGTTTGGTCCAAATGATGTTACTTTTAAGAAGGGGAGTCAAAGTAGGTGAATACAACAAACTGTTTTTTTTTTTAAGAATTACCAGATACAAACATAATTTTGTTTAGTTTGAGTAACAGTTCATATGCACACATTAAAATAACATAAAATCTCGAAAAGCTAAATCTTTTACATGCACATACATGCCATATGAGGTGAAAGAAGCCAGTCAAAAGTAAAAGTATGTAACTGTTAATTAGTTTTTTGTGTGTACATGTTTCATGTTTCGTTCAGTTTGAAATTGGGTATAAAGTTTGTGAAACGTAATTATTACGTGGACATTTTGCAAACTATAATATTCACGCGATGACGCAACACGCCGTTTGCATGACAAAAGCAATGCCCAATGGCATTATGTAATAATTAGCTAAGCTCATGAAATGACAACTATAACCATATACTCCTATATATAAAGTTATAATGTTTTTCTAAAATTACTGTAACTGATATAGAAAACTTTTAAATTAGTGATATCACTTATCATGACAGAGATTTTTTTGTTAATATGATTATTAGAATTTGATATGTGTCATTATCAAACTAAGCATGAATACACACACATGACCATAGTTGTAGTTTCGACGCAGAATCTAGAAATGTAACGTGAACTAAAGATATTCGAGGATAGATTTCGACTATCGATTTTTTTTCCAGAGGATGTGCTACGTAGAATAATATAAATTGAGCCATCCAGTTGCTGATAAAATATAAATTCATCATCGACCTCATTTTCTGATTTATTTGTGAAATACGCGTTATATATATATTAATCGAAAGCTAAATATAAGAGTAAAAAGCAGTGCACAAATTAAAGAAAATCTAATACAAGAACTGATCAAGTTATTAATAGAAATTATATGGATGGATGGTAAGGCGCCTTCATTGAAATTTGAAACATTTGCATGTGCATGCATTTTTGCTTCCATCGTAGCATTCGAACTTCGAAGGTCTCCAATTAATTTATATCCCGATTTAATACATTTGTACTAGTTGTATTTTTTTTTATCAAAAATTTGTACTAATTCCGTTTATATGGTTTTTCTTTTCTTCATTTAAGCATTGGGCAATGACTCGGGATGTCGTGTGGAATTTCATTTTAATTTATATGTTAGTGCGAGATGGAGATAGTTTCGCATTTGCACCAAAGACATGGTGATATTTTATTCGTGTTAGTTATATATAGCTCATTTTTTCACCTGTTTTGACTTTATAGGATAATGTTCAATGAAATTAATGAAGGCAAAGATGAAAGAAAGGACAAAGTGGGGGGAATATATTATAGTTTTCTTTGGTCAACATATTATAGATAGTCTTTATCAAAAAAAACATATATATTATAGACAGTTTAGTACAACATAAAGAAATCTTATTACGTAAATTTAAATTTCTTTGAAACGGATTTCAGACAATGTGAAAGGAAACCTATGTCAAATAGCCGATTTTGGTTAAGTTTTACTGGCTTTTTTGTTTATCCCGACATCAGCTCTTCTTACTTCTTCTTTTTTTTTGTCTACTTCAGGTTATCTTCTTTAGATCTAGCTTTCTCTAACTCATTGTAAAAAAGACACTTATTAAGATGTTTAGTAGACATTTTTGTCTATGCGCGTTTACATTAGAACTTGATTGACATTATAGGGGATTGTAGCTTAAACTGCCATCAACCGTAGTTGCGAGTTCGGAGTTAAATTTGGACCTTCGACGTTCTACAACCACTTATATGGACTGTTTTTCCTTTCACTATATTATTCACATACACACAAAATTGCTGGATGGATCATGAAAACGCATTTAACAAACTATTTTGTGGAAAACTACAAATTTATTTGAAAGATGTTTCAGTCATTGAAAAAATTAGAAATAGAAATTGGACTATAACATAACTTTTGTTTCACTCGTTCCGATTTGCTTGTTCCTTCTAAGTTCCATCTTGCCAATCAATTATACACCAATCATACTAGCACCACGAAACTGAATAACTTATATGGCCCCTAGTCTTTTGCTAATATAAATAGCTAGGGCCGAGAAAATGTCATTAGACGCTCAGATAAAGAATATATACTACAACCAGATCCGACTAATTGATACGTGAGTTTTGGTCGGATTACAAAAGAGAGCTTGGATTAGACTAGGGAACTAAGCTTGTATTGGATTAAGGAACTAGCCAACCTCTCAATTTCAGACACATGGAAACCAAACTTGAAAATTACTTACGAGTGACTCACTCGCCACCTATATAAGAGATCATTAAGAAACTAGGTTTTGTGATCGGATTCTTGTGTATGTGATAATGTGAGATTGAGAATCTCTAATAAGGGTTTCGTGGACCTGTGTTTTCATTCAGAGATGACCATAAACATGAGTGTAGTTAATGTGATTTGTTGATTGAGTATTTATATTTTTGAGTTGTTGGGTTAAATGAACAGCTATTATTATGTACTTTGATTTACGGATATATTAACAGTTCATGAGGAAAGTCTACCGACAATTGATTTAACATGAACTTTTTTTGGTCGTTGCTCCCATTCTCTATTCTTCCTCCCATTCGCATACGCCAAATCTGAATTGGAGAAACCAGTATAGTTCAAATATCACATCCTGATGAATGGTTTTGTTTATCTCAATCAGCTATATAGTATAAGAACCCAACACAATCTAATTATAAAGTGGATAACTTTAGTACTAGTGTTTATAACTTTGTAGTTCTGTGCATGAAAGTCATGTTAGTATGTTCCCTAATCCCTTGTCCTTTCAGCCTACAAAACAAAAGTTTGGGGATAGGAGCTGTTCCAATCACGACTCAACTAATTATGTTTTAGACATTCTCGATAAATTTTTACACATGGCAGTTTCCTATGTATTAATGGAAAAGATTTTTTAAAAGAGTGGCTGATCTTTTTGTTGTTGTTGTTGTCTATGTCTCATAGTTATAGAGAGATTTGAGGGGTTTTTTTTCGTTGTTATCGTAATGAAATTTTTACTTACATTATGCTTGTGGATCTTACAGTCTTAACCATCGCATAGGCTTTATATAAATCCAAACTTAATTGGTTTTATAATAGGCTTTTCACAATAATTTTTTTCTTTAACTAGGTTTGATTCGTTTGAATAAAGCTGGAGTCTTTAAATGAATATAGCTTACATTAATTTAAGAAGAAAAACATTTACTATAGAACATGGCGGGCCTATATAATTAAATACTACAAAATCATGGATTTCGACGAGACACCAAGCACGTACGTAAACCAATACATTTACATGAA